TGCTTATCGGCAACGCAACGCGAACAACGAGAAGAATTAACTTCGGAAACGACGCAGTCGACACCGGCAGCCGCGCAACCGGAACAAGGGACAGGCATGATGAACCCGAACAAATCGACAAGCTGGCTAAGTTCCTTATAAGCCACAGGGTTCTTTGATTTGGATTTTTGAACGCGACCTGACATGATGTCAGCATCATGAATAAACAAGGAAGCACGATTGACGACTCCCCAACCTGGGAAGCCACGACCTACTTATGTTGGCCTTGAGGACAAGACCATCGAGGGGAGACCTGATGTTACGACCCGTCAGATGCACTTAACAGACCCACTGGGTCGGGCGGCTACGACAGGACATATGTACGTAGGATCACGGGAACAAGGGTAAACCTCTCGGCAAGGAAGAACTACGTTACAAGTCACGTGACAATCGACCAATCAGGACAGAGTCGACAGAGTCGACGAGCGACTCTGTAGACTCCTGTAAAGGACCAATCAGAAGAGAGTCGATAGAGTCGACGAGCGACTCTATAGACTCTCCAAGACATTGGGAAACGGGACTTGTATATAGACCAGGACTTGAGCATCTGCTCAAGCCCTCTAGATAGTTCTTCAGCAATCAACTTGTGATTCATCCTCGAATGACTTTCAGCTTACCTCTCAGTATTGTGAATACTAAGAACCTCGTTACCATAGTGTAAGACTGATCACCTTACCCTAACCCTACGATCTACCAGAACGACCTCTACGAACCAGTGTTAGTCTCTTACTGCACCTTCTGTTAGCAGAACCCTACTGTCAGATAGCTGGCCGTAACAGCTACCGATTTTCTCGGTTTCTAGATTAAACGCGATAGGGCTGCTAGTAAGATTTTCGTTTCCTAAGCTAAGTATATAAAAGCAGTACTTTAACGATTCGACTTTAATAGTTTAAGTATTATTAAGACGCCTATAGCGACTACTAACGATCTACCTATTACCTAGGATAAGAACGAGTGCTTGCTTAACGAATAGCAACTTTATATCGAACAGACTAGCTGCCTTAACTTCCTAGTAGCTAGAACTCGCGTTGACATAGCCTATACCGTTAGTAAATTGTTACAAGCGAATTCAAGGCTTTCTAAGGCCTATCTTCGTACTATTAAGTACTTATTCCGATACCTTAAAGGTACCGTTTATCTCGGTATTATACTTAGAGGCATCCCTACGATCAACGAGTTAAGGCTTTACGCTGCTATAGATACTTCTTTTACTAATAACAAGCTATTATAAGTCTCCATAAGTAGTTACGTCGTCTTCTTCGCTAGTATGCCGATTGCTTAGAAGTCAAAGAAATAGACTTTCGTAACTTTAAGCATTATAAAGGCTAAATTCATCAATCTTATGTTACGGCCAGCTAACTGACAGTGGGTTTGTGTTAACAGTAAGTCAGGGATTGAGAGTAGTAACAGTCGTTCCGTGGTCCTGGTCGAATAGATCGTAGATCTTCAAAGGTCTTGGTGATCAGTCAAGGCCTCAACAAGAGTCGTAGAGTAGTCGTCACTTAGGATAGCTGAAAGTACCGGTGAGGGTAGTCACGAAGTTGATTGCTGAAGAACTAGGAAAGGTAGGACTCGAGAGGACTCGAGTCCCAACTATATACAAGTCTGGTTCCATGCTGAACACTTCCTGATCCTGGGGGACCGACACCCAGGACGTCGGTCCATCGCCATGGACCGCCCTTGGCACCGTCGGTCCTGTCCCAGGACCGCTTATCGTCCGTCGGTCCTGCTTATCGTCACGTGACCTGTATCCTAGTTCTTCCGTTCCGTGGGGGTTGTTACGACGTAACGGCTGACGGCCGTCCCTATAACCGCTGAGAAAACATCAACAACAGCGAGAACGAAATTTTTGAAAATCGGAGCAAAAACGGCCCCAAATACGCGTGCTCGCGGCCACAGAGCCCCCTTCGATGCAATGCCATCCTCGGCCTTGATTCTACGTCCCAAAGGGGCCCAAGATGGCCGCAGAGCACGCCCCGACTACAATGAAAAACTTGAGAGCAAGCCGCAAAATACGACATATCAATAGACAACACTGTTACCACCACCACAGGCGAGCCACAAGCCGCTACACGAAGCACTAAGACTGCGCCCAAACAATCAACTTCAACACAACAGCCGCCGACAGGTTTTGGGTCACCTGTCACCCCCGACAAAGTTTGCAACGTCCCACAACGACGAAGATGAGTCCGACAGAACAGTATCACCTTCCGCACGGAGAAAGCACCAGGCATTAGGCATGCTACGATCGATGCCACACAATACTACAGACCACAGACAGACTGGTCCCCTGTCGCCCCTTTTGCGAAGAAGGATTGGTGTCCCTTCAACGCGCGACAATGTCTGCGGAATCTGTGCGGGAGCTCTCATACCCAGTAATCGAACATGTCGGAGTCAGTGGAGCATTGTGCTTCGTGGAAGACCCTTGGGCCAATGTGGTGGAGGGCAATAGTGGTCAACAGGCAAGAAACAAGAGGCCACATAGGAACCCGGCAGGAGGCAACAAAGAATTTACAGATGCAACTGAGAAAACGGCACATACAAGTCCGGGAGGATACGGACAAAACAAAGAGACAAAGCTGAGCGCTGGGGGGAGACTGTAGGTACAAAGAACCAGATACGGTGCTACCAGCACCAACTGAACCGAAGCAGGAGGACGCAAAACAAGCATTCTAGAGAGCAACACAAAAGCGAGAAAGCAGACAGGAGAGCAACACACTTCTTCAACAGAGGGCACAAACACACAGAATAGAGAACATAGTGGGGAGCTTGGGGATAGCTGGCCCTGATGCAACATCAGGGCGAAGTGGGGCGTCGCTGTTCATTGTCGACGCTTCGGCTACCTGCCAAACCCCGCTTTCCGGGCATAGCTGCTGGCATAAGAGCGGCTTCATAACCGAGTAGGAATAAATCAATCAATCAATCTATAACCGCTGAGCCCCTGCGGGGTCGTCGTCAGTGGTCTGTTAACTGTCGGGTCGTAACATCTTATACCTACGGCAATTGCTATAAAGTAGATTAGACGTTGCCTCTCCTAACTACTTAGTAAACCTATTACTACGCCTACTATTATATTTACTAATAGTACTAACGGCTATGATAACGTTATAAACCTACTTAACGAGGTACGAACCCGCTATATCGACGTCTGATATAAATAGATCATATAGGAGGTTTATACTACGAAAAGCATCGAACTCCGACTTATCAAGGGCGCTGATATGGCCGCCGATAGACTTACGAAGCTACTAGTTACGGTTAAACATAAGGAATTCGTTCGTTTGTTAGGCATAGCGGAGGGATTAGATTAAGAGGGGGATTTTAAGACTATAGGACTATTAATATTAAGACTTCGGGATTCGGAGGATTTTACAGCCTCCTATTAGCTAGGTTTAACCGGTAATTGACCGAGTTTTCTAATAGTTGAGAACTCCTCGGATTTAGAGGATTTGGGACTTTTCTTGTATTTCCTATTATTCTACTGCTTTTTCGCTGAGGAGTCTGAGAGGGGGTGTGGGTGGCAGGCCTCGCCGGCCCGTCACGTGGGCTGACGGCCGCCACCACTGGTCTTAGCCAGCCTCCACAGCCCTCTAGCCAGTTAGTTAGTTCTTCCAACCAACAACACCACTTTTCCCATTCTGAGCGTTCTGTGCCGGTTCTCGCCCACATTACTAATATTCGAGACAGTAAAAACGTAGAATTCGTCATTGAGAAGGGAGATTGTTGGAATAGCCGGAACTCCGGGTTGAAGTGGCTCCGTCGCCGGCACCCGGGCTGCCTACGTGACGGGCAGACCGACAGATGGCTATAAGTTCAACAGCCAATTCCTCCGGCACTTCTACTGAAATTTCATCCAAAGACATCAGGCACGAGACAAGTCATCAGTTTTCCCCTCAGTTATCCCTCTTACGGGTACCCCTGTGATACCAACAGAAAAAACGCAGCCGGAAGCTTCCTGTGCAGTATCTCGCGTTCGCAATGATATTGGAGAAAGAAAGACCGCCAGGAGAACTTTGCATTTGGCATTTGAATAGTAATCCTGGGAGCCGAGAAGCTAAAGACAATTACCGACGAACTGTAACTGTGGATTCTCTTCAAGATTGCGTGCCCTCTTGAGTTCGGCAGATATTGCCGGTTCGCGAGGTGGACCCAACGAGATAAGGTTGAGTTAGCGAGTAATCCGGCTTTCGAAGCATAACCTAAAATTCACCGATCTTCAAGAATAAGCACAGCAAGCATAATCTTAACTCTGCTCGCCAACTAAGCTTAGCTCAACAATGAGTTTGATGAATGAAAGAAGTGAGAAGATCAGCGCCATATTATCCATTGACACTTAGTTTATCTTAGCCGGCTGGCCCTCACGTCAAAGTGGCCTGGCCTGTGTGTGTCGTACGCACAGGCCCTTGAGAAGGGAGTTTTGGACGAGAATACAGATGGATACAGGTCGGCAACTGTCCTAAATGAGCAGACTATGAGCAGACTATTCTGTCTGAAAGTTCGGAGGATATAAGGCCCATGTCAAAATTCCAAGAGAAATTTAACGGCTTCTGAAGCATCATGAGTTGAGAGAGCGCCGTTGCAAGATCCGAAATCTGCAGTCGACAGCTGTCCAAGGATGGAGACAGCAACAATCCTAGTTTGTGTTTTTGGGTACGAACTTATCATATCCATCCATTGGGCGACCATTGATTCCTATTGGCATCAATCGTGAGAAGACGGACTTCAAGCTTCCAGATCTGAAGAAAATGTCACTGCCCACTTGTCTGGTGCCCACCCCTGACGGCGATCAAACAGCCATCATCTAAGTAAAGCGTGCAGGGGCAGCTAGGGGGCCCCCGCCACGGCGAGTCAATACCCCGAGCCGGACCTTGCAATTGCTATGGTTTTCCTGTCCTTTTTTTTTTTTTTTTCTTTCCCTCCAAAGTATGAAGCCACCTTGTTCATACGTCACACGTTTTAGAATGTCTCTGAAGGTTCTTTTGCCATTGCTGGCGCTTGCTGGCACCGGCCTGGGTTGGCAACACAAGACGGATGCCGAAGTTCGTGATGCTATCGCAACTAACGAGTACAGCTTGATTGCTTGTAAGTTATACTTCCACGAGGCATTACTGTTTGCGCTTAGCTCGAGAGTTTTGTTAACGTTCTGTACAGTTGTCGGCGTAAGTTTCCCGCAACATTTACAGGTTTACCCAAGCAAGAACAAAATTACTCTTTATGCTAAGCAATACTGACCATAGTAGCCATCTTCGTAAGCTTCCCAGGGCGCATTTGGCAGCTTCAGCTAACACCCGTAGTGATGCAGTGAATGCCTTGGAGCCGCATTGGGCCGCTGTCGAGGATGCAGTTCCGACCGCCTTGTCTGTCAACTGCGAGGTGTCATCCAAACTCTGCGCCGATCTAGACGTCGCCTCGTTCCCTGCAATCCGCTTTTACCGCCCCGATGGAACCAAACATCACTACCGTGGCCCTCGTAAAGGCTCAGAGTACGTAATATTTTCAGTTAGACGCTGCAATTGGCTAATTACTGACACGGGGTTATGCGAACAGGATCGGCGCTTTCGTCAACCGCATGCTTCGACCTACTATCACTCCCGTCGAAAAGGAGACCCTGTCCTCCTTCCGAAGCAGCGACGATGTCGTCTTGATCGCCCACTTTACACTAGAGGAGACTTCGCTGCGCGACCGATATGCCGACCTTGCCGAGCGCTTCCGTGACCGATATGCATTCGGCTTGACGACCATTCCCGAATCACCCGGCCGAATCGCGTGTTATAACAATGGCATGGGGGCGATGCACATGTCTTCTGAGCTGGAGGAGCCGGACGCTATGGAGAAGCTGGCTAAGAAATGCGCTGCGCCGCTTGTGCCACGTCTGACCAGGCGTAACGAGGCGGAATACATGAATGTTTGTTGCTTTTACCCTCGCAACATACTGTCATGTTTGCTGACGTTCTCACTAGGCCGGAAAGTCGCTGGTGTACTTTTTCGCGAGGGTCGAGCAGTACCTTGATGCATGGACTTCGGCCGTGGTTCCCCTGGCGAAGAAATACCACCAATACATCACGTTTGTCACGGTGGATTTGTCCGAATACCCGGAGATGCCCGCCATGTTCGGGCTACCCAATGGTATTGAGGATGCCGTGGCATTGCAGAACCCGGCGACGGGTCAAGTATTTCCTTTTACGGGAGAGATCACCATTGATGCCGTCGAGGAGTTCATTACCGACATTTCAGAGGGCAAGGTTGAGCCTTGGGATGGCAAGACCGTGCTTGAACTGGTTGAGGTAGACGAAGAGGAGGCAGAGAAGAACCCTGAGACAACTCAAGAAGAGTCAAAACCCAGCACTGAGAAGACCGAAGCAAAGTCAGAAGAGCAGGAGAGCAAGGGTCATGATGAACTCTAAGAGGCTCAGCAGGACTGCCTAGAATTATTGGTGATGGCTGGTTCCAGCGAACTCCACACCAGTTATGCTGTGTTGGTCGATACATTGTAGACCTAGCTAGAGTATAGCAAGAACCCACACAAAAGTCAGAGCATAAGAACATACATTTCATACTCATCGAACCGTCAAATAGAAACTCAACCATGTATTTTGCATAAGGTATTTCTATGGTCATCGTCGATCGGTATCAACAGAACACTTCGATATCTTTCACATTTTGGATAAGCAAAGATTCCCCGCCGGACCATGTCGTTGTTACTCTACTCACTAATTGGACAACGATCAGGTTCCAATGGCTAGGCTTTGACGCATGACATTCTCAGTCACATTATCCGGGCGGCTGGTCCAAATGTGGCATTCCGTGTGGACACTAAAGAGTACAAAGATAGCATAGATTGCGACGGAAGCTGTATGCCAAGTTCGGCCCCATGCATAATGTTCATTCTTTGGACTCGCCTCTCCTCCGAGAAAGATGAGCCGCAGTTTGACGTCGAGTGAAACTTGGAGTGTGGCTACAGCTATCCAAACTGACCACCAACTGCTCTTATTTATAATCTCAATATTTTAGCAAGCTCTATTAGAAGTTATCATACGCCTAGAGACGACCCAAACATTTATTTCTCTAGTGTCGGAGCAACCGGACCAACTCGGACAACCGTGAGGGGAGCCCAGTGTCCAGCTACCCAAAAGTTCCAGGCAGCGTCTTGGCGAACACAAAAGACATGGTTGCAATATGAAAATCACCATCTTACCACGTGTTGTACGAGCAAATATCTCTTAAATCTCGCGTGGGGCGGGGTAGCAAATGTTGGGACAAGAAAACGTCATCATCGATTATTATCGCGAAAAGCAATATTCGGAATGCGGTCAAGAAGCGCCATGCATTTGCTAGCATAGAATGGGAAGGTGACTATACCAACTTACGTCATTAGCAACGGTCAATTGGAAAAGAAATTCTGTACGCTTTTTGCTCCTCATAGGAACAAAAAAAAGATCTTCAGACTTGGCTGGTGCCATCCTGGCCTGTCCCATTGGCAGCATCTAATAGCACGCAATCGTCGTCCCATTCATACCAAGCTTGGCACTTACCAGTGAATGGATACATGATGTGTACATGATGAATTGACATATATAAACCGTGATTCGGCCCCCCCAAACGATGTAAATGATATGAACGTGCGTTCTGGTTCCTGTAACTAAGAAACCACTCGGAAGCGTTCAACAAAATGAAGGCCGCTCTCGTCACTTCTCTACTGGCTTCAGTCGCCGTGGGTCTCTCTTTTCAAAAGAGAACCCCAGTGTCATATGAGGGTTACCAGGTTCTCCGCGTTAAGACCCTGAGCCAGTTGGCTTCCGTCCAAGAGAAGCTCGCGACAGTTCCCCACGAGCAATGGAACCATGACGTCGAAACCCATATCGACATCGTGATCTCTCCCGAACAGGTTCCCAACATTGAGTCACTTGGACTGGACTACCGCGTTCTTCACAAGGACCTCGGCGAATCTATCACCGCCGAGTCCCAGGTTAAGAGCACCTACAAGCGTGATGTTGATGATCTGTCGTGGTACGACTCATACCACCCCTACACCGACCACGTCCAGTACTTCAAGGACCTTCACGAGTCTTTCCCCAACAATTCAGAATTGGTGTACTCTGGACACTCATACGAGAACCGTTCTATCCATGGCATCCATCTTTGGGGGGACGACGGCCCAGGCAAGCCTGCTGTGCTGTACCAGTGAGTGAAATCTCCAAGTGTCTCGGTCGGTCGGGTTTCGGAGATGCTAACGATAGATTAGCGGCACTGTCCATGCAAGAGAGTGGATTTCAGCCCCCGTAAGAAGAAGTGCTTTAATGGGGTGAATCAACAGCTAATTTGTATGCAGGTTGTTGAGTACATCACATTGCAGCTCATTAACGCTCATAAGAATGCCACCAATGCTTCGGACTCGTGGTTGAACTCTTATGATTGGTACGTGCTTAACAACAACATTGAGCTCAACTCAAGATTCCCATGAAAAGATTTGCAACTAAACGGCAGCAGGCACATTTTCCCAATTGTCAACCCAGACGGATTCGTCCACTCCCAGGAAGTCGACCGTCTTTGGCGCAAGACTCGCACGCCTCCCCCTCCTCCCCCTCAGAACCAGTCCTGCTACGGCACGGATATTAACAGGAACTGGGAGTACGGTTGGGATGCTAACCCGCTTGGCGCTTCAACCAACGCTTGCGCTCAGGCCTATCGCGGCCAGCGCCCTTCCGACACCATCGAGAACCAGGGTCTTGACGCCTACGTCCGAAAGCTCCGTGATACTTCCGGCATCAAGCTCTACATTGACTGGCACAGCTACGGCCAGTACATTCTCTCGCCATTTGGCTCCAAGGAGGAATGGTATGCTCCTGAGCTGGGCAAGTGGACCAAGACTGCTTCGGTTCTGAGCGAAGTGATTCGCGACAGCTCTGACCGACGCACAACCTTCACCTTTGGCCCGAGTGGTGCGACCCTTTACACCACAACTGGTGCTGCTCCGGACCACGTCTACGCCATTGGTGGTGCCGATTTCTCTTACACGATCGAGCTGCCAGACACCGGTGACCACGGCTTTGTGCTGCCGCCTGATCGTATCAGAGGTGCCGCGGAGGAACAATGGGCCGGGCAGCAGGCACTGTTCCCTCTTCTGGATGAGGTTTTCTTCGACGGCATTGGCCCTGCGTAGGGTTATGACATAGGGTCTAAGTCTTCCAGATATTGACGGTCTACAATGGAGGTGTAATATTTAATACGATCTCTATACCCAGGAAGGACAAATAGATGCGTTGACCATCCTGACAACCGCATAAGTTTCTATTATCGCGTAATAGGTGAACAGAAGGGATGTGAATTTTTGCTTCCAGGGTACCAAAATGGACGAAGCAGTTCTAAAAGATTGTTTATATCTATTTTAATGTGACCACTACGACATTGTGTGACAAACATGGCACAAAAAAATCGGGCTAGAAAATTTGTACAGATTTACTTCATCCGGGGTTTCACTACGATCCCCGCCTCCATATGTTCCACTATGACGGTAGGCTAAATAAGCCACCTCCACAATCATCACCAACCTGTCGTAAACAATAAATCAACGACAAAATTGAGTTGAAAGAGGATAACCATAATTACCACCCCGTATCAGCATCTCAATGTATCTTTTGCACAGCTTCTTAATGTTTTTCAATACAAATATAGTCTCCTACAAACACTCTGCCCGATATTCCGCAATATCGTTCAGCTTAGTTTGCAACAGGCACATCTTGGCCCATTTTAAAGTCCACAATTCTCCAAACACTAACCACATAACATTCATCATTTGATAAAATGGCATTCTCAGGATATGATTGGCTACTATCCCGCATGCCATCTCCCTGTTCCTAACTAACCCTCGATGGGATACAATTCTAGTAGATCCCACCTATAGATAGGGTAGAATATGTTAGATTAGATGACCCGCAGTCTGAACCCTGTATAGAGCCAACCACGGGCTTAAGGTCCAAAGTCCCATCCGAAACGGGCAAGAAGGGCGTGAACGCCTCCACTGCCCAGCTTTAGCCAGGTGACTCAGGATTTTATTATCGAGGATTGAGGTTTTTTCTCCCCCTCTTCAACCTCCAGGAGGAGGAGACCAGACTTGAGCTCTCGTCATTTCAAGGTTTGCTTTCCACATTAATCACCGTCCCGTACTTCCATTTGACCTTCTTTTAGATCTTTTTCTGCCAAGCCAGTTTCCGTTGGCCGAGATGGGGGAACGATCTCTTACGGCCGGGGACTGCTCCGAACCCGCTCTTGAGCAACCCAGAGAGGTAGACCAAGTCATTCCGGAGAAGACGGACGGCAATATTCAAGACACCAAGCCAGTAACATCGGCAGTACCGACCATCTTTGCAGAGAGCTCCCCTGGCAGAGATGCGTCTCTCAACGAAAACGACCTCATGGGCGCATACAGCAAGTTTGCACCCACCCAGCGCATCATCATCATCACTTTTGCCAGCGCCATCGGTCTGCTGAGCCCCCTGAGCTCCAACCTATACACTCCAGCAATTCCAGCCGTCGCGAGGGACTTGAACGTCTCCACCGATGCCATTAACTTGACCATCACTTCGTACCTCGTGCTGCAAGGAATCAGTCCCACTCTCTGGAGCGCTATTGGCGACAGCACCGGCCGCCGACTGCTTTACATTATTGCCCTGACCGTCTACCTAGGCTCCTGTGTCGGCCTCGCCCTGTCTGACACTTACCCGGCCGTCGTAGCCTTGAGGGCAGTCCAGGCCATGGGCTCGGCTTCGACCACAGCTCTCGGCGCCAGCCTGATCGGCGACCTGATCCACATCAGCCAACGCGGCTCATACATGGGCAACTATAGTGCCCTAGGCGGAGCCAGCAGCGCCTTCGGCCCCCTCCTCGGCGGCCTGTTTGCCCAGTACACCGGCTGGCGAGGCATGTTCGTATTCTTGTCGGCGCTCGCCGTGTTTCTCCTGCTCTTCACCGCTCTGCTCCTCCCCGAGACGAAGCGTGGTATCGTTGACGATGGAACGGTGCAACCGCCGCGGTACCTGAGGGTGCCGCTGAAATGGCTTGACGCACCCAAGTCCAGCCCCGAGGCCGTCGGGCAGGCGGGGGCCAAGTTTCGGATCGATTTCGGCGCCCCAGTCCGTCTGCTTGTTGAACCCGAGTGTCTATGCATCGTCCTCTTCGCCGGCGTCTGCTTCGCCGTGTGGCAGGTCACAATGGTGGCAACCGCGACGCTTTACGCGGAGCGCTACGGTTTGAACGAGCTGAGCATCGGCCTGACGTACATCTCGAACGGCGTTGGCTCCATTTGTGGCAGTGTACTCACAGGGAAGCTGTTGGACCGCGAATACAAGCAACAACTCGTGAGGGAACGGGCAGCCAGACAGACCGCAGATGACGACAGATCACCTCCTGTCGTCGAAGTGCAGCATATCGAGCTCGCGCGTATAAAGCCCATTATTATCCCCACCATTGGTTATGTGGTGTCTGTCGTCGCCCTCGGGTGGATCATCGAGTCCCATGTCCACATTGCCGCTTCCATCACGATGGCGTTCTTCGTCGGAGGTCTAAACACGATCATCTTAGCCGCATTTTGTAAGTACTAGCTCTTTTGCCCCCTCGGTAACCCATTGACTGATGCAACACGCCCACAGCAACCCTCATCGTCGACCTCTTCCGGAGCCAGAGTTTCAGTGCCACGGCGTCCATGAACCTGTCACGATGTCTCCTATCTGCTGATGGCACCGCTGCCATTGGGCCCTTGATCCGGGCCGTCGGCGTCGGCTGGGCCTTTACGATCTGCGCGGTCGCCGCGCTAGCTTCGTGTTCTTTCGCTGTGATAGAGCTTTGGAGGGGTCCACGCTGGCGCGCAAAGCGAGCGGCGGCTGCGGAACGGGAGAAGGTAGGTTGAAGATGATTTCGAATGAACATATAGCGAGCTCCTCTGCCGGCCTTTTTGTGTCGATGTTGTTGCTCTGTCTTGCGTTGCTTTCTGTCTGACACTCACCGCTCTTCTGCAGACTTACACGCGCTGCATTGTGATCCTCCCGTTTAAAGAATCAAAAATGAATTTTGTCTCCATAGTTTATGAATAAACCATAGTTATCTCAAAGAATTGCTTGGATGGATCCGTGAACGTTTGGACAGCGTGACTTCTCAGAATAGACAAGTTGAATTGTAACGACGACTGAGGAAGATCTGAAGAATCAGACCTCACCCAGGGTTATCGAAGAGATACTATCCTCTTAAGCTACCTGGTAAACACTAAAAGAGTAGATAACAATAAGCCGCTCACTTGTTATTTAGGTGCACTTAAATAAGGGTGATACATAGACACAGCATCACGCCACATCAACTATGCGTAGCCCGTAACACTCATAAGCCGAGGTGTCATCGGGATTCTTCCCCATAAAAATAGCAAAGTCAGTCTCAACCACTATATATGTTTTTCAAGGCAATCAGGCGAAGATGCGTGTTTCCTGAGCCACCTGTATGCCTCTAGCACGGCCAACCAACCCTCTGATTCCTGGTTATGGCTCGCATCACAAATGTGAGGGGCTCCATTGACTAAAACCAGGCTAGCGTCGATGCCACGGGATTTCATCTCCTTAGCCATGCGAGCAGACTGCTGCCATGGGATGAGATCGTCTGCCGTCCCATGGATCAAAAAGGTTGGGACCTTGTACTTGCCACTTTTGACCTGGGCCAGTGGGCTACATCGCTGGATCTCCTCCACGGGAGGCTGCGGTAACGCGTTCCAGTCAGTAACATCCGGTCTCTTTGAGTATGCCTGTTGTCTGCTAGGCAGGCCACCAATGACGACGGGTAGTGTCTGGGCCTTCCAGTTCATGTGTAGAACAATACGAGAACGAGCGTCGGTACGGATTCGGGGATCAGAAAGAGGTTCCCAGGCTCCGATAGCACCGTAGTTGGTGATCTTCGTGAAACGACAGGAGTCAGATAATTGTTATTTCACAGTCAACGAAATCGTAAACTTACTGGATCATCTTGCACAGCTTCTAAAACGTCGTAGTTTTCTCCCAAGTCTTCTGCTCCGAGTGGCTGAATTGGGGATCGCCACCCTAGTTCATAGCTTAGCAACTCGACACAACAAGAGGGCACAAAGAACTCAACCTACAACTATCCTCGTAATCAGTGGGACAGTAGAATGCCAAGATAGCATTCGGGGGCCTAAGACCCCTCTCTGGTGCAGTCCATCCAGTCGATAAGGCTAGTTGTCCTCCAGAGGACCATCCCACAACTACAATGTTGTCAGGATCGGGTTTGATGTTGGTATTTCTCAGTGTAATAGACGGCAACGTCTTCTGGGCCCACTCAAGTGCATCACAGACATCGACCATAGGGCCTTCAGCAAGCCGAGACTCCGGACACAGCCGATGGTCCAGACTCACTGGCAAGAATCCCATCCCAAGCATGAGACGCGTTTGCGGTGGTCTAATGTCCTTGCGGGAAAAGATGACATGACTGCCTCCATGTATCATTAGGGCTAGTCTCATTGATTATTAGTTATCCAGCGAACAAGAATATGCTGGATTCCAGACCACCTACCGACCGGCATCTTTGTAGTCGGGTCCGCATTCCGAGGGCAGTATATATCCGCAAGGATCTCTTGGGTTCCCACCCTCTTATAGGCAACTTTCTGTATGTCAGCGTCAACCGGTCTGGCTGCAATCTCGTCGACATCCGTCTTCAGTCGAGCCGATCTAGCTTTTGGAAATCCACAAATCACTCTTACCGTCTTGGCTTCGAGTGATTCTCCATCGGACCATTGCACCTCACCGAAACCTGCTTTGATGAATACTTGGCCCCATTGCTCCACATTAGCCAAGGCGTGCGATCGGCCGTCATTAAACAGCCACCAACCCTCAAGGAGACCGACAATTATGTCAAAAACATAGAGCTGCTTAACAGGCGTCATTTCAATCAGAGCAAGCGCGCCATCCTTACGGAGCATCTTGCGTAGGTTTATCAGACTTGCCGTTAGGTTCCTGGTAGCATGAATACAATTCGTGGATATAATAATGTGATATGCCTCGGTGAATTCAGCCGGAGGCTCATTCTCAATGTCCAGCAGTCCAAAGGTCATGCCTTTGACTCCTGTAAAGGACTTTCTTGCCTTTTGGATAAGGGACGCCGAAATATCAGTGAAATGATACTCAAAAGGGATACCAGCCCTCGTCAGCGCATCAATGATATGGCGAGTCGTTCCACCTGTGCCAGCTCCGACTTCTAAAATGCGAAATGCCCCAGAGCCCTCGTTGTTCTTGAGGGCTTGACACAGGAACTCCACAAGAAGATGAGTGGCAGTCACTAACATGGGCCATTCTCGGTAGAGGTCTTCAAGCCACTTCTTATTCTCCCGGTTTCCGAAGAGAACCTGGAGGGCGTCATAATTTCCAACAAGGCATGCAGCTAGGTGTGGTCCGACCGCCCGCAGAAGGTGGCGAATTGGAGCGTTCTGAGGATGTCTGCCTATGATATACTTGAATACCTGCTCCCCTGATGTAGTTTCAATGGGATCACTGGTTCTGACGAAAGCATCGCGTGAACAATGGATCAGGTGTTTGTCTTCCAGAAAGCTGTGCAGCCGACGCAAAAGCTGCTGATGACGAGGCAAGATACCCGTCAAAATTGGCATAGTATCCCCTGGCGCCAAAGCCTGCAGGTCGCAGCCCAGTTTCTTGAAAGCTTCGGATACATATGCCAGTACTAGCCGATCATCGTCAGGGTGTATATCAGACCAGTAGTTGAGGGCGTTCGTTTTTGACCCTATTTGATCAAAGTTGAACCAGGTCTCATCGAAAGACTTGTGAATGGATGTGATAGTCGGCAATTTTGATCTCTCTACTTTTATCAAACCGTCTGTCTTTGACATCATGTTTGAGTTCGTCTCAATTCGTTTTGTCGATGTCTCATCTATCGTGTTCAAGGGACGTTGCACCTCTCTCTTCCTAGCTAGGGGTGGAGTGAGAATGCCATGCCCAGCTTCTTGGTTCAAACCTAGCTGGCCATCGACATGAGAAATGATGGCGTTGATATCGTGGAAGAGCAAGAATGTAGACAAGTCAATTGATACATTCAGTGCTGCGGTGATGTCCCCAATCATTTCAGTAGCTCCCAAGGAATCAACGCCTATGTCAGGCAAGGATTCTTGGCCAGTCAGAGTATCGACTGGAACATCAGCGATACTTGCGGCAATCTTCAAAATTTCAGCACGCTTGCTGAAAACTCTGCCGTCGCTCAATGGGCTGTTCCGCCCTACTATGTTTTTCCTACCTTGGAGAGTCGTGTCTGTCTCAGTGGCAGGTGAAGAGTTCACGCTTTTAAGAGACCCACTCATAATCCGTATTAGAGAGGCTCTAGTGATCTTCGTAAAAGCCATCCCAAAAGCAGTAAAGACTGTCTTTTTGTTCTGTGCCTCAGAGACGTAAACATCGACAGACACATTGTCATCATCTTCGGAGGTCATGATCGCTAGGATAAGCCATTCCTTGTCATCAGGTGAAAAGGTTGGTCCAAATTGTACATGTTGGATCTGGTGGCATATAAACATACTATCGATCGATGTTGATCTACTAAAGTAGTTGACTAGAAAGCCTCCAAATTGTAAGAAACTGTCAATCATAGGCGAGTCGGAAAGTCGTTGATCTGGTGGGGCTGAAATTTCGGGCGAGATTCTCACTACACCCGCGGCCTCATTTCCTAGGCTGGCAATGGCTTTGATTCCTTTGAAGGCGTCTGAGTATTCAACTACTTGACTGAATGCTCGGTAGATATGCTTTCCTTGCATTGCGTCCGCTTCCAGGTGCTCCGTGATTTGCTGCCAGCGATGGTCCTTGATCAACGCATCATACCGACGGTACTCTCGAGTCATTTTCGCATCATCACGCTCATGGAGATGTACAACACCGGTCGTTGTATCTCGTGTACCCGTAACATTTTCAGATGTAATTGGTAGAGACTCTACCATAAGAGAAAACGACCAAGATGGCGACAAGCTTTCCAGGTTTCGCATTGTCAAAATGATTCTTGGAGGCTCCTCGCTCGGAGACAGGACAACTGGCGTTTTCATATCCAACTCTTCAATTGTGGGAATCCAAATTGTAGCGGACAGGTCGTTTTGGAGTGTAAGAGCAGCTCTAGAGACAGCTTCTATGTATGCTGAGGCCGGCATACTCGCAAAGCCACACATGACGTGGCCCCTGACCAGGGACTGAAAACGCTCACAGGTAGTCGAGATTTGGAAAGAAGTCTCTGTGGGGTTTTCGCCTTTGATGATAGACAAGAACTCTTCGGGTTGTGGACCTTCTGTCTTAGGGCGAGTTAGGCTTCCTGGAGAATCTTTTGAACCGATATAGGGCAGCCAATGTCGAGTCTTATGAAATTGGTAAGGAGGGAGACTTAGAGGTTTGTACTGGTGCCTCTGACTTCTGTGAAAGGGCCAGTATTGTACGCTGTGTCCAGTCTTCCATAGTTTGATGGTGGCATCTACGAGAGAATCCTGCGCAGATGAGGTAGTCATTTGCGGCGCCATGAACGAGTGGCTGTCTGGCGTTTGTACACATGCTCGAACAAGCTGTGTGGCCGCAATCCCACGTCCAGCTTCAAGCCATGTAGCTTTTGGAAACTTCTGGATCAGCCTATCGATTGCATGTTGGAAATACACGGGCTGTCTCATGTGCTCCACGACGAGCTGGGGATTCGGTGTATGACCGTTTTGTATCTCGCTGCAAATTTCAAAGTGAATTATTGGGCTCTTCCAATCCAGACTTTCAGCGAGCTCACGCAGCTGTGGTAGCACTGGCTCTGTAAATGAAGAGTGAAATCCATGTGTAACATCCAAGTTTTGATAACGGATAGAGCCTTGCAGATTCTCGTCATTATTAATCAGAGTTTTCGCGTCTCGAACTGCCTTAGCAGATCCGACGACAACGTAGTTTCTGGGGCCATTGAAACAGGCAAATTCGAGACCTTCAACCTGTTCAAGTAGTTGATTGACTTGGTCCTGATGAGCCTGCAGTGCGAGCATCAAACCCGATTCAGACCCCCAGAACTTCTCGACAAGCTCTGCCCTACCAGCCACTAACTTGAGAGTGTCAGTTAGCGACAATGCACCACATATACAAAGAGAAGTAAGTTGACCGAAGCTGTGGCCCACAACTGCATCTATCTTGAGCCCGCAGTCCATCCATGCTCTCGCACAAGAGTACTGAATGCCGAATAAGGCAGTGTGTAGAGTAACTAAGTCAGGAAGGGGTGTTCTTTGGAATATGGCAGGAAAGACTCCCTTGAAGCCAAGGCTCAGCAAGGCATCCTGGCAGGTGTCAAGATGGTGGCGGAATACTTGTGAGGATTTGTACACGTCTTCTGAGAGGCCAACATAACGGCTATCCTGGCCACCGAAGACGAGGATAATGGGTGTCGGTGATGACGATGTTGATATTGAGCCACTTACTGAAGCTAATTCGGAGAGAACCGCTTCAAGTTGAGTGATTTCGGATACTTTTGTAGATATGATGCTTTTCAGAGCATGATTCGTACGATTGGCTAAGTTGAACAGAATATCTGGAAGATGAATACCGGAAAAAATTGTGGATTTGGCATGTTGAAGCCAATCAAGCATTTTCTGGGCATACAATGATAGAGAGTTATCTGTTGAAGCAGACAGAATGAGGGGCCATTTCGATGGCGTAGCTGGCTGCTCATTCATGACCGCAAGGTTGAGCTTATTGATGGGCAGACCGCGCATCATCACAACCGCGTTACTTCCGGCAGCACCGTAGTTGTTAACACAAGCGATTTTGTTATTTGCGTCCCATAAAGTAAGCTGCCGAGGAATCTCCATTCTGTCAGGACCTAATGCCGGGATGTTTGGATTCAAAGATCGAAAGCTAGCTTGCGGAGGGATACGTTCATTTTTGAACATAAGAAGTGCTTTGATCATGCCAGCAACTCCAGAAGCGGCCTCAGCGTGGCCAATATTTCCCTTGATAGAAGAGAAGTACAGTGTTGAAGTTCTTGAGGGCCCAGCGAAAGCTTCCCGAAGGCTGCAAACCTCGATCGGATCACCTACGCTGGTGCCGGTGCCATGCGCCTCGACATATGACACGTCCTCAGGCGCAACGTTTGACAAACTGAAGACTTTTCTCAAGAGAGTTGTCTGTGACCTTGCACTGGGTACCACAATAGGCCCTCCCTCATCGTTTTGGTTCGTGGCTGAGCCGATGATGACTCCGAGGATATGATCGTCTTCTTTGAGCGCTGCGGACAGCGACTTCAAAACAACGACACCTACACCCTCGCCACGGCAATATCCATCGGCGCCCGCATCAAACGGCTTACATTGCCCGCTCGGACTGAGGAAACCTGCAGCCTTCAGATCTCGGTAGTCATGCGGACAAGTTATAATGTTTGTTCCTCCCGCAACAGCACGACTGCACTCTCCAGTTGAAATAGCGCGGCAAGCTGTGTGAATCGCCACGAGTGAAGAAGAACAGGCCGTGTCAATTGTAAGAGCAGGTCCTGTCCAACCAAAATGATGACTGATGGCACCGCTGAGATAGGACCGCCCCGTGCCCGTCGTGGCATAGGCTGTTGGGGGGTGGCAGCTGAGGTTCTCGGCATAGTTGTTCATCACTGCGCCGATATAGCATCCAAAGTCCTTTGGATCTGAATGTGCCTCCGCGCTGAGCTGACCGGACGACGCAAGAGCCTCGTAAACAACCTCCAGTAATTTTCTCTGCTGCGGATCACAAGCCGAGGCCTCTCGGGATGATTTTTTGAAAAACTTATGATCAAAAGTATCTTGAACGTCTAGAAAGTTTCCCCACCATGTCACCTTTGACACCTCTTCTGCAAGCTGGTTTAGCCCGACTCGTTCAGGAGCAGGGATGACTGTCGATTGTCCGGTCGAGATCAAATTCCATAATTCATCGACAGAGTTCGCTCCAGGAAAGACTCCCGCCATACCTACAACGGCTATTGAATGAGGTGGAAAGTCGAGATCTGAAAGCCTTCTTCTTGTGCTTGAGTGTGACTTGAAAGCCCCATTGATTATAGCAGCCCTTTCACTTCCACTGCTGCTCGGTGGGGTGTTGGGAGGGGTCTGTAAAAGTGGTCGTGGAGTGTTCGCATTGTTGGCACACTTATTGTCATATGATTTCCCCGGAGGCTTTGGAAAGTTGCTTAAGCTTAGTACCAAAAGATTCAGATTCATGGCTAAAGATGGCGGAAAATGCTGCGATGTGCCTGCCACTGCGATACAGTTACGTCCGGGTGGCAATGAGTTTGTAGCCAGTTTCAGCGTTTTATACCACTCCACAGGTTCCAGTAAGGTATTGTTTATCATGTACCGGACTAAGTTGCCTCTCGTGATAAGTTGTCCGTTAGTCGCGGACCTGACGGGAACATGTAACTGGCCTGGATCCGGAAATCTAAGGCCCAAAGTCTGGTCAAGAAATTCGACAAGTTTCTCTGCTTCCGCAGCGTAGATAGGAGAGTGGAATCGTCCATTGATTGGCACATCTTGAACGAAAAACTCTGAGGCGGTCAAGACGTTTCTCAAATCCGTGAGACGATCATGACGGGTGGTAATTGTGAATGAAGCTTCGTCGGTGATAGCAGAGATATAAGTCTAATGATGTTAGCGTGGCCTGAATCTTTCATGAGAATTGTATGTAAATAACTCGTACCTGAGGAAAATCACTAATTATTTCTCCGATTTCTTCTTTGGGTCGAGCCAAACCTTTCCTACTCCATGCGGATAGACATCTTCCTTTGACATGATTATTATCCCTATCTGCATACACTCCAATACAAAATGCTAGCTGAAGAGCATGTATAGCAGCATTGATGAGTTCCTCTTGACTTCGAGAAGTCGCAACAGTGATGGCACAGACAAAACCCACGCAGAAGCCTTGAATTCCTCCGACTTGAAGTCGTCTAAGCATTTCCTTTTGGAAGTCGACGCCGCTAAGTGATTTCGAAAATACTACATACTGCACCATCTGTAACAGAAAATTCATTGGGAAAGAAATCGTGAAGGGAACCTCCCAGTGATCACACGGAAACGACCCAGTGTTGGTAAGCCATGCTACCAAGTCTCGCAAGTATGACTCTCCATTCACTTGTACCAGCTCAGGGTCAAATTCAACCAATCTATACCAGAGCTCGGATAGTTTGGGAAAAGACTCAACCAGCTTCGATAGCTCTGGCACGGAATGCAGAAGACCATTCAACTCGTCCAGGTCCTCTGGGGATAATCGGCCCTGAGGTCCAAAGACAAGCATAGAGGGAACCGAGTTGGAGGTTTTCTCAATTGCCGAGCTCATGGCTTTTGGCTGAAGCTTTACAAAAATCAATACTCGTAAGATTGCACAAAAGTGATCTACCCAGATAGGCTTGTTGTAGCACTGTTGTTCTTGTATCCCAACCACATCATAACCACATTCCGAGGTCCTCCACAACGTGTGCAAGGTCGCGCGACAGTGTATAAAATGCAAGTTGCAAAGGGCTTCAGTCAACGAGTAAAATTTTCGTCTAAACTTCACGTTGAGTTCCAACCACCTCGTACATGACCAATGGCAGCCACACGGCACGTTTCCGAGCATTAGAGCCTGACATCAAGTGCAACAGGATAGCTCACAAGAAGAGTAACACTCCGACTCCATCCCGAAGGTTGTCACAAACAACGCAGCTCCACTAACCCTTTGATTATGCAGATGTAACTTTAAGGGGGTAGCGGAAACCTTAAAATGTGTTCGTTTGGTTTTGTATTTTGGATTTTGTCGACGGAACTTTCTTCCACTCAAGTACAACGTAGTTATCATCTTACATTGTAAATGATTTGCTTTTATATGTAAAGTATCATGCCGAGTTCCCGTCTCGGCGGCAGTGGAGTGATGCATACTTCGGGCAAGAAGCATATGCCGTGTTGAGATTAACGTGCGAACTGTTTCACCGGCCAGACGAAATAAACATCTGCTGATGCCAACCACGCGATCAAAACCTTGTTATCTATTACGCAAGAACCCTATCGCAAATACGATCATAGTTTTATTAACTATCAATTTCAACAGCTCGTAACACGTGTAACAATATCTCGACCTGTCCCCGCAACAACCCCCTGTCGCTTAGGATGATGTCCTTCCGGAGCAATGTACGTAGTTACCTGCAGTTTGCCACTTCTGACCATCATTGAGAGCCACATGTGGGCACCGCGAGACTCTTCGAGAGGCCTGTGTGTAATAATCTCGCGAAGAGAGTTCCAGTAGGCGTCTACATATTGACCTCGCCCATTGTCTATCATCCATTTGGTCACGGCTGAGGCAATTGCCTCGTCGTTGACACCGTAGTGACAGACGGGAATGTAGAATTTCACATCAGGGAACTCCTGCTGACGAAGTCCTATATCAAAATAGTAAGCGAATGTGCCCCAGAGACCCGCAGTATCAACGCCGTCAGTCGAGGCGTTGTACTGAGGTGCTCTAGGGAGATCTTTATCTTGAGGGAAATCGGGTGGGAGGTTGCAAACTGCTTTCATTAGTTCCCAGGCCTTTTCAAGAATTTTTTCAGAAACGCGGGCTTTTCCGCCCATGGTCAGCACAGATTTGACGCTTGTAAATGATGTGCGAGCCTCGACACAGTATAGCTTGAGGCGCGCATCAGCCGGACGAATGACGTCAATACCCAGCCATAACGGCGTGAGTGTCAAGCCAAGGTCTGGCGCCTCCTCCTTGATGAAAGAGAAGACAGAGCCGATGGTTGGAGTGTCGGGCACTGCGGACACGATTGCGTCTTCCCAGACACCCATGGGAGTAAGGCCAATTTGACCAAGTTTGCGGGGAAAGAAGTATGCCTTGGGAAGGATTTCATGGCCAAGAAACTCAAATCCAAGACAAAGGTTTGTCATGATCGGCCGTTCATTAGTCTCTAAGTACATGTGCTGTGCTGCGTCGTAGAACTTCCCCATGAAGTGATTGAACAGACTCATGTCGAGAGATGGAATCTGCGGAATCATGGAGTAGAGCAACTCGGTAGCTGGTTTGATGTTCAAAGGGTCCATGTAGGTGCCCGCAAATCGACTGAACGGCTCCATGACCATTCGGATCTCGGGTTTAGTGTCGGGTTCGTTCCATCTCCAACTGTATTCAATATGTGTGCCATCAAGGGAGAGTCCACTGTCTCCGCTCGTCGACCCAGAAGCGAAAGTACGAGGACAGAAACCCAGTCTTGGAACCACATAATGATGAATGAAAAGGAGAAACTCATATTGGGATTCCAGACTGTAGTCTGCATTTCGAAAAAGGGTAGCGAAGTGAGGCCCGGCCATGCTCCACCAGAAGTCGCTGTGCTCGTCCCTTGGTGGCAGCCATTTTGATACCGATGATAAAGCGGATTTTGAAATCGAGTCGTTCTGTCGTTTGTTCTTTGCAACAGCAACAGCTCTAGTCACTCGAGACTTTGTTTTATCTTTGAAGGGCTATAAACCATGATTAGAAAATGAGTCTTTTGCAGCGATTGATACAACTTACTGAATCCCACTGGGGCATTCGGACTACTGCAGATGGTTCCATTTCCCTAATAGATGACGAAAAATGATTTGAATTAACAAAGACTTAGGTAGATAGGGACTCGGTCAATCTCAACTATGGCAATGGCATGCGGATGCAATGGAGAGAGATTGCAGCAATGTGAATTTCGATACCTGGACATATTATTGACGAAAGATCAAACCTCTGGCTAACTACAATTATCTCAGATTTTCCCCTCTCAAACTCCAGGTCATACTTTGTAGGAGCACTCTTGGCTCCTACATTGTACCACTATCCTCAAACTCACATTTGATCTCCATGTTGTTGCTCTGCCCACTGAGTCAACTCCGACCTAACAAGACGACTCGGCAATTTTTCATAGGGTTTATCGGGTTCAGGGAAGTGGTAACCTGGAGGTCTTCGTAAACCCCAAAAGTAGAAGTAAACTCTGTTGACATGCAGGGCTTGCATGGGGTTCCATCATTTTCCATGGTCATTCAAAGTTCATTTACCGGGGGCTGGTGGGCCAGGTTCATCCTAGGCCGTGCAAAAGGCATACCCCGGGCACGAAGCTGTTTCTTTTCAGTTGATCCCAGTGTGCATCAAAATTCGAAACGTTATTTTTCCTATCATAACTCCATATCGGGTAGAAAAGATTATCGCAACGATGGTCGACTAACGTGACGATGTTTGCCCAGAAGAAAAGCTTCGTCTTATACTCTGAGTAGCACTTCTCAAAGACTCACCGTATGTTCCGTTAATCTCTTTGTTACTCTACCAAGAAACCAATCATGGAATCTTTTGTAAGATGGCAGAAGACCGATGGTGTAGCAGTTTACAGCAAAACTGAACTAGGGAGCTACTTCAAGGATTCATCGTTCACTGCAACCCCTTCTTCAAGGCGAATTCGCTGGTCTTTGATCGGGTCAGCTACTACTATTTTTGTGTTACTCTTGTGGATTTGGTCATCTAAAATACACAATAACGGGCTCCTTGTGGATGAGGAACTACGTTCGAAGAGCCAGCACATCGAGCAAACAGTACGACGGTATAATCTCACAGTTGGAGCGCGATGGATGAATCTAGGTTCGTTCTCATGAGACTGAGAGCCATAGGTGAGATGATTCTGATAAAAGCAATCAGATGGTGGCGTGTGGAGAGGTATCTACGTTTGCAACGGAGAAACACCTTGTCCGACACTTTTCGCTGAAGAGGGAGACATCGTGGAGTTGAACGTTCACAATGACCTCTTTGCTCAGGTATCTGTCCATTGGTCGGGAATGAATCATCGTAGGTGAGCAAATTTCTATTTTAAAAGATGTTTTGGACTCGGCTAAAGTCCCGGCACAGGTTCGGTTTTTGGAACGACGGCACAGGGGGCTTAAACCAAGTATGTGTTCCCTCCTCGTTATACTGGTTTCTAGTTCGCTTACAAGACTGAAGTATGGCCTCCTACAACGAGGGAACTTTACCTCACGATATGATACCACAGGCCATTGGGGACTGAACTGGTATGCTGACCACACCGGTCTGGGTATAATGGACGGTGCTCATGGCCTGGCTTACGTTGCGCCATCGCCAAGGCGTCTCCGTCCTTATCGTCGAATCACATCATCCCCAACTGAGTTGGCCTTGATTCACGAGGCAGAGCGGAGCGTTCGACATATGCTGGTTTGGAACTATTACCGGCGAGATGCCGGCTGGCGCGTCCTTGAGTTGAAAGGTGAAGGAACAAGCTTGAATTGTTACGACTCTATCCTAGTTAATTCCAAAGGTCGACGACATTGTCGCCACCCAGACTACCCCTCAATTGACGGGAAAAGACTAGATGAGTCTGGATGCATGATTGAAGAAGGAAACGATGGCGTTCCTTGCACTCCCACAAAAGCTGACTATGAGGTGAATTCTTACACCCATCTCTCAATTGACCGCGTTCTCAATGTGTTTACAAGATTAACAGGTGATTGAGACTCATGGAAGGTCATGGATCATGCTCAATATTCTAAATATTGGATTTGAGCATGCTATCCATTACAGCATCGACGATCACAAGATGTGGGTAGTTGCAAATGATGGCGGCTTCATCGAACCACAGCTAGTGGATGTTCTCTATATCACCAACGGGGCCCGGTATACTGTGTTAGTGAAGTTAGACCAAGAAGGAAACGATTATACAATACGCCTTGTGTCAACGAGCAATCATCAAAATCTCTATGGATACTCAATTTTTAGATACCCAGTTAGTCCCTTTGGTCCCAGACACCAATGTGTTCCAACTGACATGCTGCGTCCAAGGCATTACGATACCCGTTACATGGGTCTCCAATGGAGATTCACGATCCCCCAAGCGGTTTAAGTCCATGTGTGGAACTCAATGGCTCCATACATCATTCATGCAATATAATGAGAACATCTTCTCTTGCACCTTATCCGCCCTTGATGCCCCCAAAGGCAAACCGTACCCTTCACTTTAAAATTGATAAACAGCCGTCTCGATACGAAAAATATGTCACCGAGTTCTTCCTCAATAAGAAACCCTGGCAACTCTATCATTCACAAATGGAACCGCTGATATTCGTTGACAATGTGTCAGCTGTCGAGCCTCCAGTCGTAGGCGACCTGCCATGGGGAACCACCGTCGATGTAATCATCCAAAACACAGTCGATGAAGTTATGCCATTCTACAAGCACGGCGATCCAATGTTTTTGATAGGCTCGAATCCCAACGAAACATGGAAGTGGGACACAGCCGAGGCTGCCCTAGCAGCCGGAACCAAGCACCTCAACGTGCAAGATCCCCCACTGCAGCTAGTACACGACGTGCCACCCCTGGGCTGGGCAGTGCTTCGATGGAAGATTCAGGTTCGTGGGGCTACTATGCTACACTCCAACAAGTTCAAATACTATGCGGTGAGTCTAAAGTTTGCCTAACATCCGTTTTCCAAGCTGACCCCGCATCTAGATGGGAATGTCCGTACCCTTGCTTGAGGGCATGGATTCAGACACGTGGAGGGAAGTGCCAGAGTATGTGAAGGGTATGCCGCATGTTGAGTTTAAGCCAAAGAATGATGGCGTTTTCGGTTAAGGTTGGCTTTCAAGGCAGCGGGGTTGCTTATTATTTTCTTATGTGGCAGCAAAATCCCAAACTCTCATTGCCGGTGCGCCCGTCTTGTTTAACATAAGCTTTCACTAGTTCAGAACGTTTGGAAGTGGTATCAATCAAGACTGAGAAAGTGGTGTAGTTCATTGCAACTTAATGTGGATTCATAAGAAAAAGGGGGGTAGTCTGGAACGCTGCGGTCAATCGATGTTTAATTTGATGTCAAGGATTGGTTGTGCAAAGTAACTGGCTTGCCAGAAAACAAGCTCAACAGAGTTTTGGATGCTAATATTTTGGCTCGTCATGGATGCCATGCTGTTTTGCCTCGGCAATATTTCTGCTGGACAGCACTCCATCAACGTGTATAAGGCATCTTGGTCAACCTAATATCAATGAGTCAGCTGTGTGTCAAAAGACTTGATGATGCTTCGCATTTACATGCCCAGAAACAGAGAATGTTAAGATCTTAAGAGGACCTCGGTCTCGCTTTACATATGTACCTTCGGCAGAAGTTATTGCAGTATTAATATGCTGTCACATGTTAAATGCGTGCTGCCACCTCGTTTGCATCATGATTCTAACATCCTAGGCGGACAGACGTACAATAATTGCCAAAATATACCCTTTTGCAGGAATGATACTTGAAATAAGATTAATCTGAGATGGTGTATCCACGCGTTATCCAACCCATCTAGACTCAGGACTGGGATTTTACTGAATTTTCAGGAATTAAGACATTAAACCTTCCTTTTTTACTGTGGTTCTTTCTCTGTAGGTATGGGTATACAGGTCTTTTAAGCAACTAAAGATCTGGTATTAATGACAACATCAAAATAGACCAGAAAGCGCACCGCTTGACCAGATTTCTTTCCCAGGTTGAAATCAAGTTACTGTAACGATCTCCGAAATGTCACCCACTGCAAACATGCTCCCCACCTATGTCCCTGTTCAGAAGGTTGCGGCAAACAATGGTATTGTCTATGCTTATCGTCGCCTTGGCCCCGCCGAGGGTATTCCCCTTGTGTTACACATGCATGTGCGTCGTCCTTTGCCTGAAGAGGTCATGGTGCTAACAGTGATTAGGTGAGGGCCTCCATGGGCTACTGGGATCCCGTATTCATACGTCCACTAGCGATGAAGCGCCCTGTCATTATGTTTGATCCGCCGGCAGTTGGGCAGAGCACCGGTAACACCCAACGCACACCGACTGACAGTGAGTGCCCCCTGTCAAGCAGTGAGGTCGCGAGCTGATTGGTGCTTTAAGTAAACACCATGGGAGAGGATCTGATTGCGTTCCTTGACGCTCTTTCTCTCGATCTCATTGACCTTCTTGGGTTCTCCATTGGAAGCATGGCCTGCCAAATGGCAACGCTCTCAATGCCAGATCGAGTGAGACGTCTCATTCTTGTTGGCGCGGATCCCTCGGGGCCTATTCCAGGAGATCACTTTTGGCCCCGGACCGATCCAAATCTTGATCGATTCCTGTCTCTTCAACGGAGTGCCTCTGAGGCTGACTGGGAGGCCGCTTACACCCTCACGTTCTTCCGCAATGATGATCAAGGCAGAGCGGCCGCCGAATCTTACTTCAAACGCTTGCGGCACAGTGAGTTCAATGAAAACGCTAGCGGTGGTGCACTACCAGCATTCAACAACGTAGAAAGCTTCATGATACAATTGGCTTGTATCAAGCATTGGTGTGCACCTGGTGATAGAAACAAACACTCTTATTACAGATTGCACGAGCTTACAATGCCCGTACTAGTCATGACAGGCGACGATGACTACCTGGTCCCTACGCCTAGGAGCTATGAGCTTCTGGATGGGATCCCAAACTGCACGCTAGTCATTTGGCCTCGTGCCGGACATGCATCCATCTGGCAGTATGCCGAGAACAACGCGGCAAGGGTCAACGAGTTCTTGGATAGTAATCCTGATAATTATGTTGAACCCCGTTTGTGATTATTAATCGATGTTTACCAGGTGTTGATCTGGTGAAAGTCTGAGCTTGGATGGAAACACTCCTCACTGTAAACTAAACTGCGGGCAACTTAAAAGTTTTTCCTTTTGCATAGTGAAACAATAAATTTGTGATGGTTACCTAATCTGTTGTTCAGCAACTCTCCTAGCCCCTATGTTGATGCCTAGGTTTCCTGGATACTTCAAAGCTTGGGAAATCGACATCGATGAACTTGGCATTACCCATGGACCCGCGGTACTAGTCGACTGAAAACGATATTGGCCCTCAATGAATCCGTAAGCACCCCTGAGGTTCGACCATTGGCCAAAGCCTGCTGTTGGGATGACAAAGACTAGACGTAGATTCAGGCTACTGTGAAAAGCCTGTTTATTTGTACCTAGTATATCATACAAATCGGCTTAAGCCGAATACAATAGTCCCCATCACTTTCTCGAGGAACATTTTTGTTTCATAAATGATGTCGAAAAATCTCATTTAAAATGTTGCAGACGAAATTGATCGGATTATTTTTCTTGTTAGCAGTCTTGGTCTTTGGGAAAAATGTTCGAAAGTACAATCTGACCTTGACATATGCCTGGGACAAACAAGGTGCCCTCTGAGAAGTGATCTTTCACGGTTCTCCACTCTAACTCCGTCCCAGATGGTCACGGCCGTCCAACCTATCTCATCAATGGAGATACCCCTGGACCCGTATTAACTGTTAATGAAGGAGAGACTCTGGAAGCATTTGTGGACAACCAACTGCCCATAGAAACCACACTTCACTGGTATGAACGCCTCATTTACTGTATCCACCTGGACAAGATCTGAGACAGAAATAGGCACGGAATTTATCAAATAAATGAACCATGGAATGATGGTGTTCCAGGCGTTACTCAGGTCAGCATGTCTATACGTATGCCTTGCCTTGATAATTGCTCATTCAATAAAATCCAGTGGGCCACTGAGCCAAGAGATAACTATACCTATCGATTTACACCTGAAGGCCAGTATGGAAGCTACTTCTATGATGGTCACTTTGGGCCTGCCTTCTCTGACGTGAGTTATAATGCTGATTTCGTCTACTTCAATGTTCCCTATCGTACTTAACACTGGTTGAAATCAGGGTCAAAGAGGTCCGCTTTGGATCGTGCCAGCTGAATGGCGACCTCGGCCGTATCGTCTTATAACCAACGATGAGCATGAAATCAGAGCAATGCGCGCAGCGGAAAGTAACCCGCGCCACATTATTGTTGCCGATTGGAATGATCAACCTATGGACATGTATCTGATTCGGTTCCGGGACACGGGATATATCCCAATCTGCGCCAATAGCCTCACTTTGAACGGACGAGGCGGAACACGATGCGAGTCTGCTCATGATCTTGAAGAAGCCGGTGGGCCTGGGCGTAATGAGAGAGGCTGTCGTTACATGATTCCCGGCCATGAGTACACTAACCCTGAATATTGCACCGAAACGCATCCGAAACTAGAGATTATTCAGGCTAATCCAGGAGAAGAATGGGTTTGGATTAACTTCATTCATTCCGGTGCTCACCACTCTCTCGCAATTAGCATCGATGAGCATGAGTTCTGGGTCGTTGCGGCTGATGGTGAATTTGTTCATCCGCAGAAGGTCGTAAGAACTCATGTTAACCTTGGCGAAAGAACGAGGTATTCTCCATACCATTCGCTTGATTCAAAAAAACCAGAGTTCAATAACACTTGCTGTAGCATTCTGGTCAAGATGGATAAGCCGGCTGGGGACTATGCATTGAGGCTCCATTCACTAAGATCTGAGCAGATAATTCAGGGAGCTGGCATCTTGCGATATGCTACAACAAAGGTGACTGCTGATGAACGCAGAAGACCGTTTGCTAAACGAGGAGTCAGTCTAGCTGATGGGTATTCTGTACAGGATGTTTCGAGCAACTCTAATCGGACAGTTCCCGACACAAAGCCATGGCTACATTTGAACGGAAGCCTTGTCGACACTGAGAAGAAAGCCATGGATGAAACAAAACTATATCCGTATCCTCCTCGGTCGCCTCCTGAAAAAGCTGACTTCACTCTTAAGTTCATGGTAAATAAGACTGGTCCGTCGACTTGGGTGCTTAACGCAGCACCACATGAGTTCTTCCGTCAGAATGTTCCTCCCATATTGTGGAACGAGAAGTCACGCGGCAAGACTTCGTGGGGAAACTCACAGGGCTTTCTCAAAAATGGATCTGTCGTTGACTTAATCATTGAAAACGGAGCCGCCGTTGACGCCAGCCACCCTTTTCACAAGCATAATCACAAAGTGTTCATCATAGGCCACGGGGACGGTGGGTTTCCTTGGATGAATGTTGATGAGGCTATGAGGAACGGGGGCGAGAAGTATTTCAACCTGATCAACCCACCTTACAGAGACGGGTTCACCTCACAGGCCGGAGAAGGAAAGTTTGTCGTAGTACGGTATAGGATCTACTTCCCGGCTGTTAGCATGCTACATTGCCACATGATCCACCATTTTGCAGTAAGTCTTAGTGCCTATCACATATCCTGATCACCTGGATTCTGAATAGCATCCAATTGTAGAGCGGACAACAAGTTATCCTACTGGAGGGAATGGAAGTTATGCCTCCAGTACCCGAGGAGCTAAAACGCAAACCTCATGTGGAATTTCAAATGCCCCTGCGATATGGGCCTTTGGACTAATAAGGAGCTCTGAAAATGTTGATGGCACTATGTATGGTTTCTTGGCAGAGGTCAATGCATATGTAATGCTACATAGTTGTTATTTCTGTTAATGATCAGTACCTGGTAAAAGAAGGAACAGGCAAGTCTGCTATAGTGTCGGCACTCGTTATCGCTCTTCTTTATGAAGAGAAGAAATAGTAACGCTAGTGGTCAGTATTGGAACGGAAACGTTGAATATTTGTGTTTTAAAGTTGATGGTAGCAAACTCCCTTCTCATATTATATGTTACTTGAACTATGGAAATAACAAATCTCAGGATGTGTGACTCGGCGCCATGTGTCTGGAACTTATAACACGAAGTTTGACCATATTTTGCCTGGCTATTCCAAAACACTGATGTCAACCCACCAAGTAGCCACAAATACAAGAGCAGCGTATGCTACAAACAGGGTGTATAGCTCAATGAACCCAATTGCAAAGGGTGTCCGCTTGACCTTTCCCATGACCTCGGGAATGGGATAACGTGCTCCATTCCTTCCTCTCTTGCCCAGCAACTTGTGTCGCTCAGGGATTTGTGGTGGGTAAAGGGCATATTTGATCGGGGTGAAGCAGGCCAACGCTGTGGGAACCCATGGATGTGTAGGCCAAGCAACCTTCCGAAGAAGCCGGACACATAGAATTTCGAACCCGTGTTCGTCATGAACCACGAGGGAATGCTCACGGAAAACCCGAGAGCAGCGCATATAAGCTCCAGTACCAAAAAGAACAACGATGAGCAAATGGACCCACGCACCGCAGCCAATAATTATATGCTGAAGGCGCTTAAGTAAAGGAGCCCTTCGGTCGGGATCGCGCTCGTGATATACATTTCCGATGCTGCCCGTTGGAGTAAAGGTGGTTGTTTTACCACCTAGACTCCTGGGAAGAATGAATGATCTGAACCATGCTACTGTTGCATCTGCGGTCACATTCATTAGAAGGGTTTTTAAACCTATTAATCCACATTAAATACTCACATGGAGCCTGATAAAAATATTGAGCGGATTCCCAGATAGCTGCACGATAGCCTGATAGAACGGCTTGGTGAACATCGTGCAACCAGCGAAAAACGACAATACCACAGTGAATCCGCAGTAACATCCGCATTTCCGCGAGATCACGCCAGTAGACGAGATCAGCATTGGTCATGGACACAACTGCGGCGAGAATAAGACTCAAGGTAGCCATCTGAGTGCGTAGATGCACACTCAATCCCTGAGAGAATCCGATTAAAACCTGCCTTGGTGTCTGACTTTTGGTTCGGGAGGGCAAAAGAAAGAAGCCAAATTTGATAGCCATCTGACAACCTCCGATATACTAGCTTCAACTTAGTATGAAAGCGGCAGAGGGAACGGAGCTTCATGAACATACCCATCTGACAATCTGCTTAATGTGGGCGGCGTATGTGTCAGGCACAAGACCCCATTGAAGGGCCTCAGGGACGTAGGTTGTCTTCCAGCCTTCGGCCATAGCCATCATTGAGCTGGTGATATCCTCAGTAAGAACATCGGTTGGGAATCCGCCGATGTCGTCAATTGCCTCCCGCCTCATAACCCAACCGGAGCCAAGGTTGAACCCAGAGCCAGCCAGGCCGCATACAAGGTCCCGACAGTACCAACTGAACTTGTTGCTCTGGAAAAGAGGATCGTCACTTGGGACATTGTAAAAGTGCTGAAAGATGCATTTAGTTCCGTTGAACCTCACCTTGTTTGGGAACGATTACTAACCTGGGCTGGACATACGACTCCAACTCTCCGGTCACGCATAATGTGAGCCGTGACGCAACGGAGCCATCTCGGCTCTGGAATCATATCCGCATCGAGGCCAGCTACGAGCTCGGCAGCGCCGCCTGGCAAAAACCCAGCAAACTTGACGGCTTCATTCAGATTACCTGCTTTCCAACCTCCAAGTCTGGAGCGAGCAGTGTAATAAAGGTTGGGATGGTCGTCGGACAGTTGGCACACCCATTCCTCTAACAACTTAGACCTTCCGTCATCGGCAACGATAACCCGGAAGCGACTAATCGGATATTCGACGCTCAGCGCAGCGCGCACGGTGTCTTTGACAATGTCAATTTGCTCGTTGCACACCGTTACTATGACATCTACGGACGGTACATTATCGCCTAGTAACCGTAAGTGAGGTTGCCATCGCCCTGTGAGAGCACCAGACTTGATGATGACTTGAAGAATGCCATCAACTGGGAAGGGTCGTCAGATTAATTCTTGCGAGTCTTGGCGATGTTCACATACCTGCCAAGGATACTTCCCATACCACAAAAACCCAAGCCAGGACAAGACGGCTCGAAGAAAGATTACTCTCATTTCCAAAGTGGTAGAGAGTCCGAAATTGGATATGAGTGCCCCAAAATGAAAGGAGCTGCGGGATGAGGTTTGTCATAAAGAACAAGCGAGCAACATGCTGACGCCAGGGAGCAATATACATAACATCTTGATCCTTGACGGCAGGAGTGCGGTCAATGAAAACCGAATCTTCGTCCACAATATCATTTCTGAAGCTATATGTCGTAGGTGAGTTTAGTCGAGATTCATGGTAGCTCTCTGATGCTTTGCTGGGAGAGGGACGTTTGAGAGACCCATCCTTCTCACTCAGTAAATTGTCAAAGTTGCTCATTTCTTTTAATGGTTTCGACATGGTGCAGACCTCAAATCTGTGACGTCGCAAGACAATCGAAGTGGCGGTAATACGGATGTATACCACAAGACCTTTGAGAGAGTCACGAGCACGCATTTATCATCTCTGATCGTTTGCACAGTCTCCGTTAAATACTTCAATAGCCATGAAGAAATTTTCTTCTACAAATGCTTATCAGCAGACACGCTACTGCTCATGTGTCATTGCCGATTTCGCTGGTGACATTGTTTCTTCAACCCCCACTGAGTGGTGATATGGAGGCTGAAGCCCTGCTCACAAATGTTCTGGACCTGAGGTCGTTGTGCCCAACAGACTCCCACCTTCCCAGCAAGGCAGTTTGAATCCGAGCAAGCGGCAAAGGACTTTTGCTAGATATTGTGATTGGTTGGATGCATGGTTTGCAACTCGGACTCGAATAAGCTCTAGCAACTTCAGTAGTATGTAGGCTGGAGAGTTCCACGAATGGGTTAAGTCGTGCAGGCTTAGTGTCTTATGCGCGTCTGACGTGTGCAAGAATCAGATCCGCAAGGCGACGAAGAACGTTTTCTGGTGGGGATGAAGAGGGGGAATCTTGTCTTACTTGACCAATCGCGGCTGAAGTATCGACATTAGCGAATCGACAACGGCTCAAGCAAGTTCATGCGCCGCACAGCTGCATATCGCACTGTGTGCATCGAGATGATACGATAGAGGCATTTCACTTCACGGTATCCACTGACTACTCAACTGCGAACGGCGTTGAGTCGCGATCGGATATTGCTCTTAACGTAGCTAACAAGCCCTCTCATTACCAGACTTATTCTAGGCAACAGACATTTTCGGCTTCTGTGACATCATTCATTAACTTGGTACTACTGAACAGAGCATCAACATGATCACTGGCCCTAAGACGTGCCTGGCAATATTCTTTGTCAGTTTTGTTGTTTTACTATTTTACTTCTCAATTGATAAGCTACCACCAAGAGCGAGGTTAGAATGGCACTCGTCAGAAAATCCTTCAGTCGTAGGAAAATGGGAGCCAAGTGTTCCTGTTCCCCTAGTCCCTGTCGCTGCGGCAGTTTTGGGCCATACAGGAGAGGTTCTTTTATGGTCAGCGGATAACCCAGGCTCATTTGGAAACCAAGACCGGACGGTCTCCGCCTTGTACAATCCGAAAACAAGACTGGTATCCAGCAAGATAGTCTCTGAGACCGGACACAACATGTTTTGCCCCGGTCTATCACTCAACGTGTTGGGTGATGTGTTTGTCACCGGAGGGAGCACATTCAATCACACAACCATCTACCGCTCTGCAAATCGGTCTTGGGAAGCCGGTCCAGGTATGACCACCGGCCGTGGCTATCATGCACAGGCTACACTCTCAAATGGAAAGATATTCACCATTGGGGGCTCTTGGTCTGGTGGAGTGTTGGACAAGAACGGCGAAGTATTTGATCCAACAACGCAAACTTGGGTGTCTCTACCTGGTTGCCGGGTGGAACCAATGCTCACGGCCGACGCCAGGGGTGCATTTTCTGCAGACAATCACCCTTGGCTTTTTGCATGGAAGAACGAGTCTCTATTCCAGGCAGGTCCGTCTACGGCCATGAACTGGTATGGAACCGGTAATGCAGACTCTCTGGGTAGTCAATCCCCAGCGGCTTTCCGCGGCCACAACAACGACGCAATGAATGGCAACGCGGTCATGTATGATGCGGGCCGAGGCAAAATACTCACGTTAGGCGGAGCGCCCAGTTATGCATACTCTTCTGGAAAAGCTACCGTTCATGAAGTGACAATCTCAGAGCCATTTGGGAATGTTAGCGTGGAGGAGCTTCAACCTATGCATGCTCCTCGAGCCTATGCCAACAGTGTGGTGCTTCCTACAGGAGACATTTTCGTGAACGGTGGAGCAACCTACGCGCTACAATGGACCGATGTCAACGCAACGTGGTATCCTGAGTTATGGAACGCCAAAACAAAAAGGTTTGAGCGTCTTGCACGCATGACAACTCCTCGAACCTACCACAGCGTTGCAGTTTTGCTTCCCGACGCTACTGTGTTAACAGGTGGAGGGGGGCTCTGTTGGGAGCCATGCGAGGACATACCTCAATGGGAAGCGGGAAGCGACCATTACGACGTTCAAGTGTTTAAGCCTCCTTATCTTTTTGAGCCAAATGGGGACACTCTAGCTAGGAGGCCAAGAATTTTGACTGTATCGAACACAGAGGTGGCATTGGGCGATAACCTTATAACGCAGACGGATATAAACGTGTTAGAGTTCACTTTAATACGTTATAGTTCAGCTACTCATTCAATCAACACAGATCAGAGGCGGATAGTACTGGAATTTCTGCCCAGAGCTAGTTCTCCAAAGCTCGGTTGGAGCTACGAAGTTAAGATACCGCTCGATCCTGGGATAGTCGTGCCAGGATACTGGATGTTGTTCGCGATTACGTCGGAAGGAGTGCCTAGTATGGCAAAGACTTTACTACTTCGTATATGATGTACATAAAACAGAGACAAAGTTTAAATGTAAATTTTCCATGTGAGAAACGGTTTAAATCCTTCTAAACATAGTTTTTAGTATGCTATTCCAATTGGTGGCACTGTCTGAAAGATCAAAGAATTGTAGCAGTAAAGTAAGACACGTATAGCTTGTTCAAGGTATCCAAGAAAAATGTTCTCCTTAAACTCTACTATTCATCTTGTTCATGAGATCCTAGTGTCCACTCCTCAAGAGGGACGAGTTTTGGCAATTTGACCTCCTTATCTCTGCCCCACCTAGGCGAAAAGACCACAGAAACGGTACTACTCCCAGAGAAAATGTCGATAGCTAAGACGCTGACACCCTCGTTTGACATATCTTTCAAATTGTCTTTTCGCGAATCACCTTGAGGAACGGGCTCGAGAGTCTCGAAGACAGCATTTACCGGAGACTGGAGTATTACATCCAATGTCTTGTTATTGAGGTCCAAGCCTAAGAGCCATTAGCTAAAAATGTCAACGTCATTTGTCTGCCACTTTACTTACGAGCCGTCCTTTGGTCCTTGCTATATGAGATACTGGCATTGGTATGCATTCGCCACTGGAAGCTATGCGGTGAAGTCCCAATTTCGTCTTGAATCAACACCTGTCTTCGTTTATTGAGCATTCTCAAGCCGCGTTGAATGCGTGTCCCATTATAAGCGGCAGCCATGTTGACAATCCAATACGCTGTGGTCTCGATGAGGTCGGGATCGCCATTCATCTCCGACGATTCGAAGCGGGTTTGCGGTTGGGAATCTGCGATTTGGTTTTCGCCATTCATCACCATCGTATTCTGCCCTTCAGTTCTGCAGCGGTAATAGTCCCACCGCCTACTATCCTGGCTCTCGCCTGAGAAGTAACCTTCAGCCAAATAGTCGTCCTGACAGAGCTCACCGGCCCATCGTTCGCCCATCGCATCAAGCACGAAGTCGCCGGCATCGAGATTACCATCTGCGAGATGTCATTAGCGTTTTGTCAACTCTTACTTTCCGTCTAACATACGCGCTGCGTGGCCTATCATGCTACCTGCTTTCATCGCAATGAACAAGCCCTCAGGGTCACTCCATGTCGACCTCATAGAAACCCAAGCCCCTGCGTTGTCCGGGAATTCCCGATCTAGTGGCAAATTGTAGACCCAATTACCAGTAACTTTAGGCGTATACCATAACATGCTCAAAGGGTCAGCTGCATCAAGGCGATCTCTTTGATACAACACCAACTTTGGGTCTGCAAACTCTCTGCCATAGTACAAAAGAGCATTCGCCGTTGCAGTGAGTTTAAGAGGGCCGCAGTCTCCATAGTTAAACTTTTCAGTCATTCCGTTGTTGTAAATGTGAAATAGGGATGTGTTTCGAAAACCTTGATTCGCCGTTAGGAGTTGGTATGTGCTGCCTGTGGCAGTCTGTAGTGCGGAAGTAAGTTGAGCATGGGCTTGTGTTCCAAAATACCTAGATTCTAATCAGTACACGATTAAGTATTAACCTGGAAAGTAGAAACTTACCAGTAGTCGGGAGTCTCAGCCCAAGTCCCATCAGACTCGACAGCCTGGGCGCAATACCGCCGAGCATTATCCACAGCAAGCGGAAGCAGCCGTCGTGCGATACCCGTTTGATCTTCATGATATATGGCTAGCGCACCAATTATCATACCTCCATTAGTTACACCTAATCACATGATTAGGATTTCGAAAACTTTATGTGTAAAACAGATCGAAGGTTGCCTTACAGTTCCAGTTCGATCTTGCTGAGAGGAACCATTCAGAACGATCATAAGCCTGCAGTCCCTTTGATAAACCCAATGAGACTATGGACCACATAATGGCCTCCCTTTGTTCGACACTCCAGACATCAAAGAGCCAATCATATGCGTAACTGAAAGCGACCAAAAACTCGCCAACATCAAGCCAATGTCTGAAGATTATATCGGACATTAGCAAGGAACTCAGACTCAGTGAAAAACTATACTTACTTAGTATTCCAATTGTCTCCTTGGGTACCAAAATACTGCGATGAGTTCCCCGAGGCCACGATCAACTCTTCCCAAATTCTTTCTTTCCATCTAAGGTCATGGGAGATGCGAAAGGCATATGCCCAATGCTTGATACGAAGCTGCAACTCCCTCGCCACGTCGAGCACTCCACTTCCAGTGAGGGAACCATCAATGGAGTAAGTAATCGACGGTTTATCATGCAATTCAACCGCACGACTGAGAATGCTGCTGTTCCACGCACTTAGATAGGGATCCTTTCGAATAAGACTAGGTATTCCGTTCCACTTTTTCCTTCCTGCGAAAAGTCTTGGATGTTCTGCGACAACTTCTAGTAAGTGCTGAGACGTACTGAACTGCCAGGCATTTTCAGGTTCCGTCTCATGTCCATGCAAAAATGCTGGAGGCTCGGGTTGGCGCAAAGGACTGTAGGAAGGAATGCCATATCTGTTACGAGAAGCAAAGGCGACACCGTCTTCTTTTTTGTCAGAGGCTGGGGGATGAAAATTGTTGTAAAAGCCAATGTGATACGTCGGATCTCGGAAGGATGACTGCAAAGCCGCAAAGAAAATCAAAGAGACGAGGCACAAAGCCAGCATAAAGCGTAACGGTCTTGCTGCTTTTCTATTTGTGATATACCCAGCCATGGCTACTTCGTAGATGATTTTCTTTATGTGCCTTACTACCTACATGCTCTGCTATCAGTAAGATATGGTGAAGTAGACGAAGACGTAGCGCGATTGACTGACCTTGTTTGGCGGAATTTCCATGACAGTGAATCAGTCAATTACTGTAGCATGTTTGCCCACCGAATGTCTAAATCTGACCTGCCGAAATCGGCGATTATTTCTAGGGTTCCATTACAGCTGCTGGAATCCTTTCTCGTCTTACACACCATCTAGCCTCATGGAAGGGTTACATGGCTCGCGTAGTTACATGATGACTACAGTTACCCCTACATCCCATAGGGAAATGAATCCACCATAACAGTGTGAGACAAATATGATTACGGTGCTGCCTTTCTAGCTCATAGACCAACCACCATGAGGTTACACAAAAAGTTGATCCATTTTAAAGCCCACAGTCTCCAGTCATTGCACGCTAGATACTGTAGCTTAAGCGCCCTTGATGGCAATGCAAAAAAAACCGCAATTTTCGAGCCCGACTGGAGCTCCACTGTACTAGATATGGTATTAATGCCAATTCCGGCGAGTTGGGCGCTGCAAAACTGAGCGTTTTATCGTTAAAGTGACCGAATGCACGTTGCCACCTAGATCGCTTAAGTGGCGACAACTTATGACAAAAGGTCCCTTGGCGCATGTTACGAGACATTTCGGCCTCAAACCCTGTAGAAAGCCGGTGTGCTTCATGACTGATTGCCGTATTCGACTAGTTCGCTGTCACAAACAGGGTATGATGGAGCGAAGTCGCTACTGTTGAGCCCCTTGCTTTGTGACTCAGTTATTTGCTCTAAGGGGGTCGTAAAACGACGAGGATGATAATAGCTCTCGAGAAAACTTTATATTCCACTACTTAGATATTATCATACCGTTACACATCTTTAAATAATGACTGGATGTCTTGGTACGCATTCACTACGAAACTTGTCAGAACCTTCGTAATATTCAGAGAAAACTGTACTTTAGGGAGGCATAAACAACTAGGAGAAAGAGATGCCTCGATGTTTAACAGCTCCCACGAAGTAAAAAACTTCATATGCTCCATACGATGAGGGAAAAAATTGGATTAGTATTAGGAACACTCGTGCGGTTGTAGGAAACGAAGAAACCGTTGGAAGGGGGTCTGAAGTCGGTGTAATAGATGAATCCCTGCAGAAATTGCGCATGTACCTTGAACAACATGTTTATTACCAATGTCTAGTTTGGAAGCAGATGTAGTAGTCTATAGACGCCCGTGATTCAAATATCCGTTACGGACCAAGCTGAACGAAATTTTACCTTCTTTTTCTACGCGCTGCCAAAGCGCACTCTTACTAATCGAAATGGAAGTATTTCAACCCTACTGTAGGCGCATCGGAATGTTCAGCATACAAGGGCTTTCTGAAGCTGATGAGGAGGCAGCAAAGGGTGCCCATTGACACATCATTAACAGCACTTTTACTGCCACTTGTCGGCTTTAAACAAATGAGCTGGAAGGCAATTCCTTTGGCTGCGCTCTATTTTGTGTAAATCATGACTAAAGATATACTGCCGCACCAACTATCCTCATCAACCCGGGAAACGTACTACCGAGCACGACACTATTGCGACTTGAAATATGGAGCGATCAACGTCCCCAACATGAATGTGCAAACCTTCCTCTCGACAGTGAAGCGTAAATTGACTTTACCCCCGACAGCTGTCTTGTAACATTCCTCTACTGTGCAACCATTTTGCTCCAGTAAATCGTACTGACTTACACCTCTGCGTTCTTATTTAAGTAGCACACATCGCATTTGCATGGCACTTCAAATTGAATGGGGACGAGAGTGTTGATGCGGTACAGAGGGCGACAAGTCTATTGGTATAGTTCATATATTCAGTCAGGGTCATAAACGAAACTATCGCATGAGTCTGGCTACAGTGCCTAGCAAAAAAGAATAAATTAAACCTCTGTAGAGATGCACCTAACAATAAGAGGGTCAAGGTTTGTTGTAAGGAGGACTAGCGATAAAATTTGCTACTATGTATGAGTGCAGAATCTCACAGCCTGCAATGCCTCTATTCGACAAATCTCTAGTGGCCGTGGTTGTATAGAACCTTTTTTCAGGCGGCATTCATTATATCAAGGTTGGTGCGCAATGAGAGCCGGTCTGTCAGTGTATGCCATCACTTAGTGAGGGGGGGACAATTGAATCTTGTATGATACTAAATGTATGTCTAAATGACTTCGATCAATAGACAGTAGAATAAACTTTCGTTCGAGGAGTATGATCCCTGAATCGGAAATAGAAATCCGGGACGGGGCCAATCCAGAGCGCCAATTGCCAATAGAAAAGCTCGTTGAGGGCAAAGAAACTCATCAATGTTTCAGTAGCCATTCCGCCATCCTCAAATCGCGACAAATTGGCTTGGCAAAACCTTCTTAGAGTGCTAGAGTGCTTCTAATGGCCATAACACGACAACTCTACGCCTAGTCTCACTGGAACTGGTTCTCTTGGCGAACAACGTAACCCCCGTCGGCATATCATTTCATTGAAGTGTAGAACGGGTCAATTTTCAGAGACGCCGTCCTGCTTCCTATTAATACGCTACAGCAGCACTTCCTTAAAACTGCCCTTTAAACTTTGATTTTCTGTGTCTGCTTCTAACGCGAAATCATCCAAATCTTGATCCATCTTGTCCCAGCAGATCCCCCAGACCCGTCGTCTGGTTATGCTGACCGGCTCTTCCCTTGCCGCGCTCATAGCGCTCTCCGCGCTTTTTTGCTACCTGTATCATGAGCTGCATTATCGCCGGATCAAGCAGTTTGCACATTACCCACAGATGAAGCCTTCGTTGATATGGGGTCATCTCAAGTTAATCAAAGCCTTCCACCGGAAACGTGGTGAGAAAGGGGGGCATATTGGCAAGTGTCCTCTACTACCTAGATATTTGCGTGTCGACCATGTAATTTGATCTAACGCAGGAAATCAATGCAGATCATGTTTTTGGAGACATATGCGAATCCATGGGCAATCCTCCAGTTTTGCTTCTTGACTTTCGTCCTCTCAATAGTCCTGTACTTCTCGTCCGCAGTCACGAAATTTCGGAGCAAATAACACGGCAATCGAAAATGTGGCCCTATAGTACTCCGAAAGCTGATACAGCGCAATATTTAACGCCACTGATAGGAGAAAATTCTATGATTATTCTTTCGGTAGGGCAACCGCTTGTATCTACCTAATATGCCTATTGTCAGTTTAATTAATATCTACTGAACTTAGGGCCCCAAGTGGAAGGATATGAGGAAGCATTTCAATCTCGGATTTGCTCCCCAGCACTTGATGACTCTGCTACCCCTCATTATGGACAAAACTCAGGCCTTCCTCTCAAAGCTTGATAGCCTTGCCAGCACTGGCGAGGTTTTTGATCTTGACCCGCTCTGCACAAACCTCACGTTTGACATCATTGGTTAGTCGCATTCGCCCTTCCAATCCCACATCAACGGGTGGTTGACAGTTATTATATAGGTGCCGTAACTATGGGCGTTGACCTTGACGCGCAACTCCCCGAAGAACAGCAAGGAGATTTCATCAGAAATTACAAAGCATTACTTCAATCTTATAAGGAACCTGGCATTCTAAAATGGAGGGGGAATCCACTCATCAAACGGCGGCGCAGAGTCCTCTCACAGGCAATTGACAGCTTCTTAGCGGAAATTGTTCGTCACAAATTCGATGATATCAAGGAAGACAAAGGCTTGTCCAGCCGAAGCATCCTAGAGCTAAGTCTCAAAGAGGCCCATGCTCTAACCAAAGAGCTGATCGACAACACCATCGACCAACTCAAGACCTTCATGTTCGCAGGGCATGACACTACAAGTATTGTTCTACAATGGGCCATTTACGAACTTTCACGAACACCTCATGCTATTCAGAAGCTTCGTTTGGAATTAGAAGAGCTCTTTGGTCCCAGCCCAAATCCCGCAGCCATCCGCAACACTCTGAAAACCCACGGGGGCGAGATAATTAACGACATGATTTTTACATCGGCTGTAATCAAGGAGACTCTTCGTCTATACCCTCCCGCGGGATCTGCTCGGTTGTGCCCTCCAGGGTCAAATTTCCACATCCAACTTCCCGATGGCAGCAACATCTGTGTCGATGGTATAGTTCTTTATAATTGTGCAACTCTTGTTCAGCGAGACGCCAATGTCTATGGCAACACTAAAGACGATTTTCTACCAGAGCGATGGTTAGACAATAGAGACACACCGATTGCAAAGAACAAGGATAAAGTCGACATCAGCGGAGCCGGAGAAGGCATTCCTGCTTCTGCATGGAGGCCGTTTGGGAGAGGTCCAAGAAAATGCATTGGACAGGAACTCGCAAACATTGAGGCTAAGGTTATCTTAGCATGTGTAATCAGCAAATATGACTTTGAGAAAGTCGGACTTGGAGAAGCAATGGTCGACACAAACGGGAAACCGATTGTTAACGAGAAGGGACAGTACCATTCCAAGACACAGCTATACAACGTGAGTATCTCTTCATACCCGATATGATCAATTGACCATACTAATGAACTGATTTAGACACAGCAGATCACAGCTCGGCCAGTAGATTACATGAGGGTCCGGGTCCGGCTAAGGCATGACTTGTCCTAAGGTAACTTACATCAAGAGGTTTATAGGAAAATGGAGTTGGGTTTTTTTTTTTTTTTTCTTTTTTGGTAAACGTAAATTCTTCCGAGTAAAATATGAGTTTAAAATGATTTCAAGGGGTGATACGCACTCAACGGTGGGGTCACCATTAAGGTACTGGGCAGAAAGTATTTAAAATAATCATGCAATTCATTTTACACCTAGTTCCACCTCATTCCAAGCCTAGTTACATAGAACCCAAAAAGCCAAATGAACAACATGGACTTTGAATTCGTCATTCCATAGCTTTTTCTTTTCACCCTCATCTGCTCGCATATTCCAGCTCAACCTAGCAGACCAAGTTCTTAACCGACCGGGCAAAAGGCCTCAGTCAAGGTGGAACATGAAATTAAATGCCAATACCTTCCTCGATACTGAAAGAGAGCGCATTTCACTTGCTAACCGCCAGCCAGAGAACACGTAATCGCTTTTCACTGCGGCTAGGGGCCACACAACCCTCCGTGGGCTGAAATAAACGGCTGCTGAGATGAATTGCTCGATGCGCCGGATCTTCAGACAATCGTTACCATAAATCGCGCGTTTCACCCTTCCATATCGTAGGCAATTCAACCCTCTTCAACGTTGGAAGCTTTCATAATTCCTGTGTCTCTATGTAATTCTTAACGAGTAAAATTTGAGACATACTCACAGTAAGGGGAAGTCATTTGAAACATTGACAGTCGAATTGTCTAATGATGCGCCCATGATGTCACTCATCATGCCACAACATGATGTCACTCCATCATCGTAAACTGCATTCAGCAGAAATTGCTTTTGAATGTCAGCATTGCATTTAAGTATCAACATTTTCTCACGTAGCACATGTTCTCATAACATAACACCAAAGGAGGCTCTATCACGGCAAGCTATTTCGCGATGGCTGGATCGACAGACGACAAACAACAATCAGAACACAATGCGAAGGAACTCTCGAATGGTTACGGCCCCAGCTTTGCAACAGCTGTTCCGAAATGCCCAATCACTTATCGGAGGCCGCCAGCAGTGAATGCAGACAAAATACTTGAATCACCAGGGGTTGCACATGCAAATTTTGCTCCTTCAATGGATGAACCCGATGGGAGCGTCGAGTATTCGGAAAAGTACAAGGACTATGTCAGTCTGAGCCCCAATATCTAAAGATATGCAACATTTTGCAGTGACTGACACTTAGGTCAGACTGTCTTGCAGCAACATGTACTTTTCTGGGACCGCGATAACGACGGTGTTATCACTCCGGTGGACGTATGGGTGGGCTTCCGCGACCTGGGGTTCAATATTCCGACCTGTATTCTGGCATCTACGGTTATTCCTTTTGCTTTTTCATATGGTACTGTTATGCAGTATTCGTATATTCCTGATCCCTTCTTCCGCCTCTACGTGGGCGGTATGCACAAAGCAAAGGTGGGCGTTTCTCCCTAGTCATTTCTCTTTGTTTCCAATTTTTTGATCCAGATTACTGATGCTTAGTCACAATTTAATAGCATGGCTCCGACTCTGGCATCTACGATGGTGAAGGACGCTTCATACCACAGAAGTTTGAGGATGTGTTCACAAATTGCAGTGCGAGAAAGGACGATACCCTTACGTTTAAGGAAGTCTTTGGCCTAATGAGTCGGAACCGATGCGCGGTTGATCCGTTTGGCGTAAGTGACCGTACTACCATCTTGCAGCTGTGTGAACTCACTTACATTCCTATAAGTGGACTGCATCGTTCTTTGAATGGGTTACGACTTGGATGCTATTAGCAAAGGATGGTAAGATCCATAAGGAAGATCTTCGGCGAGTGTATGACGTGAGTGACTCTCATGGGGTATTTGTAAGCTTAACCATTGACATCTCTGCAGGGGTCCCTGTTTTGGGACATTCGGGAGAAGCGGCAATCAGGAGAGGGATGGAAGCAGGGTTGGGGGCTTGGTGGAGATGGGTTCATCGGGTATGAGCAACGACTAAATCCTCGAAAGATTATCGCCTAGCCAGGCCTCTTTCCAACTCAGGGAGGGTTCTAGACTGTACACCATTACAATAAAAGCAAAAAAATGCTGGTTGCATATCAGCAATGGAATCAACAATTGTAAGTTTGAGGCTCTAAAACAGATCAACTTTTCTTTTCCGATGTTCCTTCTTAGTTGCAACAGACATACAACCAACAATCAACATTCACAAGCCCAATATGGACATGTAAACAGCCGTTATGATTGCCACGTATGCCTACAAAACCCTCGACGCACGTCGTGTACCTATTCAGAGGCAATAACTTTACGTTCACATACTCTTAGGCTGAACTATACCCACGTACAGCCTTCAAACGAATCTCACGCTTGTGCAGGAAACGAATGATGAACGCGATGGCAATCAACGCAACCGATAGAGCAATCATACTCGGGTAACCTTTGGGGTACGAAGGAGCCTCAACCTGCTGCCAAATGATCAACGGAAGCCAAGCTTGAAAGACGTAGGCCATTTGGTTCATGGCACCAGTGACCAGGGCTCTCTCCTCGTTGTCATCGCTGCAAATCTCGTGCGCCCACGCAAACGTGAGACCACTGATTCCTCCACCAAAGCCACAGAGAATGAAACAAGCCCACTTGAGGCTGTCGGGCACGTTCCAAATAGTGAGTGGTACGTATGCGACGATCTTCACAAGGCCCGAGAAAACAATGGCTGGCCATCGTGCGCCTCTGAACAGACTATCCGAAGTCCAAGCGTAAATCAGAGTGGTAACAATACTGACGACTTCCGTTATTGTGGGATAGATGTTGACCTCTCGCACACTGTAACCTTCAGACTTCAGCCAAAGTGGGAACGCTGGCTGGGAGTTGCCGCCATTTCCGTTGTTGAAGACAATGTAGAGGATAACGAGTGTCCAGATGTGCCAGCTGGAGAAGATTTTGATGAACTTTGCCTTGGTGTAGGGAGAGCGCTGGGCCCGACCTTCCAACTGCATTCGCTTCTTCGCCAGGGCAATCTCCTCTGGGGTGAAATACCAAGCTTTCGTAATCTCTGGCAAGTCTGGAAGGAAGAAGAAACCCGAAATGGCAATTGGGAGTGATACAACGGTGTTGGTGATGAAGAGCCATTGCCATCCGTGGTAACCATGCACACCATCCAGGTTATGTGCGCCGGCCATCAGGTAGCCTGAGACCATGGAGCCAACATTTCCCATGGCATGAAATAGACAAGATCGTTTCGCTATTTCATCTTTCCGATACCATGATCCCACGATGTACTGCATACCCGGGTAAAAGGTACTCTCAGCCAGGCCGATAAAGAAGCGCAAGACGTAAATCTGGGTAGCGGTGTTGCACTTCACCAACAAAATCGTCAGGACAGACCATGTTACCTATTGAATACTTGGTCAGTATTTTTGTTTCTTTTTTTTTTCAGTGCTTAGGTCACAAATATTAAGCATACCTCGCAAAGGGGAATCCAGATAGCGGGCCGAATTCGTGTGAGTAGCATATTACTTCACCGATGTTAGTATTATTGTGGATCGCTGATTGACATCAGTCTTGTATTTACCTTGGTATCTCGCCAACCACGTAGCCGACGGTCCAGCACACTTGCATATAGTTCAATTCGTTTCCCCACAGGCCTAGATCTTCCTTCATGCCAGATACAAAGGCATTGTTGATATTGACCTTAGTTGTCAGTCAGTACCATACAGCCTATGAAAGGGATTGCGATGAATATCATACCTGATCAAGGTATTTGATGAAATATCCAAGTGATGCAAGGGTCATCAAAGCAGCATCGAGCTTGAAAAGAAATCGACGCTCTTCAGGAGACTTATCGAGCGTGTCCCAGATATACGACTTCCATGTTCGCTTCGGGGTTTCTTGAAGAACATCGGTGATAACAGGCTCAATGCTGCCTTTTTCGTTATTTTGCGACGATGTCGAGGTCTTATCGTCGACGCCAACTGGCCGAACCTGGTTTACGGAGCCCGGCATTTCGCTGAGTTAGCGAAAGCTGTGTATGACTTCCAGTTTCAGATTTTTGACCACAAACGTCAACAAACGATGCCGAGTTTCCGACGGAGTGGGACAGGCTGTAAGTATCTTCTTTCCAACTATAGCTGCGTCCTGTAAGGACGTTATATCTCTATGTCTCTATTCGCCAAGGTATCGCCACCCCATATGGAATACCACTCCTGAGGCAATAATCTGTCGCAATAGAGGGGTGATAAGTCGTCAAACTTGTCGCCCTGGACATTGCTTACGGCGGGGCTTGAACTGCTCTTCTTGTTGGTCCTAATAGATATGACAGGCTCCGGCTGATAAAACTGGCACCCGATCAAATACATCTGTCATAAGCAAAACCAAAGGTTTGAAAACTCTGACTCGGAAAAAGGGTAGCATTTGTGCACTTATCTGGCTAGACTAGGCATCAGGAAGGTGGGCAGGCTACTCCCGAGATTGATCGAGCCAGTTTGGGAGCCAGGGCAGGCAAAGGCCAACCGCATGTATGACCCTTCGTCGTTGTTCGTACCGGTAGTTGGAACAAGCCTATGATTTTGACCTTAGGACGCGGGGATTGCCCGCGAAACTATTCAGTGCCATCCAATGAGCTTACACTTCACACTAGATAAGGTGTCGGATAAACCCCGCGATGGACAATGGCACGAATCTTTTGCATAGTCACGCCATCGACGGCGACCAGTCATAAAGGAATTTTTGGCCGGGTGGCCAGTAGACGCGGAACCTCTGCAGAAGTAATTAACCCGGATGTCGGCGGTTCCTCCGGATCGTTGTTGGTGTCGTCGGGCTTTAGTCCGTCGTTATCGCTTCTAAACTCTTGGCATTTTCTCCGATTGGCCTCGCCATTATATAAAAACAAGCACGTTATCATGTAATTGGGCCTTAAAAGAACAGAGACCTTCGTAAATACGCGTGGACCTATGGCAATTAAGCATATTTCTTGATTTACCCCGATTTCCCCGGTCCCCAGTGAGTTGTGCTGCGAATTGGGTTGGAGGGGTTGAGTCCCGCCATCTCAAGGGGTGCTCGCGTCATCGTGGGGGTGTCTGAAGATCATCGGGCTAAAGCGAGAAGAGTTTGGTGTCACCCTCGAGACGCAATTGCGTGTTGAAAAATTCGTATATTCTTGCAGCTGTGCAGCTGTAGATTTCGACTTTGTCCATGCAAACAGAGGATTCCTCGTCATGGAAAAGAAGTGCCAGAACCATCACATATTACCAACTCTCATTATTCCCAAAACTGTGTGTCCGGCACACTCTCTGCCAATTTCCACCCCAGGCCTATATGATCCTGACTTGCGTTGACCCATTGATTTACTAAAAGTGAATTGTCTTCAACTGGTCCCAATGATGTTATGGTGCATGGCATGCCTGGCTGCTCCCCCTGTACCGATTGACTTGCAACAATTGGATGCTCAAATTGCTCATTATACATCGAGCAGGCTTTTTGAGTAGGGTCTTCTTCGCCAGGTGCCTGTGCTAAGGGACTAAAGCTTGTCATGGCAATCTGGAATATTACGTTCATGTCGAGCCTCATGTACGTCAAGCCTCGGAGCTTTTGAAGTGAACCTTTTGAAAGTCAACCATGTTAGCATCGTGTAGCAGCGGGAAGGGAGCTGAGTGAACTGACATAAAAGTATGCGTGCGATTTCCCAGTGGCGAGATGCCTGCCGTAGCTGCGCCATTGTAGTATCCAAAGCATCTAACAACGCCAATTTTTCCGTAGCATCAATCGGCCCTGATCGCATGAGAGCAAGACATAATAGTGACGATGCTGTCCATAAGATTGGGACAAATGTGGTTGCATCCCCTTCGAGAAACATTTGGGTTGGCCAGTCTCCATGTCTATAGAGTGCCGCTATTTGAAGAGCATGTGACATGCTGTTGCTCCATCTAAATTCGTAGCTATCCCATCCTGGCCGACTAAATGTCTGCTGGTCGCATCTGAGAGTAAGGGGCCTCAGAGGTGGTATCGTCGAAAGTATCCCAGTCCTGTAGTTTGACAATCTATTATTTCAACCGCACAAGTGATTCAAGGTCCTCGGGGGCCTTACGCATGGATCAAATGAAGAACTTCTAGTCTCAGTCGGTAACCCTCACTGCTCCCATCAACGTCACAATACCGAGGAGAAAAGAACCACGTCGGCAGTCCTAATACCAGTGAATCCCATCTTCGCTCAAGATCTTTAACACGATTTTTGAGTTCAGATTCGGATTTAGACTCCTTTAACCTCAATAGGTAACCCGCCTCTCGCGCCAAGTCAATTGCCGATAGTTTAACGAGTTGCGTCCTTCCGCTTGGGGTCTCCCCTACTTGTAAGTTGTACCAATCCTTTCCTCTAGAGTCTTTCAAACTCCTCTTAGCAGATGGTGGGAAGCTTCCGAGACTGACACTTGATAGGAGACAGGATGGAAGGAAGGTGGTCGTTAATTGGTCATCTATGCTTGGCGGCATGAAAAGTATCTGGCTGGAGTAGGTATCCATAGCCCAGATGGCCCACCATAGACAGCGTTCTTCTTCAATGTCTGGCACATAGCCTGTCGTTTCTGTGTCATTCCACCTCAAAGATGTGTCCACTTGATGTAAGCTGCACATATACGCCCATCTAACAGCCCTCGACCACGGTTTCTCAGCGTTGTTCAGTGGCAGGTACGTCCGGTGATAATATACCATGAGGTAGGCAGCTTTCAACTCTGCAATACCTATGGGCGCGCAGTTGCGTTCCAGCAGATCCAGTTTGTCTGATGACCTTTTATAGAACCGGTGTGCAAGAGCAGCCAGATCGCCGTTGGCAAATTCCAAGATGTCATGTGAGGTGGCGAAACGGCACGAAAGAGCGTGCAAAGAATTCAGCAGAGACGGCGGAATGCGGCCTTGCTCATATTGGGCGTAGAACCTTGAGGCTGAAAACAGCGAAACAGGTAATGTGACAGCTTTGAAGTAGGTTGAGATCCTTCAGTCATACATTAGCAAGATCAGTATATGGATAAATCCTCTATATCCTTACAGTTGGTATTCGATACCCGGTGGGAGAGGTCCATCCATCAAGTTGTCTTGTGGAAGATTAGCAAATGACAGGTACTTGGTGTCGGAATCGCCCTCTTTTTCTGCACAGTCCTTCCACCTGATTGCATGCAGTATTGGCTCAACGGCGAATAGAGAAGTGTTTTCGTAGCATACAACTGCGGAAAATGGACTTGGCAATGTCGATGGAGGTATTGAAAATAAGGTGCTGTTTACCAGAGAGCCTGCATTCGAAACAGACATATGGCGATAAACAGACAACTTGTCGGGTGAGGAAGGAAATTGCATTTTCCTTGATCTTCCTAGTAGCTCTTCCATTCTCGCTATTGGTTAAATGCTTCATCAGCGGGACTGTTAGCACAACAAAGCGAAAGCCGTCTTACCTAACCGGCCGCAAATGAATGCAACGTTATTTGCGCGTTTTGATCCCTTCTTTGGACCCGGCTTCTTGCGCTCCAATGGGTAAACACACGCCCGCCTCAGGGCTGTACAAGTATTGCAAGATGGTGTTTCTCTATTGCCTGTGTAAAAACGCGTCAGTTATCTAAGCCCGTGGCATAAACGAAGAATGCCTCACGTACACCTTGACTTCCTTCTGATGTGGTTAAGATACGTCAGTATTGAATTTGCTTAATACGCACATATGAGGACCTACCTTCTACAGGAAACGCACGCAGAACCTTGGGCATCTCGGGTAGAGGATGAAGAGCTAGTCGAGCTCTCCATCATTTATCTATTTACTCGAATATAAGTGCGAACAGCTGTCTATTATAGGATTCGTTTATACCAAACTTGTAAAACTCGCAAACTTTCCAATTGTCAGGGTGAAATTACGGAAGGCCACAAGCCTTCAACTGTTAATGGCTGGGAAAAATTGGATACAATAGCAAAACTAAAAGTGATCTGGGTCTGCATGGTTAATTTATATCTTTGCAAATCCATCTGATGATGTTATTCTAACTTGAACCTTGTTCTTAAGCTTCATGATGCGAGTACCTCGGATGCGAAACAGAACTTACTCGGCTGCATTTGTGCAAAAGCATTGGACAAAACACGTCATCAAGCCTATCAATCTTGTCACAGTAAAACAACGCCGAAATGACGCCCCTAAATGCTTTCCAAGTTAGATTGAATGACTTTTCGCTCGTCATTGGCGGTGTGTGTATTGAGAGGCAAATCTCTTCCAGCGTTAAACTCTCAACTGGTAAAAGCAATCAAGTATCCGTACTTACTAAAGAAATTGTTCGATACCGGCAACGCAATTACTCAGTTAGCGGATGGCCCTTGAACTCAGGGATCTCACAGCAAGGGGCAAGACTTATGGTTTTGGGGCAAAAATTGCTAGAACTGGTGTTGCACGGGGATATATACTTCCGTCTCAATTTAAACTTTAAGACGAAGAAAGCACAGAACCGCGTCGTGCCTCAGTCGTTAGACGCAATGAGTCAGTTGTTACTCTCATGATACACACCATTCGTAACTACATTGTTCTTAAACCAGAAAATCAGGAAGTTCGAGGCTTTTGGAACAGAGTCAAAGTCTCTATTGCCAATGGCCTTAGTCTCTAGGCCGCCCCGTAAAGTTTCAATCAACCTTTTATGTGTGGCATTGCAGCCAACGTAGACCGTTGCCTCTCATGATGTCCCGTAACCTGGCCAAAGAATCCAATCTTTCCATCGGTGTACAGATCAATGGTTCTAACCAGCTCCTTTGCATTCAGAGTGACAAGGACTTTTGAGAGACTATGATTTATCTTGGTATTTTGTTGAGCATCCCGCAACACATTTGGACATACTTGCTCATGTGCCAAACTACGCGCCTCACCTTGGCCTATTCACCTCAAATATCATTGAATACAAGCCCTTATAGGTAATGAAGGCATGTTTCGAATTGCGACTCCGTGCAAACATAGATAGATTTCAGTCCAATGTGCCCAGGGCAAATTTAGCGGTAAATTCCAGTATAACGATTTGTCATTCAGCCATATGTACAAAATGAAGTCAAAAAATGTCCAAGAATCAAATAGTGTTACCAAACAAGCCAGTTCGCTCTGGCGGTCAAAAGTCGCATACAAGAACCTCCAAATTCATCTCTCGCTATAAAGCCAATTTAGGCATTATACACGGCAATATACTCAGCCTGTAGCGTGCCACCTGAGATGGTGTTTGCAAGCGGCGTCGCACTACCAAAGTTGTTATTGGGAAACGCACCGCCGATAGCCAAGTTGAGTAAGATGAAATGAGGCGAGTGAACGGCCTGATTCCAGACATCGGCAGGGAGGTCCGTCTCGACAACTTGCCAGAAGAGAATGCCGTCAACAAACCAACGGACAGCCTCGAGCTCCTGGGTACGGTCGACCTCTAGAGTGTAGGTGTGGAAGTTACCCTGGCAAGGGCTGTTGGGGCACTGTCGGCTGCCGACGAGGCCATCGGTCTCCTTGCAGGGGCCGCCAGGGTTAACACCGCAGTGCATTACGCCCCAAACGCGATCAATACCGTTCACGTTCTCCATGATGTCGAACTCGCCGATTGCCGGCCAGTTCCTGAGACATTCTCAGCAGGTGCTATCTCGTTCGACGGCGTAGTTTGACTCACCAGTAGTTCCCTCTGTAGGCGGTTCCTAGAGTCCAAAATGCAGGCCAATAACCGATACCATTGCTTCCGACAACAGGCAGGTTAAGACTAGCCTGGATACGCATCTTGCCTCCAGCACGAGCCATGAAGTCGCCGCGCTGGCTCTCAATGCGGGATGAAGTCCATCTCCCGGCCGAGTCTTTGAGGGCGGTAATCTGCAGGACGCCGTTTCCGTTGAGTTTGAGATTGTTCACGCTGCTGGTGTAGGTTTGAATCTCGTTGGTGCCCCAGTTGGCTGGTCCGCCGGGGTAGCTGGTACCTGTGTCGATGATCCAGTTGGCGGTATTGGGCAAGTTGTTGGCAGAACCAACAAAGTCATCAGACCAAGTTAGGCTGAATCCCGGTATGGACGGGACTGCAGCTTGAATTACTGGAATTCCGGCGGCAAGAACTGTGAGGACTTTGTTGAAGACCATGGCTATAATTCTGGTTAGAATTGATCGATTAACAATGAAGGCGGCGACTTACTGGCTAATCTTGGTCAATCTAGACGATGAATCAAAAGGGCAATGCAAGAGTTTTCTCCTTGGAAGAAAGGCTCGCTGTACGTTTCCCCCAAGAAAAAATGTCTGGGACGTTTGTCTTCTTAAGTACTTCAGACATCTGCAGCCTTGTTGTCCAGTCTGAAGTCGTTCACGAGCACGCGCTTTAGCCATGCTCTTCTTACTATGGGGTAAATTAAGGCTGCCTCGAATCGTGACCCCTGTATAATCTAGCCATTCACGTAGGCATGCCCGCCGTGAAATCACATGGAGAGCGTCGCTATCACCGGACGTCAAACCCACGATCCTTGTCATGGTGTTGCTTTCCTGGCTACCCCACACTCCTAAGTGATAATGGTACGCTACACGGGCCAAAAGACGGGCCTTTTACGAATGGTACCTTGTGACAGGAGACACCTAGAAGCCTCTTGAAGGGCGCTCACAATAAGCTTGTGATCGTATTTATGAGCTACCATGGATGCAACGACTATGTATCGAGTCGATGGTTCGTCCGATCTCAACTAGCAGCTGCATGCCCTTGTACTTGGACGTCTTAATGAGAAGCTTGTCATGTGTTATTGGCAATTGGAAATAGCTGTTACAATTAGCTATTGATAAACGGGTGGCCGCACGTTTCCCATTAATTAGTTCAGAGTTGCTAAAGGCTTTCGCTCATGAGCCCATATCGCGGAGAAGCCGAATACAATGCTTCAGGAGTGGGCTTTTGAATAACCCCTTTATACTCAGTCAGGAGTGTCGAATAAATTTCCCAATCAATTCTGCATGGTGATCTAGTGGCTTAGTGCAGAGGGGCCTTAGAGGCACAAAAGGCTCACTGTTCGATTTTGACCCGAATGTAACCCTATACCCTTGGCAAGCTCTTCTTCACTCGGACGATTGGTAGCGAGGGTGCCTACCAGGTTCTCAACAGCTTGGTCTAGCCTTCAAGCGAAGTACAGTTTATGACATTATCACAGAATGACCGTTACATTTGAAAAGAGAGGAGATGGGGACACATGCTGCACAAAGCTGATAAACGCTTTTTTTTAAGCTTGTTTTCTGTGCCTGGCGATCAATCCATCATCGGCTCCTCTTTCCCCTCCCTATGAGAGTTTGCTTCCTGGTCAGACCCATTCTTCTCCAGAGCGCTTCAACTGCCTGATTGAGTATCTTAGCCCGTCATGTTCGGTGCTTTGCCGGCTTCATTTATAGCGACCGTCTTGTCACGCATATATTGCATTTCTGTTCTTCCTAGCTACCTATCCTAATTTGGATATCCCCTGACTCAAGGTGTCAAACTTTGGGTCCAATGCAGGATGGGACCGACGGGACAAGCATCGGCGCGGGAGACAAAACACCTAGTTCGAAGATATAGTCTTCGGGCCCGACGACATTGGCCTTTCTGGGCCCGTAACGGACCGATTATCGACATTTTAAGGCCTTTTTCGCACGTCGCTTAGCAAACGGAGCCTGGGGTAGGTGATCATGGGTGAGACAGCCTGTTAAAGCGGTAGTCAAGGATCCGTGAAATCTGGGGTAAACCTGCTCTTGGCCAGCTCCTCACATAGATGCCTATAAAACTAGATCATCCGGTAAAAGTGTTTCCCGCGAATGAGACTGTAAATTCTCACGGAAAGGGTGTTGAGATTGATGCAACCTCCGTGCCGGGCATATGTCGGTGGGAATCGCCATCACGGCCGTAATGAAGCCGATGAGGCTATCTCGCCAAGGTCCTCATCTGCGAGCTGAGCTGAATTCCATAATTACTCATGTTGCTCTTCGCGTGACAAAGCCAGCGAAATGAGATATAAGTACTGGCGTTGCTAGTACTTAGGCTTATTGCTGAGTTCATATGATGGTTTATACTTCTCATACGGAGTGCATACCGACTGAATACAAACCGCAGCTAAGATTGGATGTGGAGACTTTTCGGTTCGTCCCGAGATCGATGCGCAGTGCAGCTAAGACGTGGCTCATCTCCAGCGAAGACCAAAGGTCTGGATCTTGAAGTTGCATGGCAGCCTAGAGATTGAGGAGTTGGCCTTAGCCATTTTCCCACAATGAGGCTTTCGTCTTGGCTGCTGTCACCAAGAGAGGACAAAAACAAAACAGTTGTCGAACAAAGGGCAGCCTACCTAAGAAGATTGTCAAACTTCTTTGTAAGCCCTTTGAGACCCAGCTTTTGGGGTCTATTCAGAGTGCTGACTGTCAGCCGGCACTTAGCTGTGCAGGGGTGGACTATTGCGCCCACCCATTCAGTCCAGAAATTTTCTTTATCAAAGTTAAAATTTTCTGTCCCTAATTTCTATAGTTTCCCTGTAGGGACTGTGATGCTCTGTACTCACAAGATGCCATACTCATCATGCAAATGAGTCGGAGATTGACTAAAGTCCGAATCCGGTCGAGTCTGGTCATGAATCCTAGCACCACCGCCCCCTGGGCCAAGGCTCTTGGATTAAACCAGCGGGCCCAACCGGCAGGATTATTCCTCCGGGTGGTCCAGACTAACTGGCTCTATACTGGTGGTGAATCTGGCAGAGCGGTGCCTCGGCATAGGCTCCCAAACACACAAATCCCACGGACAGATTCTCTTCCGCGATGTGGATCCTCCCGTTTCGTTTGTTTTGTAATCCGATCTTATCCCTATTGTGGGACCATAGCCGTGCGATGGCGACAATGGAGCAATGATAAGGAGACAAAAATTTCGTTGAAGAAAGTCGTGCAACCCGTTGTTGATAATTATTTCTAATTCAACAACGACATTGCCTAGAACTCAATTGTTATCACTTACTACTACAAATCTTAAGTAGACAGCAAGTAGACTGGCCAAATTGCAAATATGTCGTACGCAGCGATAGCCAAGCCGTTGACGCTGAAATGCGGTCTCACCTTGCCAAACCGCCTCGCCAAAGCCGCGATGGCTGAGAACTGGGCCGACAAGGACGGTTTGCCAGTCGAAGCGATGAATGCCGCTTATGGCCAGTGGGCAGATGGTGAATGGGGTCTGGTCATGACGGGTATGCATTTCACACGGGTTTTTTTTTCGGAACATAAACTAACTGAACACAGGCAACGTAGCAGTTGACCTCAAGTACCTCGGTCAGCCACATGACGTCGCGTACAACGACACAATTCCCTATGAGCGCATGCTCTCCGTCTGGAAGACTTGGGCCGCTGCTTGCAACCGTAACGGCACACCCACCATCGTACAGCTTAACCATCCTGGCCGGCAATCGCCTTTTGGTGCCGGCAAGCGCAGTTTCCTCGAGAAAACCCTGGCTCCTAGTGCCGTGCCTTTGCGTTTGGGAGATGGATTCATTCCGTGGCTGATCAACTCTTTGTTGTTTGGCACCCCGCGTGAGATGACCATCGCTGACATTAAGGACGTCGTGCGTCGCTTTGCGCTGACGGCAAAGCTTGCCTCCGAGGCGGGATTTGCGGGTGTTGAGATCCATGCGGCACATGGATACTTGCTTGCGCAGTTCATGTCTGAGAAGATCAACAAGCGGACAGATGAGTATGGTGGTTCTTATGCTGGACGCGTCAAGATTGTCGTTGAGATCATCCGCGCTATCCGTGAGGTGGTTCCTAAGGAGTTCTGCGTTGGTATCAAGTTCAACTCGGTCGACCACCAGTCGCAGGCTGAACTTGCTGGCTGTATCGAGCAGTTGAAGCTGATCACCGAAGCTGGAGTTGACTTCCTCGAGATCAGCGGTGGCAGTTACGAGGACCCTGTGGTGAGTAGAGAATCAAGGGATGATAGAGAGCACTTACTCATATATAATCCAGATGGCTACCGGCATCAGCGAAGAGAAGAAGTCCGACCGCACCAAGGCCCGCGAGGCTTTCTTCCTCGAGTTCGCCAAGGCAATCCGCAAAGACTTTCCTGAAGTGCCTCTTATGGTGACGGGCGGTTTCCGTACCCGTCAAGGCATGGAAGCTGCGCTGGCAAACAACGGCTGCGACCTTATTGGCCTCGGCAGGCCTGCTGCCGTCAACCCATTGCTGCCCAAGACCGTTATCCTTGCTGCCGATGTTAAGGATGAAGATGCGAAGTTGTACACCAGGAAGATTCAGACGCCGTGGATTGCTGAGAAGATTGGTATGAAGGCCATCGGTGCGGGCGCCGACTCGGTGAGTACTCCATGCTACCTAGGTTGCTTTCTTTGAGTGGTCGTAAGCTAACAATACACAGGCCTGGTACGGCGGCCTAATTCGCAAAATGGGCCAAGAATAAATTGTTTGCTGTTAGATCTTGATTTGAAGAGGGCGTAATGTAATACCACATTATTATAAAGAGTTATATTTGGGAATAGTAATACTCAAAACACTTTAAGCGGCTTCACTCGATAAAAACACGCTGCACCTTCATCTGCATGGTCTCTCCCCCCATAAATCCTTTGACATAAGCATCTCCAACCAGAATAAAGCTGTGTCTACGGTCTGGATTATACGTGCCAGTAACCTATCCAGATGGCTATCCAATCCCAAGTCGGGGCTTCATCTTTCTTGATGCTCTTTGCTCTTTCCATCGAGTTGTACAGGGACAAATCACTTACCGCACACTGAATAACAACCACTTTCTTAAGCTCTCTCATACGCTCTAGGCACTTTAATTCTCCACCAAATGGGTTTCGGTCTTGATATTTGCACAAACGTTACGAATAAGAAGCGAAAGGGGACTCAGGCGAGCTGACGAGCAATCTTCTCTTTGGACAACGAAGATACAAGACATTGCGAGCCTTAAAACTGCCTGATCATGCCAGTGATCTATCTGTGGAGGGTTTTCCATATCCGCAAATATGATAGAGAAAGTTCAAAAACCGATTGTCTCTCAAATCTCCCTCCTGGCTTGGCGGAGCTCCCCTGAGTGATTGATCACTCTCGGGCATATTTGTCGTCAGTTGCTTCCTTTTCTCACCAGTTTTGCGACTAAAAAGTGCGACAACTCTTTTCTCAAGAACCTTTGCCTTAACCAAAGCAATTGCTGTAAGAAGCAGGGCAATTACGCCAGTCCCAATCATACAAGCGAGCGTCACCCCTGAAGGGACGTCGCTCATACTGAACAAGCCGGTCGCGAAACCGACGGGAAGGAAGACGGCGGTAACATAAGTAAATAGGCGAATATCATCAGCCCCGCGAATTTCTAATTCGCTTCGAATGTCCTCTAACCGTTTTGTGAGAGATGAGTTGTAGGTGGCGATAATCTCTCAGCATCGCTTTAGTTCCCGGATTTGGTGGTTGTTCAAATCTTCCCACACATGAATTAGACTGCGGTACTTGTGCTCGTCTCTAAGACTCCATCGTGCGGTCTCTCCCACCTTATGTCGATCTGACCAGCTCTGGATCACGCTTAGGTTCTCGTCAAGATTATCCTGTATCGCCTGCAGTAGATATTGAATCTTGTGACACAACTTGCTGGCTGACAGGTAAGCATGGTTGCTGTCTGAAGGTAGCAGAGTAAGTCGTTCCTCAAGGCTTGGCGTACGAGGGTATGTTGACACAGTCGCCTGGCCCGAGTTTAGAGATAGCTGCACAGCCGTTCTCGCTTCCTGGAAAATGGTCTCTGCAGCATGGAGCATGTTTTTTAGAGTCCTTTCAACCATGACTAGTTCCAATACCCTGCGCTGCTGCCAAGCATGCCCTTCTCCTCGCAAGATGTTCCTGACGTCAAGACTTCTAATTCTAGTTTCTTCGCTTAGATCCTCAGAGAAGTGGGACCCCTCTGTCACTTCTTGTGACCCGGTGGGATTGTGCTCTATGAAATGGCACGTCCAGTAGCGGTCCAGAAAATCTCCTTCGAATCTGAAACTTGTCACCGTCCGTCGTACCATCTTATGAGAGGAGTGGCTGTGGTGGAATAATGACTGTGGAGATGGGAACAGGATCTCATCTGCTGGTGGAAAGCATCCGTCTTCTTGGGGTTCACATCCATCTTTCCGGTCAAGATCCCAGAAAGATAAGTGCAGTTCAGTCCACCATCTATTCCATTGTGACACTGCCTTGTCAAAAAAGTATGTCTGATAGTCATTGTGGCGATCGAAGAAAGAGGCTAAAGGCTCTTTCTCCTTCTCGCACGAGGCAAGGTAGCAGATCAGCGCAGTTGTTGGTGTGGTCCTGAAAAACTGCAAGAGCCTTTTCTTAGATGTTTCGCGAGTACGCTCAAAGCTCTGTAAGTGGTCCTGGAGTTCATCGGCGCTGCGCACAATCAACCCCTCGGGTTGTAAACCGGAAATATCTTGCTTGTCGAAGGCGACATTACCCCGCTTTTTGGAGCTGCCTTTCTGTCCAACGTCGACAATGATTCCATCGATAGGACCTTGGATGTGACTTTGGATTTGGCTCAGAATGCGGACGATTCGATGCTGACATTGTGATCCAGTTGCTTCTACGTTGGAGTTGCCGGAGGACCTTTCGCTTCGCGTTGGCGTTTTTTGAGACCCATCAATTCTTTGGATCTGGATGTTGACCGGCTTCAGGTCCTTCTCATGGCCATCGCTTTTGCTGCGGCTGTCAGGCAGAGTAGATGCGAGACTGTCACGTACTCTCTTGATTTCTTTGCCAATCACACCTTGGTTGGATCCTCGCCTGTCGTGCTGCCCGAAGCTTGTAATCTCCTCTTCGCTAAATTTTGGACGAAAAGTTAAAAAGTCTGGTTCATCATATAACCAGCTGTCAGAAGACTCTGTAATGTTTTCTCTGCCGGTATGATTTTCAAATTTAGGCGTCGGTTTTCTGTCGGGGTCTTCCTTACTTGCAGTTTGGTTTATGGATAGCCTTTGAATCATTCGCTCCAGCATTTGGGAAAGCTGGGTGACCTCAACAGTAGCGATCTCCTTTGACATAATACTAGTCTGCAGTGGCAGCTTGTCAGATGAGCCACTGGGTCTTGTGCCCGTCGAGCCCCGTGGAGGAGGTTGACACTTCCACAAGATAAACGGTATGTGAAAAATAGTGGACCAATACTGATCGTGATCCTCTTTACAATCTAAAGCCACAGGCTCCTGAGCTGAATTAAACTGGCCTGCTAGGAGCCCGTTGGATGAGGATGTTTTGAGCAAAACCGATCTTGCGTGGGCGTACATATGAGCAGGTGAGTTTTCATTGATTTGCTTTCCCTGCGAGCTTAGAATCACTGCTAAGGCGAACTGGAGCGGATTTTGCCAGTCAGATTCATCGTCGCCAGTACGGTATCTCTGGTAATTCAAAGTGTTTTCCCATGTGGCGATATTGCTTTTTGTGTTAGCGTTGGTGAAAAGCCCGCACTCTGCTGCATGCAAGGTGAAAGTATCGTCAACCTCCAGAAGAGACTTCGTCTCCAAGAGGCTGCGAAATGTTGCAATCATCCCTCTTTTGGACGTCTCAGTGGTAAACCTTTGAAGGACGTTGCATTGGAATGTTTGCGAGGTGGAAAGCTGTTTCTTTGACTTTTCCCGGGCGTCGAAATCTAGTTTTGGATCTAGTCCGAGTCTTTCTGATGACTTGATAGCCCACCAGATCAAGGCGTGATCGACCAAATGAAATTTGCTGGGCACCTCGTTTCTTGACCGGGGGAACACGTGTAAACCGCTCTTGGTGTTTCCAAGCTGCTGTAGCCAAAACGCGACCGTACTTTTGAAAGCATCAGTGAGCTCTGGTACCTCCTTCCCCCCGGCCGAATCCAACAGTGCTCCGACTTTAATGATTTGGAGGGCAACGTTTGTGTGAGGGCCATGAGAAAGCGAAGTGTTATCCGTTGGTCTGCTTATTACTTTGCCGTTGGCCCAACACTGGTAATTCGCTCCCTTAGCCTCGTTTTGAACTGCTTCCACGTCTTTCTTTCCCTGGCAACTGCTCATGTCTACCGCCCAGTTGTTGCACAACCACCTGATGTGGCCGCAACACACACGCCTGATGCGCCAGTAAGTTGTGCAGATGCTGTCTCTGCAGAACTCATCTCTGAGCATACAATGACACTTGGCCAACGTCTCGTTGCTACATCCTTCCTCGATCTGTTTCAAGGCTAGAAGCAAAATTCGGAATGCGTGACTAAGGTAGCTTCTGTTAGCAACGTCACTTCATAACTATCAAGCGAGGTCATAACACACAAGCTTGCTTCAATACTGATTCGATGACTTGCGATATCCCCGCAGGTAAGCGCAATAGCAGGGTGTTCATCTGAGGCTCTTCCCTTATGTTGAACGGGGATGCTGCAAACAGACAAGATGTGCTCCACGTTCCTCCATAACACGAAATTCAGGTGTAAGTCTTCGTGTAGTTGCAGAATTCTAAATGGCGCTGCGAGTATGCTCTTTGCCTTTAAAACGTCTTCCTCTAATACCGGGGGGGCAAAGTCTGTAAGCCGAAGATCCAGGGGGATTTCCTTCAACGTATAAGCTAGAGTAATCTCTAGCTTCTCGCTCTCTTTGGCCTCTTCCCAAAGCTTTTTCTCCACAGTGACATTGCAATTTCTCTCTGAAATATGCGAGATATGGTGAGGATGGTCACCCACGAACAGCGATATGAATAAGCCTACGTTATGCTCAAGCCCTGCTGGTTTGCGATTCGACCAGGAAGAAAGGAGAAACGTGCGTTCATTGTTCCCGAAACGCACTTCTGTCCATTGATTGCCGATATCATCCTGAGGATCATCTTTCGTATTATCTCCGATCATAGCGTCATATCTAATGCCGTCGCCAGTCGAACTTTGATCTGGGGTCTCTTCACTTGAGTTATCATCCTCCAACTGTTCTTGATGCCATCGCTCTTCTGGGGAGGATTTGCTTTGGAACCCATCGTCGTTCTTGGTGAAGTTGAGATCCAAAAGACGCATGTTAACACAAAAGCTTATTTCCGGAGGAGATCCAGTTATATCCTTCTGATCCAGGTCGAATGTGTAGATTTGGTACACCGTATCGTCGCTCACTAGGTGCTGTACACTGGTAGCACTGTTTGGAGTCGCGGATCGGAAGTATGGCCAACGGTTATGGACGAACGACATGTGTGGCACCTCGCTGCCATCCGCCCCAGCATGTTTGAATTTGAGACGAAATCCGTCGTTGGGGTCACCGGACATAGAATTATGCTGTTCTAGCCGCTCTACCGCGTGGTATGGAAGAGAGCGGTTGGCACGTTCTGCAAAATCAGCACATATGAAGCCTGAGGGGTTGCCTGGGGTTTCGCCAAAATAGCGGGTGATCTGCATGAGATTCCCGTAAGCGTTGGCGCTGGCTGTAACGCCTTCGTGGCCGTAGGAGGCATACACCTTGCGATGAATAGCCTGCGCGTCGGCATCATTGGGGATGAATCTTGAAGTCTATGTGACAAAGGTCATTAGTGTTCGTGGCTTAATGGATCGCTGAAAGCAAGGACGAACCTCCATTATCGGTATTTTTACTGTGATAGAATTGAATTATAATATTTTTCGAAGTATTTGTAGCTTGCATTTGGTTGCTAGAAAGGCTCGAGACGGTAATGGATGTCAAGCTCTGCCTGTCAATGAGAAGCTTTTGCCTGCTGGGGCCAGATCATGTTTTCGAAGTTCTAATCTGCCAGTATATACGCAACAGCCTAGGTTCTCTTTTTAGAAATAGAGTCCCTTGCTCTATAGTAATTGGTACGTGGAATTGCACCCATCACAGGAGGATTGTAGTTCTTCGCGCGGCCACGTCGCTACTAATCAAACGGAGATGAGCGTGGAGGTCGCATATCTTAGCCTTCAAACATCTCCCAGAGAGAGTTGAGCGGAAAGGGAAGGGCGGTAACATTGCAGTATTTATTTACATATTAGCTTATGTATCCAAATACGAGGACGGCAACCTACCTTGGATTCCAAGCTGAGTTGCAACTGCAGGGCTGGGCATGCAGGCGCAGCCTATCATCGGTTGCAAAGTGGCACGATCGCTGGACGAATAACCACTGGATTGAGGATCATGTTATCTCTAGAGTCGTGCCATTCGCAAACGCGAAGGTGCTTTGCGGGTGGACCTCAGTCTCTTTCTTAGACTGTCGTCCAAGGCACCGTCGCATGAATCGATGAAGCTTTGTAAGACTAATAAAGCCAGCACCAAAATGGCCCCAAGGGGCTGAGAGGGCTGCACCTCAATTGCCGAAGTAGCTAGGTAAAAAGGGAAGTAGCTCTTTTCTCAAAACAATCAATCTGGAAGGCAAATCAGTTGCTGCTCATAAGCTGCATGCCCGGCGATGTTGCTATTAATAACGGTTGTTTCTGGTGTTCGCGAGAATTGCAACTGAAAGAAGGGATTAGGCGGTGTGAGGTATACTTTGGCAGATCTTCCAAAAGAAGGTAATCTGCCCGCTCGTCTAACATGATCGAAAATCATTGTGTCTAAGTATATATATTTATAGCCAATTTCTGTAAGAGTAGTTTACAAAGGCCTAAGCCTTGTAGATTGTGTCTTTAACTACCTAGTATCTAGAGCAAGCCACCTTAACTTTATACAACATTAATTAACAATGCGAAAAAAGGATTGAAACCCCTGTGGATTTCCTTATCAGGGATCCCGGAGAAGGATGTAATCGAGTACTTTTTTATCGCTTTTTTGGAGAGACGTCGCCACTCAGGCTCGCATCATATGGCTTTGATCAGAGTGGCAGAATGGCAGGTGCCACACTCAATTGACTTCATCAATTTATTCAATTGTTCTCTGTTCATGTAAATAGTCCTTATCAGAGCCAGAACCTTCCTACTAGCAGCCGTCACACCACTACACAAGAACACGCTAATCAGGGCATGATCAGAGGGACCAAAAGGCACTACACTGCAAACCGCGTTAAATCCTCAGAGTGCTAGGGGACACACTCTCTCAACGCTACTTCTGATCAAACTTTTGAAGGCTCTCATCAGGAAGCCGCTAAGGTGAGCCGTGGTTGTGGTTGTGGTTGTGTTTGTTGTTCAACCGCTGCCGGCCCGCATGCTGATTTCCCCCAACCCCGCTTCAATGTATAACAGGTCATAAAATATGAGAAGATTCCTATAGTAATGCAATCCCCTGTTCGTGAGAAATGTTTATATTTCCATATCTGTTCTAATAAAATTATTACTACAGGCAGTAGCATAGATTCTCGACTGGAATGTCTTGGTGGATATTGACATTGACAATAGCATTAACGAGTAGCATCGCTCTATCAAAGTGACTGTTAAGAATATCCTCAATTTGTGGAAGGAAATCTGTAGAAATGGCGGTCAGGGTAAACCAGTGATATTGGCCCCCGAAAACAATCTTGAAGCTGGAAAAACAAACCCGAACTCTCAGCAAAGTCCATCTCCGCCACTGCCGTCCAACGATGCCGATAATCCCCCTCACTCCCTCCATATTACTCAATCCACTTTTCCGGTATTCGGATATTTATCCTTCGTCCAACTGCGTTGTTGATTTCTCCAATTGTTAGTGGGACCTCCGATTTGGCTACCACCTGACTACTGAATTGGGGTTGTATGTAACATCACATCCCTTCCGGGAAACTCTTCATCTGGGTGTCTTGGCAGATCTATAGAACCCCACTCCGGATGTGTTGCTATTGAGTCCAAAGAATCACGTAAAGAAGGCACCCTTGACGGATATCCAAGTATAAATTTAGGCCAGAAGCAAATCTGATGCTTAACCTTGTTGCCAGATGCCATCTTTGAACTGTCTGTCACCTAAAGCCGTCTACACAAAATGAAGCTCATCAACGCCGGCACTTTAAGTGCTCTTGCCTTATTGACAAGTCTGACTCAAGCTCAGTTGTCCGATCTTTTTAACATCACAACATTTCCCAACGAGCAAAAAGAGAACGTCACGAGATGGCTCGCTGAGGCACGCAACCTTGCAGGGGCAGATCTCTCCGCCTACTACGGCCACCGCTGCATCCTTGGTCAAGTTTACCCGGTCTTGTCTAATGCAGCTCAGACTCCAGGCTTCATCGCCCCCCGCGAAGTGTTTGACCGTTTCTACTTTATCGGCCAAAGCGCTGTCTCGGCGTGGGCATTCGACACTGGGGATGGCCTGGTGGTGTTTGACGCGTTAAACAATGCCGAAGAGGCCGAAAAGATTTTGATTCCCAGCCTCGAAGCCCTTGGCTTTTCCGGCAACGACATCAAGCACCTTATCATCACGCACGAGCACTTTGACCATTATGGCGGTATGAGATACATTCAAGACAACTTTAAGCCGGCCACATACGCCTCAGCTCCAGCTTGGGAGACTTTGAAACAGGTTGAAGGCGGACCCATCCTTGACAAGACCATCTCAGAGGGCGAGGAAATCACATTCGGCAATGTGACCATCAAATTCTACGTCACGCCAGGCCACACACCTGGCAGCTTGTCCTCCATTTTCAAGGTCTCTGACGATGGAGTTGAGCATATGGCCGGCTTCTACGGTGGCGTCGGCATACCAAGTAAAGCTGCCGATAAAGACGCCCAAATCGTCTCTCTGAACCGCTTCGCAGACTTAGGAAAGGAGGCGGGTGTCGACATTCTGATTGCAAACCATCAGACTCAGGATCGGGCTTTGTATCACTTCGACCTGCTGGAGCACCGTCCTGAAGGAGCAGAGCATCCCTTTGTTATCGGTTCAGATGCTTTTGAGAGGTACCTTCGTGTAAATGCGCAGTGTGTTCGTGTCAAGGCTGCTAGAGATGGTCAAGATTTACAAGTGTAGGCTGCAGACCTCGGAGGCACCTTGACATGTCACCAAGTGCAAGACAGCTGTTTGGGCAATAATAAATATGATCATATGTACACTTTTGAGCTATTATGGCTGTATCAAAAAACTGTTGAAAATCATTCAGAGAGCGCGCCACTGGTCGACCAGTAGACGTTGTAGTTGTACCCATGCGCATCATAGAACGGACTCAGGTTCACCGTCTTCCCCCCTGCGGTCGCAGTGAAAACCAATTCGGTAGTGCTGTTTCTCTTCACCGAAGCCAAGTCCAAACTTGGGATAGCCGAAAGAGTTTCACTACCATAGTTTCCACTCAAAATCACTGGACCGTAGGCCAGAGCCGCTATCTTGGGGTCATCATTAGCCGGCACAACTTGCAGCTTCATCGGCAACTTGACTTCGACCACGTCGCCATCAGCCCAAGTACGGTCAATCGATGCATATGTGCCCGAAGTCGTTGGCACGGCTTCTCCGTTAACAGTGATCTGGGCCTCTGATGTCCATGCGGGAATGCGTACACGAAGAGTCCATTTACCAGAGCCTGAAATCTTCAACGTCGTTCTGTCGCCGCGGGGGAAGTCAGTCGTCTGCGTGACTTGTACACTTCGTTCAGTCCATCGCAGAACGGATGGAATAAAGAGATTGACGTAAAGCGCTGAGTCGTCATGGAAATAAATCGAGTCCATGAGCTTGGTGTTTGTCTCCAGACCAGTCCCCTGGCAGCACCAGAAAGAGTCGTAGTCCGTACTCCACGTGCCACCTCCCCAAGCAGGACCAACGCCACGGCGGCCGCCAGGGTTGAGAGGTGTAAAGTATGTGACATGTCCATGGTTATCAGATGGGTCCTGCTGGCCTAGCAGATGATTGAGTAGTGCCCTCTCGTAAAAGTCAAAGTACGTCGTCGCACTCGGGTTCGTCAACCATAATTCTCTTGTCAATTTGAGCATGTTATACGTGTTGCATGCCTCGCAAGTATCCTGGGCCAACCTCGTTGAAATGGCATTTGGAAGTCGAAAGTGCTCCGCTTGACTGTTTCCTCCGATGGCGTATGAATGCGCTGCGACGGTAATGTTCCACGCGTTGCGGGCGATATCCTGGTATCGACTCGTTCCAGTCGCCTTGTACTCACGCGAAGCACCAATCCACTTGGGCACCTGCGTGTTCGCATGCAATCCGTTAAGAGCATCAATGTTCGAGGCCAAAGGATCAAAGATGGCAGCGTGGTCGAAACGTTGAGCGACAGTGAGCCATCGTTGGTCACCAGTTTGGTGGAAAATGTCCGCCATGACCTCATTCATGCCACCAAACTCAGTGCTCATCATATTCTGCATCTGAGCATATGTGAGTTTCCCAGTGCGCAGGTCTACCCACGCAGCCATATCGAGGAGTACATCGCGAGCGTTGGTGTCGCCAATGTGACGCCAGACATCAAGGAGACCGGCCATGGTCTTGTGAATAGCGTAGTAGGGTACGTTGCCGTTCGATAAGGTACGCTTCTCCACTGCGTCGATCTCGGACTCAGGGAAGCCAGAAAGGTACCCGGCATTGAAGTTGACGTTCTTGTTGTTGTCTTGACACTTCCTGAGCTCGGCCGAGAAGTAAATTGCTCGGTCCTTGCATTCATCGTCGCGCAGTTGAGCATAGCAGTACGCCCAAGCGTTAAGGAAGTGACCTTGGAAATGAGTACGGAAAGGGAAATCCGGAGCATCCCAGCCGCCATTGGCTTGCGCGTTGTTTGTAGACAGGCCATGATTCTTGCGGAAGTTGTAAAGGAGACGTTCGACGTCAACTCATTTGATGTAGTTCACAGTCCGCGCTTGGTTGTCGAAGAAGCGACCATTGCTGAGGGAAACCTCACTCATGTCGAAGCCCCAGGCCGATACGCCCTTTTCTTTGTTGACAGGCGGCACTGCTTGAGCGCTTGCGCCGAATGGCGAGAGGACCAAGACAAGAGCCGCCACGCCCTGGCATGTTGGTGATTTGAGCCACATGTTTCCGGCGATAGAGGCGCTCAAGCTGTACAGATCGCAATGCGCACCACTTGCAGGATTCTTCTCGGATTGAGAGAATATCACGAAACATCAAACTGAAAAGAACCCAGTGTACTATAAATACTTGATAACATAGTGTCAGCGGGCCCAGCCGTTCCCCGTGGGGAATACGAAGTAAACTTGACCTGCATCAAAACCCCTGACCTCATGATGGTTCAAGATCCACGATTCTCTTTCGGACTACTCAACTACTGGTGCGCATCATCAGCAGTGGAGGTGAGGTTACAACCGTTAAATGGTGGCATGTTTATCTAGTAATTATGCAGGCTAACCCTTAGTTGAATCTCCCCGCATGTTGGGGTAGATGCGGGCCATGACTCGATTGGTGCGGCACCCGCAAACTAGCATTGGCTTTGAGGACACTCATAGATGTGTGATCCGATGATCGTCACATTGCATGTGACCGTTGAGAGTAATCGAAGTGGACCTGCAGAGAGGGGACGCTCGTTTCCGGAGCTACCGTTCCTGTTGATGTCATTGAGTTCGTGACACTGCAAAACCTAATTGGGAGGGTTACATTGCTTTGAGAAAGCTCTTGCAATGACGAACATGGGACAACTAAGCTGAGCTAGCCTATGCGCATGAACAACTTGCGATTTTGTTCGCCGCTTTGGTGGCCAACCACAGGCATCCTTCGCATACCTATTCGCTCCATCATAACCCGACCCTTCGTATAGGAGTGTATCGAAGTTACCATTCACCAATTTTTTTCTTTTCTTTCACGTCTCATTACATTTAGTGAATTTCTTTTTTTTACTAACTGCTTAGTCATTCCAGATGTTCAACATTTTGTACAGAGTTGACGACTTGGCAACATCTTCCACAACAGGTTGAAAAGTCATAGGTCCTTCAACATTGAGACCTCCCAAACTCCGTCGTCAAGAGGACCTTCAATCCACCCGGTACTGTGTGTCGATCAAAATACCCATACCACTTACCAATATCCTCGAATTTGGCTGGTAGAGGACCGTTAATTAGCGTGACATGCACATGGATAAAAGAAAACGTACCTTCGTGTGTAAACATCCATGAAGGATCATATGTACCATCGACCACTAAGTTTAACAGAAAAGGGTGATACTTTCTTTAGATCAGCATATTGTAATTTGCAAGAAATATTCTTGATTCATCACTTACCTTCTGAGCCATCAATTGACCTCCTCTGAGAGTGATGGTCTTCTCCATCAACATGCCGATCGGGAACTGGTTCGTGTGGAAAAAGAAATCCCCAATCAGCGCCACATTGCCGCCTTTCCTGGTCGCTTTGATACATGCGGTAATTGTATCACCACTGTCACCCTCCAAACCCAACGCTCTCATGCTCTTATGCGCCAACGACCGGGCGCTGCGAAACCCACTTGCCTCAATGCCTCGATCTAGACCAAGCGGCTCGACAGAAAGAAGGTACTCGGCGACATCTTTGTGTTTGGATACATCCACAGGAATCATACCAAATTCTTCTGCTTTGTGCAGCCGTTTCGGATCTACATCCAAAGCGTATACTCTTTTGGCTCCTCGGAACTTCGAAAGCCGCTGAATCGAAAGTCCGACTGCGCCACATCCCCATACGCCGACGACATCCCCTTCACCGACCTCCGCCAGCTCACATCCATGCCAGGCTGTGGTTGTAACATCCGCTAGGCCAACAAGTTTCTTTGCGTCAACGTCATACGGAGCCTTGACGCAAGTAAGGTCTGCATTCGGTACTCGGCACCATTCAGCCTGGTCTCCAGGATACCCACCGGTAAGGTGTGAATATCCAAAGATACCTGACAAACGATGGCCGTATAGTTGTTCCATCTCCTTTGAAGGGTTGGTCTTGTCACAGAGTGAGTACTCTTGTCGCTGGCAATAGAAGCATTCCCCGCAAGCGATGACTGGGAGTATGATAACTCGGTCGCCAGGTTTAAGGTTCTCGACGTCGGGGCCGATCTCTTCCACGATCCCAATCGCTTCGTGACCCATAATGTCGCCTTTCTTCATGGCTATGTTCATCTCTCCAGAGTACATGTGCAAGTCCGATCCGCAAATTGTACAGTGTGTGATATGTACGATGGCATCTTTAGGAGCTGTGATCATGGGCTTGGGCACTTCTTCAACGGTTATAGATTTAGTGCCTTGAAACACAGCAGCCTTCATTGTCTCGGTGGGATGGGGCTTATAAGCCGTCGAAGCAATGTGACTTGATTTGTCAGTAAGACCAACCTGAAGAAAAGTGCTCGCTCATTTCAAACAGATATACGATGTTTACCTTGCTACACTCGCCATTTTAATCTGATAGCTAATTCCCTTTGAATTGAACAGCGAAAGATTCTCGTCGCGATATAAAACAAAGGTGTCTACTGCGGGTAAACATTCATATCTGCGTAACGTTAGGAAAACATTGGCTATATATCTTCTTCATTGTTCCGTTTGCTTCCAGCGTGATGCTCCATCGAGATGGGCGGACGAGTACTTGAAGTCATACTACCGTCACTCGGTGAACCGTGCTACCCTCTACTCTGCTAAGCTTTCTCGCATTCATATGATATCAGATTGAGCCGGAGCTTCACGTCCGGCTCTTCCTGATTTAAAGTCTAAACTAAAACAACCGAGACGAACCTCAAGTTGATCAATACGATTTAATAGGCTACTTTGACTATGCCAGTTACTCATCAAAACGTCACAGACAAGGATATTCAATTGGTGTTATATGCAAAAGCCAGCAAGATCGCGATCATCTTTCAAGCTGAAGAATTCCCCCAATCGCAATCGCCAAAGCACATATGTTCAATTAAGTTACATGATCTTAATCTAATGCCAATGCTATGATTGCGAGCAATACGACCCACCTGCTCATTATTATACTAGGCGAAAATGGCATCGTTGATGTCTTCAAGAGCTGAGAGCGAAATACAGTAGTCCAGGAGAGGTTGGTATTAAGAATTGCGGAAGGATGACACATAAATATGTACTTTGCCCTACATTGACTGTGTCTTAGTTCGGCAAATCTCTGGTAAGTTTCCATGAACGAGATGCATGAGCACAATATGCTGGTCCCAGATGCCAATATATAATACTTTTCAAGGGTTCGGGCGTAGTTTATCTGGGATACTGCATCTGCGGTAAGTAAAGCAAAATCTATTGAACAAAAAGCCGATGATCCAGATGCTGCAAGCTTCAGTCAAATCTCCTTTATGTTGGTGGCTACGTCCTAGAGCGTGAAGTGTAAAAGCACATTTTCCCCCAGTCTGCTCTATTTACCAAACCATGTAGGAATCTTTTGGCTCGGTCACACCGGTCAAGTTGGCGCTGGAATTGAGTTACGGCCAGAAAACATGTTCGCCCAAGCAAAATGGGAAACGGGCAACACTCTACAAAGAGCGTCAACTAACCCACGTGAGCAGCGACTCCATACCACCACTACACAAGACGTTAACTATGGGATCTGGCAAAGCCCATTACGCCTTTTACTGTATATGGTGATATCACAAGGTTACCCGTGGAGAGGGAGAACTGAAGGGAAAACTGGTTACTCGTCTTGTGTCTCAAGTCTACTGATGAACTTCCAGCAGGAAGTGATCGCAGAACTTATACCTGTTTGTCGGGCTGCCCGTCACATGGGTAGCCCGGGTGCGGCAGGTTTGCCGGCGACTGAGCTACTTCAACCCGGGGTTCCGGCTACTGCAACAGGATGATCCAGATACTATAACAAAGTTTAAGAAGTATTGAGAAACCGCCTCTCGGCAAAGGGAAGAAACAATTGCAGCTGTTAGGCTAAAGAGTCCGGCTTGAATCATCAAACCTCGTACAAAGAGGTTCGTGCACACGAGGTTGAGGAGAACAATCTGCTAAAAGCTCTTATCTATTACAGAATCTCTAGCGCGCTTGCAAAAGAATCAAAACATATCGGGACATTTGGAGCCTCAGTACAACTAAAACGCTTGTCCGCTATAAGTATAGGCCTCCATTCTAGTTTGGTGGGTTTGCCGTGACATCAAGTGCGAAAAATGCGAAATTCTGAGCATTTGTAATCTTTTCTTCGTCCTTAAGTTCTTCACAACTATAAACTCAAGGATCAGCAGATTTTCTTGAATTATAATCCGTTTCCCGAACCATTCTTCTGGTGGTGGTGAACTCACTCTCTGACTAAGTAGGCATGATCAATGCTGCGTCTGTCTGCACCTACAACGGCATCGAGATGCTGCATTTCATGAAGCAGAATCATGCCAGCAGACGGCGTATATTCCCCACGCTTCCAATTTGAAAGCATCGTCGACTGGCTAACCTTGTTGAAGAATGAAGGGCATAGGTAGAGCAGGTTAACTCCAAGGCCTTGGTCACCGGCGTTGACCACGGCGGCTGCCTCGCTTGATGAGCATACAATGTCATCTGCGGCGGGACAGGCGTACACTAGTCTCTGGGAATCCGGATTGCCCTCATTCACAAAATCAACAGTTCCAGATTCAGGCGCTCGCAGCTCGGAAATAGCCGCCTCGTAGTGGTGTTCTTTAATGGCTTCAAGATCAGACTCGTGAGCATTGCCATCTAAGCAGGCGAACGGTAGCGTCAAGCATTAGCTAATGTCCGAAGCCGGTAAAAACCAAGTTCTACAAATCATTGGATCGATTGAAATTGAACAGGAGTGCCGATTTTTCAGAACTTACCACCAAACCATCGTGAGTACGCCGATGAAGACGTGCCCGAATCATCCAAAGCCACTATGGCATTATTCGCTAGAATCTTGGCATACTCTACCGCGTTCTCGATTGCTTCGATTTTCTCTAGGGGGCAGTACCATTTACCCTTGTAGCTTACTGATACCCAGTTGTCCAAGGACCGTTCGTAGTTCCGCAGAGGTTGATTAGGGTGTTCTGCGCCAAAAACAAAGTGCACGTCCCAGAGACTCAAAGCAGAGACAGCGAATAGTGTGACTATCCAACCGGGGGGGAACATTCTGCTAAGATACAAAAGATTTGGATTTTCAATTGATAAAGAGCGTGATTCAGAGGTGGTCTTAAAAGCAATGCCAGATGCACACAGAATGGTCGATTTCATCAGGAAGTCTGGTCTATGACGGCTGATAATCTTTTCCTACTTTAGATCCTGGTGTCTGAATCGGATAGCTTTGCCAACTATTATTCTACTACAACGATGTTGATTACAATGTCTTCCGAATGATGCCGGAGTCTAATAGCCGAATTCTCACAAAATAGATGGAAAGTTTGTGGTCCGCTGTCGCCGTAATTAAGTCCATGTTGATTTAGGCGCACCTATGGGTTAGTGGAGCACTGGATTTCCATCTGTGCCGTGTAAGCGGTCTGGTGTGAACACCGGACACTTGAAAACAAAGATTGCCGCTGGTTACTCCTGAAAACTGCATTTTTCCTAGTATATCACGGTGCCGGGGATTAGGTCATGGCGCTATATGTCACGGGCCGGTCAGTGCGATCAGCTATCACACAAAGCAAACGCTTTGGTACTGACAAATCTGTTGTCATTATCCCCTATTCCCACCATATATTTACGCCGGCCAACAGCCCACTCCGCTGCATAGTACCAAGAGACCAAGTCGTACGTTAGAAAAATAATTGCGCTACAACTTGAAACGAAGGATCGCCCGGTAGCTAGTCAGTAGAGAGGGCTTGCCTACCTGACCTCGATTAGATAGTTTAGATAGCGTTGGCCTATATCATTATTATTATTACTAATTAAATATTGGGATATGATCTATAAAGCTTAGTCATACCGTTATATTATTGTTTGTAATTGAAAGTTGTGATGTACGATTGTAAAGGCCATAAGCTGGAGAGCTGAATAAGGTATACCTACAAATAATAACAGAAATTAGACTGGTTAATGTTAAGGTGGAGGCTCGCCTTCCAGGACACTACGACATGATACTACCGCCCAGGATTCTCCTCTAGCGTCCCTTCACCGTCGAAAGCCTGGTTTTTCGAATAGCGAATTCCCAGTACCGAAAAACACGTTGACGAAATGTGAGACACTGGTCATCGGTCACTTCCATTGCCCTTTTGAATAAGTGTCTGTCACTCAAGTGCTGTTTGCTAATAGGGAACCTATTGTTCCAAAAGTGCTGATAACAGTTATTTATTAAAGTTGCTCTCTTCATGAGATTCACAAGAATAATTGCGAAAAGGTTATTAATAGAAGCCGGAAAGAAGGCCCTTGGAACTATCATCGTCCCCAAGCGAGAAGGGGTGCCCTATTCAGTGAGGAAAGCACAAATGCTACTGTACCAGGGGGTTACTGGAAGTCGCAATTAAACCGAGTTTTATCACGATTGCGGTAGAATGACCGCCACAGATTTCAAAAGCCATCAAATCAAGTGATCAGCAGTAATTTATTGCGCATGAAATATTGAGTAGCCACCTCACACCTGAATTACCAGCTCTTCTCTGCTTACTACTCGACTGCATACTAACCCCAGGCATAAGTAAATATCACGTATCTGCCTCATTTTAGTTTACTTACTCCATGAAATCAATCATCTCTTTTTGTATTGACGTTCCATAGCAATGCTATTCAAGAACGTTCGCCTTTTACTAGGTTTTCTCTTATGGGAAGGCATAGCTTCATCTCTATTACCGCGAGGGGGCGACGACTCCGGCGGACACGAATGGATTGACCACGACAAAGTCGTCGCATTCTCACAAAATGCATCTCCCGGGTTGGAAGGGCAGCTAGAGCTTCGATTTAACCCCAATCTTTTCGTTGATGGAGGCTGTGATCCATACCCAGCTGTTGATGCAAATGGAAATCTCGGGTAAGCAAGCAGAGCCATACAGAGGACACTCGATGAACCAACAGCTAATACTTAACGTAGTGCTGGCCTGAAGCCAACCAATGGTGGAAGAAGCGGCTGTGATGGTGGCGGCACTGGCCAGGTTTACGCCCGACGAGGGGACAGCCAAGGTCGTACCGCCATTATGTACAGTTACTACTTCCCTAAAGTTCGCTGGGCTGGGGGAGACTCCGGAGGCCACCGTCATTATTGGGCTAGCATCGTGGTTTGGATCCACCGCTGGGGGTGCAAGGTTGAGGATGCGACAGCAACCTGGCCTGTTGGCATCTCGTTTACCTCCGACCACTTGCAATGGAGTACAGCGAACGCTGGAGAGATATCTTTCACGTCATCGACAGTTGGAGTCGATATGCCCACACACCCTAGGATGCAAATCCACGATAACGCCATTACGCCCTTTGTGAATGGTAACGCTAACCAGGTTTTTGAGCGAACCCTTGTCGGGTGGCAATCCCTCCCGAACAAAGCCCAGCAGGCACTGAATGACGTCAAATATGAAAAAACCGAGACGCCTGTTGCAGACGATAACTTTCAGACCCTCCTAGATGCTGCGTATAGAGAGAGCTTCTACGGTGGATTGTTGGAAGAAGCGGATTGTGATGCTGGCTACGATGGGAATGACACAAGGCCTTTGGTCTAAGTAACTGCTTTGGCATCTGTGCACCAAAGGGGAAAAAAACAAGAATAAAGTCACAAGATAGTCCCTAGAGGAAATTTAAGTACAGACAGAGATGTTATACGAAACATGGGATCGACCACTGCGCATAATAGCCATAGCTTCACGGCACTGCTTAACCGTGAAAGTTGGGACAAGCTGCCGACCTCCGACCTCTGAAAGTCTAAGCGTTTGGTTGTACATGCACTTGCAGTGTACGTTACCCAAGGCATAGTTAATTTTCTCGGACATGCCCGGTACCATGAGCTGAGCGAAATATTTTGGTCTGACATATGAGGGCTGTTTATATTTGTCTGTGAGGTTTGGAATGAATCATTCCCCAATGATAAAATCTAAAAGACGCAAGTGAGTGAAATCCCAAACGTAATTTGACTGGCTGAACCCTCATAGGCCTTGCAAAAAATCGCAGCCAGGAACAATGGTTTTCTCGATAAGGAGAGTAGATAAAACGCCGATGACCAGAATACCATGATGGACAGACATACCCACCATTCATCCCTGATAAAACCCACAGGAGAACTTACGATGCCGATAGCCGGCTGGCCAGTGCAGCAGGCCCTGATCAGGCGTGCAGCAAGGCGGAACTTTATAGATTCTCCCTTCTGATCCTTATCTAAGGCATCGTTGCAGTCGCCAGATTAGTTGCGAATGTATTGACCTTGAACTGTTAGACGAGTTGCTGGTACTGCTTCTGAGAATATCATACTTAGAATGGCTACTAGAGAAGCAGTGATCTTTAGCCATAGAAGCCTTCCTAATCGTTACGTGGCCAGGGTATCCCATCGACGGCAGTTGTGCCGCTACTCTCTAAAGGCATGCGCGTACAAGTTACGCTTGAGTACGCATTTGCAGTTTACAGTTTTCTCAACAAAGCGTATGTACACGTGCGCCCCACGTGTACTTGTACCTTCTACTACAGCATCAGCAAATAGCGTTATGTATCAAATGCGATCGCTGGTTAACTTAGTCATGGTTGCAGCAGAAGCTTTGTTCACGCATTACTGCTATCTACGTAGGCACTGCAAGACTACAAGCATGCAGCTTATATTTACACTATGGTTGGACTCTGTCAGATTTCGGCAAATGTACAGCCACTGAACAGAAAAGACAATTTGTTGATTTTGACCAGGGGCTAGAAAGGGGAAAGATCAAAGCGCAAATCCATGTTTAGGTAGCCAGCTCTTTGCACATGTCCAGAACCCACGATTTGATGATCTATGGAGACGTGTCACAAGGTTGGGGACAAATGAATACAGCGAGAGGGATGGAAAAGCCTGAATTTTTGATTCTCCCGCAGTACGTCATTGTTGCTTTGCGTCATGTCCGATACAACTTCGTGTCCCCTGGTGATACTCATTCTGTGTGGGAGGTACACGTACTCCTCTACGTTGTATAACGCATTAATCAGAGGGAGAAATTTCTTCTTCTCCTACCGATGCCCCAAGAAAAGTGGCGTCGGCGCTTTTGGTGTCCTCGATGGGGTGCAATGGCCTGCGTTGCTTAACAAGGTTCCCGTTGGCATCTATGGCCATAAGTAGACCGCAGCCTCCTGAGACGTGGAAGAAAGGATTGGGGCGGAGTTCGAGCTGGCAGTCTAGTCTAGTAAATTAGTTTTGGTTGAATGTGACGAATTGATAATCTTCGATGCAGTTGCGGCTATCTGAGCTGTTCTAGTCGCGTGAGAAGACAGAAGACATTACTACATGGAAAGCCGGACAGCCCAGAAGCGGGCCCGAATTGAGGCCTACTAAGGTACTGTGTCTCCCTGGATGAGTATAATACAATAAGAAACAAATGGGAGTTCGTCAGTTACGCAAATACAAAATGCAAGAATCCGAAGAAAGACGACTTCGCATTATGCTGAATGCTCCAAGTAGATCCCTTAAACTGCATGATCATGTTCATCTTTAGGAGCGCATGCTGAGGTTGAGTATCAAGTCGTTGAACTCAAGCTACTCAACTTACACAGCGCCTTTATTTATTAGATACGTTGCCTTAAGTAGACTTTTCCTCTGCAGCTTCGTTATTTACTTCAATACCTCGAGCTAAAAGGGCGTCAATTAGACGGACGGTATATCCGACAGTATCCTAACTTCCGGCGGAACTCGCTATAGAGAAGCAGAACTTCAAAGCGGCAATAGCTCTGTTTAGAGAAGAGGCAAACATATTAAATAACTTCTTGGCTCAGAGTGTTCTTCATGTTTAAACTGAAAGCAAGGGCGGCCAGGTTCCTGACCAGCATTTCGGATACTCTGCAGCACCACTATAAGATGGCGAGAAAGCCAGGGGGAACAAGGGCAGAAATTTATACCCCTTGAAAAGGAAATGCAACAGTACGGTTTCGTTTCATTCTAGATACGCCTCAAGTTGGAGACATTACTATACAATTGCAATCCGCCGCGTCTTGGGAAAATCTCATTTTACTACTTCCCATGTTTATTCCTTACATCTTTTAAAAGAAGTCTATCGCTAATGACATTGATAACTTTGAGTATTTATACAAGCTCTCCTTAACAATTTCGTATGCTCCCGATGGCAAAATTGTGCTAGGTTGCGAAACACCTTCCAGGGTCAAAAACAGCTCCCTAAGCCACAAAAGCATTTTTATATGCTTTTCTAACAATACTTGCAGGTTGTTTCCGGGAAAATTCCGCGACTATAAGCATAGCTGCAGAGATATACATCGTCATTATCCATAACCCCATCGAATAGACCTGCGTCTAATTTACCAACAATAGGATCCGTCTTCGGGGTCTCAGAATATTTGAGGCACTACCACGCCGATGGCGGACAATACCCATACTGACAATGAAAGTGGCACAGCTCTTTGTAAGTCCCCGTTGGACTTGCTGGGAGTCGCTGTGTTCGAAACGCCTACAGAGCCTGCCACCTCAGTTGTTGTTGGTGACTCGCTCTGGACTGTGGTAGGCGCCGAAGTGGTGGTAAACACCGCTGCGGTGGTAGACTGCTGTGGATAGACGTAGGGCGTCACAGTGGTTGACACACTTGACTTCGGGGGAGCTTCCCATTGAGGTCGCAGACAAGCCAAGGACAATCTTGGGGTCTTTCTGTTGGCCTTATCGACGACGGCGCTATAACCAAACACCGTGCCGACGATAAAGGTGCGGTTAGAAGCTTCGTAATACGCATCCATGTCGCCTTTAGCAACGGCACCAGTACCAATTAGCCACGACGAGTCGGTGATTTGGTCTACTGCTAGGACCTTGGCGGTGTATTCATCCTCGAAGGCCTCCGAACTCCAAGCTAAGCAACAAGACTCGTTAGAAACGAATGCCCAAGAATCACTCTTGGAAAGACGACGTTTACTTACCGATCACATCGCCACGAATCAGACCGAGTGTGTCTTGACAACTCACAGGAACTGGGTCGAAAGTTAATGCAGAGCAAGGTACGTCGGGATCCTCTTTAAACCAGCCCTTTGTAAGGCTATCCTCAAAGTCCGCTCGGCATTCCGCGGATAGGAAGCCGCAGTCGTGATCGACTTGTGCAGTGGGATCAGGCCGCTTGCTCACGAAATAGTGTCGGCAAATGTACCATGACGGATCTATAGCCTTAGGGACACCCTTCGCCGTATTCATCAAGGCCTCAGGAACGCTAAATGTAAGCGCTGTGACCTCTGTCGACCGGTACTTAGCGACACTCTCCGGCCACGGCACGTCATGGGCGATGCGCAGGTGAGCCTGGAAGCCTTCGATTGGAGAGCCAGGATAAGGTTTCGTCCAGTCAAAGCCGCCATAGCTAGACACGTCTGATGTAGAAGGGTGCTGGAAAGCTGCCTCGACATCTGGCCACGAGATTCGAGCAGCGTTAGATTTGTTGGCGAGGAATTCTTGGTTTTCAAAATATATATAAGGCGTAAACTCGTTGGCTCCAGCAAGAACTGCAGCCAAGGCGGCCAGAAGACTGTAATGAGACATGATGCGAGTGGATTCTTTCACCTGATGATCGAAAAGTGCCCTTGAGGATTGGACGTAGCTCGAGGAGGCTACGTATAAAGACCCGGGACTTGCTGCACCATGGACTGGCTACATTCCGATGCAGTGGCCCGAGGACAATCAGATGCTCTATCTATATCCGCAAGTAGGTTTGCTGTAATTATGTACTTTGTTTTTTGCCAGTGGATCCGTAACCACTAGGTAGCCATGAAAAGTCCCTGCAGCAAGGGTTAGCAATTTCGAGATAGTTTTGTTGGTTCAATGATCCACCGGCTAGAAGTGCGGCACAGCACGCCCGACGTTGAACTTGGCCTGCGTCCGGGTATCTTCCTGCAAAGCTCAGGTAAGGCAATTTAAACCACTTTTCTTGCCTCGGTACCCGCTTGGCAAAGCTTGTCTGCTCTTTGTCCCGTCCACGTTGGCTCTCTTATTCACGGCTCTCTATCGGAAGAATCCGGTATGCTCGGGGTCTTTTTGCCAAGATTCAATTATGACACAATGGTGATCGAGTCAGCTTTTGATATATATGGTCTAGATCATAGGCTGATTCCAATCAGTGAAGCATCACGAAGACAGAGGCTCTGGGCTACCGGAGTTTGGAGCTGAGCAAAATCGGCAGCGAACGAAGCAGGGCTAGCTGCCTATAGAGTGAGCTGTCACAAGCTTCAGCCTTGATATCTACTTGATCAAATTACAGTGATGGGATATCACCCAACGGACCAAGCAACCCATTTGCGTTGTTAAATGCTCACTTGATTCAGCCCACCCCTGCGTAAAACTCCCACATCATAGCCTTTCAGTTGTTCAAACAAATACATCTCGCCAAATGAAACATCCATTCTGTTCTGCCCTTTCGTTTTCCTATTAAGCGTTATAAGCAAACTCTTTGTCAGCAAAAGTGTAACCCAACTTACACCTCAGCTACCCGAAACTTCATAACCTCACTCTCTTTCATTGCCTCTCCAGTGACATTTTAAATTTTGAGCCATCAAAACGACATTGCACAGTCTAGTATAGATACTGGTTGTTCAGACTATGCTAGATGCCAGTGCTGTTGACGCCCCCGAAAATATCTAGGAATGACTGGCCCACACACTGGAAAAAGAATGTACGGATTCTTGCAACCACTGTTTTCCAAGGTTCTTTGCATGGATCGTATTGCAGTTTGTAAGTGTTCGCTGCTGTAAGTATAAATAGCAATCAGAGTATTTGGTTTTGGTTCCAAGCTACGTTGTGCTTGGTACGGTATTCCAGTTGCTAAAGTGCTAATGTTGGATCGCGTAACTATTTGTTCCCATCTACAAATTTTAGAGTTTCCGGACCATCACCAGTATAGCAGGCATCCGAGATGATGGCTCAAACCGAGGGTGCGCGAATCAGGCTTACGGAAATCAGATATTTCCGGCACCGTTTGGTATGCACTCTATATTGAGGTATTTCTTCCTGTTGGAGTCTTTCAACACGCTACAAAAGATCCCTGCCCCATACCTTATTTGATCTGTTCCTCCTCATTCTTGTCAAGTTCAGGAACCAACACAAGAACCAACATGCGCTGTGGGCCACGTTACGGGTCAACAATGTCCGCCTCTTTACACGATTGGTAAGTTCACACCCTGGTTTTTGTTTGGTTCCAACAACATCGACTGATGAGGCCCATTCTTTGCAACAGTGATGATAACCGTACCTGAACACAAGCATCGCCGGGCCGCACTTCCGAGATCAAAACCCTCTCCACCCGTGTCCTGAGTATATACAATGCTACAGTAATGGGTTTCGCTGAGCACAAGGGGGACATCGTTCCAGCTGTCACAATGTCAGCGTTGATTGCCTTGAAGTGCCGTAGGTGAAGAAGTCAGGAGTCGGAAAGGAAACGGACTGGGAAAAGCTCGTTTTAGATATACTCTCTATTGCTCTATCTGTCCTCCTGCTTTTTGCCGGTGAGATCGTTGGCGCAGCGTTTGGTGGCGCAGCGGCGATAGCTCGCATAGCAATGTTTTTCGGTGAGGTTCTTAATCTTTCACTAACAATTGAGAGCACCAGTAGGGAACCTAGCAGCACCATTTACGACGACGATAAGGGCTCTCATCTTGGGATCGCATGAAGATGCGTCTGGACGAACATCATAGTAGGCTTCAAACAAGCGACTGGATCCAGAGGAGCATTGTCCGCAGAGAAGCTGGACATTTTTGGCCCAAAAATTGAGGCGAAAGACGCTGATATGCAAAATATTGTTAATAAATGTGATTAGATAACGACAGTAGGCTTATATTAGGCATCACGGTAGTCTTTTGTACAAGACAAAGACGTCCCCTCGGTTGTGGCGTGGCAACACAGGTCAAGATCAGCTTACAACGGTCATGCACAGAGTCGCTCAGAACATGGGGTTTGTCGCCAGCTATTGATATTTATCCCCTTTTTTTAGTTTCTGTAAATCCATCGCATCTCACTGCATTGAGATTTTGAAAATCATTTAGATTTGTGAACTCTGCAGCGTAAACTAACTCGACATTACGGATATCCAGCTGATGTAGACTTGTCGGCATGTTTGGCTGGGACTGGTCAGAACCGGGGTCCCTTGTCCCGTCATATGACCACTTAGTGGACAGAAATTCAGTTCTTATCCCTACACACGGCCTGATACAGTGGAGTTAGACCTTTTCAGGTAACTGATTCCGGGGACCCTGGCATGATGGGTTGCTCAGCGGCGGCCCTCGCCGAATCCTTTGTGTCTTAAGTCCTATTAAGCAATGTCTTCCTTCATCCAACCCGAACAGTTGTCTGATCTCCAAGACAAGCTCCCCTGACCCTTCAGACCTTACAACCGCATTTAGAGCAGTCGACTGGGGTTATGTACTGCTGAGAAATCAATATTATCCGCACGGAGTATGCCACTCAACTTTCTCGCTGAGGGGTGTATAACGAACGCACAATGTTCAGTTCGTTCGCACGCCGCTGCACGGTCATCCCTCAAACAATCAGCGCTTTTTCTCACCGGTCACCTTATGTTCAGCCTCGGAAGACCCATTTGTGTTGCGATCTGAATCACTCGCCATCAAACTGCCTGCCAATATCCACTTCATCGACAAAGAATTTGGGTTATGGGTATGAACGTGCGACAGATAAAAGACAAGTAGAAATCAGAGATAATGTTGCAGCTTATCATGGAAAAAGGCTGCCGCGGTGGACCCAACAACACGCAATGGACTCCGAGGAATATTTCCTTATCCGGGGAATCCGACACAACGGAAGCTTCGCTAAATCACCCAAAGTCACCAAACTTTGCTCAGAAAAACAAAGGGATCGTTTAGCTCGGGCCCGTAACGCTCGCCTGATTATGAGTAACACAATACCAGACATTTCTTCCGAGGCAGTGAAGCCTTATTGTATATGGTACCCCGACACCGCCACAGAAGAAACATACCGGGCACTAGCCTCTCGGTATCCCGACATGCGATATCACGTTGGACGAGCATGTGCCGTTGCGGGATATAAAACACTGTATGACGAACTCGACTTATTGCCAGATGTTTCCATTGCGGAAGAAGCTCGAGATAATGGCCACGATGACATATTTGAAACAATCACCAGTCAACCTGCCAGGTATGCTGTCATGAATGACTACACCCGAACGGTCAACCTCGAATCCCCTACTGTTGTGGTCGGACTCAACGGCGATACCGCCGTCCGATCTTCGCTACAAAATGGTCCTCCCTATTCTAGCGGCTTTCCGATCTCCTACTTTAATGAGGACCTGCCATATTCCTATCCCGACGCCTATTTCGATATACAAGAAGACTTGCATGTTGGCCATACTGGGTGGCCCAGGCCTGACGGGGCGGCATTAGAAAGTCAGTATGCTTACTTGGCGCACACACCACTGCCTCGGGATTTGCCTCCTATCAACAAAGACGTTTTGATTCTTTTGGCGGCTTGGGATGGCAATTTTGAGCGCTATTCCCGCCTACGGCGACCGGTGCTCATACGCAACGAGCTAACGGCTGTTATTCGCGGTGCCTACCACCATACCCCCTTTGCCAGATGGCTAGAGACGTGTGCCGATGAAATCTTTCCAGGCTTCTGCGAGGACATCATGCAGGCTGTTCATGCACGGTTTATCATGAACAACGACCTCTCTCGGATTGATAGTGATACCGATGGTGATACCCTTCCATCCTTTTTCTGGTGGCCTCATTGTCCGCAGGAGAGGACTTTGCGAGAGCTGGCATGGCGACGTACAGATCTCAAGCACCAAGTCACTCTCGCCTGCATAGTTGGGAACTTTTATAAACTTTTCGACGAATTGCTAGCCACAATGAAGCCCACTCAACTGCAATGGGAACTTGCGATCCAGTCCCCCATCAGCTATTTCCGAAAGCAACTAATGAGACGCGCCGAGCAAGAGGGGGACGTTGAGTTCGAGGGCGACGAGAGTGACCTGAAAGGCTACTGGGAGAATCCGTGGCCATCTGAAGACGCATGGAGCAGGAAGTATCTGCGACCGGATAAGGAGATGTATGTTGATGGTGGCACGTACGATATTTCGAAAGCGGACATTTCGAACGAGCTCGGCAACTACCATGTTGACGATCGTGACTATGTCTGTTTTTCACCGCCGCCAGATCACGATCTTTTGAGTAAAGGTATGCACCGGCAGATCTCCAGATGGCATCGTATCATCAGTACCACAGATAAGACAAGGCAGGAGGCGGCGAAGAATGAGAGGCCTTCCGTTGTGTACCCATACTTTGGTAAACCGGATCGCTACAAGACCCCAGCGCCCGAACCCAAATATCCGAAGGACTTTACATATGAAGAGGAGGAAGAGGACTAGACCGGAAATGGAACTTCGCTGCCAACGATGAAAAGCTTCCGTGATAGCTCACACCTGTGTACATGTAAGATATAATATGTCGGAGTGATCCTAGACCTCAAGGTTAGGTTAGGAGTGCGTAAATATATCATCTCATCTTCTATGCCACCGATTACGGACTGCTAATAAGCACATGGCCTGCGGAGTCTGAGCTAATGAGACGCAGGTACTGTAACTTCTAATCGAATAGCGAGTACTGTGTGCTTATAAGGCTTGGAGAAATGGCCGGTCTGTAAATGGGCAGTCTTGTACCCCTGGCCAGATTGCAGTTGACGGGATAGTTGCGAATAGCTGTTTACCGGTCCTCTTACGGGCTTTCGGATTTATGCCATCATGAGCGGCAACCATCTTTCGCGATCATTCGTGAGAGGAGATTTCGGTTGGTCCGTCACGCCGCCAGGGAATGTACTTGATATCTGACGCCTTGGTCGGGGAGTTCGGTACCCCAGAACGCGGATCGACAATGCATCCCCGCTTGGCTCCTCACCAAACCCTTTCCGAACCGAACCGAACCGAAACGCCGGACCGGGCAGGACCACCCCCGAATGTGGACCGGCGTTTGTGCGCTTGAGTGCGGGGCCGGATGATGCTGAGACATCGGCAAAGCGTTTGGACTTGTTTGCAGTCAAACTGCGCCCAGTGGAAGGAAATATAATATAGCATATGCCGTGTCCCTACTCATCTCGAATTTTCAAACATCAATCTCTTTTTCAGTGCTCGACAGTATTTGGGCATATGTCAATCACCTGAAACCACCTGCATGATACTTTTTTGAGACCTTTACAACCCGCTTCAAAATGGCCACACAAACGCAGACTGTGAGCGAGACCGAGGTTACACGGACATTTGCTGCTCAGTTTGAGACCAAAGACCTCGTCACGTTTGACACCAGCAAGCATTACGGCGACTGGCGCGATGAGTTCCATAAGAATGGCTGCGTGGTCATTAAGAATGTGATCAGTCCAGAGCGCGCCCAGTACTACTGCGATAAACAAATCGAATGGCTCAAGAAGTTTGATCTTGGCTTTGATGAAAAGGACCCATCAACATGGACTGCCGATCACCTTCCTGTCAGCTTCAAGGGAGGGTACGCGTCTCCGTCTCACTACTGAAGTTCGTCAAGCTAACATGAGTGCTAGCATGTATTCGGCATACGGTGCATCTCATGAGAAGATGGCCTGGGAAGCCCGAATGGAGCCAAAGATTGTCGAAGTCTTTGAGAAGCTGTGGGGCACCAACGAACTCATCACTTCGTTTGACGGAATGAACATTTCCATGCCGAACCGAAAAGACATTACCTGGAGTCCGTGGCCACACTGCGATCAGAACCCCGAGAGAAAAGGGTAAGCACGCGGGTCTATAGATAATCTTCCAACAAGCTAACAAATTGCAGCATGCAGGCCGTTCAAGGCCTTCTTAACTTCGCCCCCAACGGCCCTAAAGATGGTGGCTTGATGCTCATGAGGGGCTCCGCCAAGCTCTTTGACGAGTTCTTTGCACACAAGCGAGAGTCCGCGGACCACGAGGACGCCCCGCCCCCGGAAATCAAGTTCATGGATCTCTTTCTCTTCAGCGAAAAAGACGTCAAGTGGTTCGAGAGCAAAGGTTGCGAACTTTTCAAGGTCAACATGGAGCCCGGCGATTTTGTACTGTGGGATTCGCGCACCATGCATTATGCCCGATTCCCCGAGGGTGATCAGATCAGACACGTGCAGTACATTTGCATGACACCCCGCAAGTTCGCGACTGATGAGGCTCTCGAGGCCAAGAAGTTCTGCTTTGAGAACTGGTACGGCACTACACACTGGCCCCACTGGTGAGTTTTCCTCGGTTCGTCTTCCGGCTGTGCATTAGTTAACAATCGGTAGCAACATCCGTCCTTCGCAAGATAAACCAAAGAGGAATGGCGAGGTGTGCCCTAAATACCGATCGGAGCCGTTCGAGAAACCTGAGATCACGGACAGGCTGCTGAAGTTGGCTGGTGTTAAGCCGTATTGAATACGACGGCACAAGTTCCAAGACCTGAATACTATAAATTAGAATAAATTGGGAATTGTACAAGAATGCAACATTAAAAATAATTAACCACTGCTTTCATCCTCCACAATGATGAACATAAAGGATTAACCAAAAACATGTCTTGTAATTGGTGGATTCACATTTACCGAGCCAAGCTCATCGGCCGATCGCCGGCCGATGCCCGCTGCAGTTGAGACTAGGCAAGTTTACAAAGCACACAGGAAACGGCGTGCCTGAAAGTCGCATTAATAATGGGAACACACGGGGGGGAGTCATGACACTTAAGTAATTGGCCGGGAATAGGCAAACTGTTGCGTAAACACGGTGGCCGGCAAGGTTGATTCTTGCCGATGGGTTCCTGGGCCGAACTCGGAAAATATGTCGATCTTGGCGCGGGGCCGGCCTTTAATAAATGAATCTAGTCCTGAGCGATCAGCAATGGAAAAAATTTGAGGATTCTCGTTGGTGACCACGTCTGGTGCTTTCTTGTTGTTACTTTGACAGTTTGTGTTGTTCTTGGAGATAGAGCTTCGATTTCGAGATAATATCCCTTGAACCAATTGACTTTTTTTGCGTTCCATCATGGAGGAGAAATCGCGTTCAACTCAATATGAATCCCAACCACCGGGCGCAGCACCCGATCGCCAAGACCAGCTTCCTGTTGATTCCGCAGATGCCCCCTCTGGTCGGAGCCTCAGCCGTAGCGCGTCTCGGCCGAGTGCCATTATCGATACGCCCCCAGATGGAGGCTTAAGGGCATGGATGGTTGGTTAGTATCGTCGTCTATGCAATGATTGCATCATTCGGGGGGGGTTAAACTAATTGGTAATAGTACTGAGTACGCATCTGGTAACAATGAATACCTGGTGAGTTATTCGGCCGATGGACAAATACAACCACGCTGACAAGTCAAAGGGGCGTGGCCAACTCATTCGGAGTCTTCCAACCGTATTTCACCACTTTATTCGAGCGCTCGCCGTCCGACGTATCATGGATTGGTTCATTCGAAGTCTTTCTCTTGTTCTTCGTGGGCACGTTCACTGGACGATGGACTGACATGGGTTTCTTCCGACCGCTCTTCATCGTCGGCTCCGCGCTTGTTGTGCTGGGGATGATCGGCGCCTCGTTCTGCACGACATACTGGCAATTCTTCCTCGCACAGGGTATTTGCCTGGGCCTTGGCAATGGATGTCTCTTCTGCCCGACTATGGCTGTTACATCTACGTACTTTGCGAAACGTCGCGCTCTCGCGTTCGGAATTACCGCGGCTGGGGCTACCATCGGTGGACTAGCATTCCCTAGTATGGTTCGACAACTGCTGCCGCAGATTGGACTCGGCTGGACAATGAGGACAATTGCCTTGATCCAGCTGGTGACGCTGGCCGTCGCCGGGCTCCTCATCAAGACTAGAATACCTCCGCGACAGGCAGCGCCCTTGGTTGAGTGGGGTGCGTTCAAGGAATCCGAATACAGCTTTTACGCTGTCGGTGCGTTTATGGTAAGAACACATTTCACATCGATCGAGTTTACAGCTCATGCTCATGTTTGACAGTGTTTCTGGGGAATCTACTTTGCATTCCATTACCTCGCGGCTTATTCTCGCGATATCATGGGGCTGTCTTACACAGACTCGTTGGACCTCTTGTTAGTCCTGAACGGTGTCGGTGCGTTTGGCCGAATCATCCCAAGCCAGATCGCCGACATGGTTGGCACAATCAACATTTTCGCACCCATGGCCTTCATGACCGGCACCATCATGTACTGCTGGATGGCAGTCACCAACACTACGGGCTTGTATGTGTGGTCGGTGTTCTACGGTTTCTCAGTGGGAGGTGTGCAAGCGCTGTTCCCGGCAGTTTTGAGTAGCTTGACCACAGACCCTCAGAAGCAGGGCACCCGTATGGGCATGGTGTTTACCATTGTTAGTTTTGCAAGTTTGACCGGCTCGCCGATTGCGGGAGCCATCATCGATGCGCAGGGAGGGAAATACTCGGGGGCACAAGCTTTCGCGGGAACTTGTCTTATCCTAGGCATGACCTGCGTTCTTACTGCGAGAGTCTGCAAGACGAGGAAGATGGGAGTTGGTGCGCTAGCTTGGGTCAAAGTTTGATCCGACGATAATAAATAGATTAATTGATCGTCCTCCTTCAAAGGGCATAAGGTCAACGTGTCTTGGAAATAGACAAGCTATAATTCTCAATGGGAAAAAAGTCATATGTACTACATTAATTATATACAGTAGAATTCGGTTTATCTATCCCTTACTCGACGCCGTTGAAAGCAATCAAGTTGGGAGAGCCACTGCGCAGTCCAGTAGCGGCACCCTCCGTAGCAAGCTCCAGGATGCGAGCCTTCAGAGCTGCGGGAGTTCCAATGTTCTCAACCACGGCAAGGTACAATGCAAGGCCAACAACGTGGGGAGTGGCCATAGAAGTACCGGTGTTGGAAGCAGTGGCAGTGTTGGAGCCAATGTACGCCGACAGCACTCCAGTTCCAGGAGCAAGAATGTCAACGGCGTCACCGTAGTTGGAGTAAGTGTCTTCTCTCCAGTTGGAGTTAATGGCACCGACAGTGAGAGCCTCGGGAGCGGACGCAGGGGAGCGGGTGGAGGCAGGAAGGTTCTCGTTACCAGATGCAACAACGCTGAGCACGCCGGCCTCGAAGGCAGCTTTAACGGCGTTGTTGTAGGCTACGGAAGAAGGACCACCTGGATGTTGTCAGCATAAATTCGGTGTGACCTGATTCGCGGATAGTCTTACCCAAAGACATGTTAATGACGGAGCGGCTCTCGCGGCCCTTGGCAATGATATCCTGAACAGCCCACTGGTAGCCCTGGAGGATGATGGAAGTCGTCGATTCCCGGCCGATGAAGACCTTGACATCAATCAAAGTAGCCTTCTTGGCAACACCGTAGGTCTTGCCACCAATGGTGCCAGCAACGTGGGTGCCGTGACCGAAAGTGTCGTCAAAGACACCACCGGCACCGTTGTAGCCTTGCTCGGCACGGCCCTCGAACTCGGTGTGGTTGACGTTGATACCACTGTCGACAATGTATGCGTAGGTACCCTCGCCGGCAGAGTCATCATAGCGGTACGTCCTTGAGCCAGAAGTGCGGCTCGAAATGGAACCGAGACCCCAGGTGGCGCCGGTCTGGCTGGTGACGGCCTCCAGAGTGAAGATTTGTTCGGGCTCAATGTCGGCAACCTAGGTTTGGTTAGAGGATTGTCTCTCATGTGCAGTTACTTGGAGGAATCATACATCAGGGTTGTTCTTCAGCTCCTCGATGGTAGCATCATCGAAGTGGCCAGAGTAGCCGTGGAACTTGCCAATGTCCCACTTGTTCTCAACACCTGCGGTGTCGCGGCGGGAAAGGCTGCGCTTGTGAACGGCATCAACCCAGCTCATGTGAGTGTCGATGTCGCGGGTCGAGATGCCCGTCTTCAGGGTAACGATGAATTTGCCAGCGACATTGGGTGCGGTCTCAGTCTGGGGCGTCGGAGCGGCCGCTCCGAAGGGGACCAGAGCGGCGACAAGGGCTGCGAAGTTCTTGAAGTTGACCATTGTGGCGGCTGGACCTTGGTTGATACGGTGCTAAGAAAAACTAGAAGTAGGAGACGTGAGAGACTGCTAGAGTGAGGGACAGCACACATCAGGATGGAGGGGCAGAGCGGCTCATATTTGTGTGTCTGGCTGAAAGCCTTGGTCATGACTAGGACGCCGTGAGGCGAGATACCCATGCAAGAAGCAAATAGACCAAAATCTCACATAAACTCACAGAGATCCGGGGTCGTGACGTACACCGCGGTACATTCCAGGAAAACCCACCGCGGCATTTCCTACCTGTCATCTCATGAAGGGTTCCTTCGAGCGGGAAGGGAGCGGCCAAGATGAAGCCAAGAGGCTCCACGAACTGGCGATGGATGCCAAAGTACGGGGGCAAACCCAATCAAAAGGTAACAACAACCAACAAGGCCCACTGCTAACTCGTATAATTAGTAGTTAATATAGAGAGCCTGCTAGGCTGCCGCATGATACGCCCATCGCCTTGCACGATTCCCATGTATTTCCATGTATGGCCGATTAAGGAAACCTTGGTGTTGGTGGCTTGTAGTGGCATTGTTCACAATGGGGTTCCGGAGCATTTTAGAAGTAGCTTAGCAGGGTTCTTTGAAGCGCGATGTCACCTCATCTCAAAAAGAGCTGCCTTAATGGGAATCGGGACCGAAATCGCAGCTGTCATGGACGCTTGTTCTTCACATAAGGCTTGGCGAGAGAAAGGGGGAATGCAGATTTTTGACACATGGAGAGAGAGATCGGCATTCAAGTCGTCGGTAGGAGAAGGCCGTGTGTGCCTTGCATGTTCCTGGCGATGTCGGCGGTGGCCGATGGGTTAACGGTTTTGACTCGGTAGTCTTGGCCCCGGCCTTTCTGTGCCGTACTAAGCTTAATAACCTTGTTCCTTTTAAGCGTGGAGCCTCAGAGGGCAGATCAAGCTGTTGGACATGAGAGATGCGCTAAGAGTGGGATTTAATATTGTACTGCGAATCTCGCCCTTTCACCTCGGTTCCACGTCTAGCCGTTTCACACAAATCTCGGCAACATCGCTTGCAGTTCTGTCCTTCAGTTGATTGTGTGACCTAAATAGCAATATAATAATGAGTTGTGTATTTGTTAGTACATTGGATAGATAGTAGACCGATGCGAGGTTCCGACAACTAGTGGCCTGTTGATGACAAACAAGAAAATGCGCACAGCCCGAAAGGACATAGAGGCTTAACAGCCACAGAAGGCTGTAGGATTCAGAGCCATGGCGATGGCGATGACAGGAACCTCATCCCGACTAGGCATCTTCTTTCATATTGTCAGAACTGTGGCAAAGCTCATATAGGAAGGAGATATTGACATATGCTGCATTTCCGTTCCACTCAAATTTAAAGAAAGATCATTTGTCTCATGTTGATGGCGGAGCAGGGCGAATAGGAAGCAAACTGGATACCCAGGGCATAAACATCCCCGTAAAATGGAGCCTCGGCAGCCAAGGACTAAGCCCACACACAAGAAATATGAGTGCCCCTGGGTGAAGCCAAGCACAAAATCAAGCTTCGAGGCTTGAGTGATTCCTTTTTAAATCCTATGTAGGAGTCAGTTCCAGCCAAGAATTCAAGCCACCAGAGGCCTGCTGAGTTCGGTTAGAGGTTTTTTGGTGATTCACCTGGCATTCTTCCGTCTTGACTATTTCAGGAGCGCCAGCTGTTGTGCCAGTCAACCACGCCCATTCATCGCCAAAAATAAGACTTCAATGCATCAACTTTGTAATTTGTTGTGAAAGTGTATGTATCTTTTGGATGTTTAGGCCGTCAAGTCTCCCTCAAATCATCCACCCACCGGGCTGAGATCTGCGGGCAGAAAAGTATAACCACAACTGAGTCAACAGGCGTAAACTGTGGGTGGCAGGCCTCGCCGGCCCGTCACGTGGGCTGACGGCCGCCACCACTGGTCTTAGCCAGCCTCCACAGCCCTCTAGCCAGTTAGTTAGTTCTTCCAACCAACAACACCACTTTTCCCATTCTGAGCGTTCTGTGCCGGTTCTCGCCCACATAAACCTTGTGTTCCACGCCAATGGAAGATAAACATTGAGAATCCCGATAGAGTATAAACTCTAAATGTACGACTGGAATTTCTCTCCAAGTATATTACTACTTCTTATGTTGAGTCAAACGCTGCGAGCCTACATGTCTAGGGGCTGGAAGCATTCAGCTTGCTCCAACTGGTGAGCAGCAAAATACCCTCATGGAACGGACAGGAAGCGGCATGTTACTCGGGCTATGGAAAACGCAAAAACTACTGCACTGATAAAATAAAAATTGGCCTTATGACTCATGACTCTAAACGACATCCTATCGATTTGGCTAATTCTCTCGACTGCAACAACAAAAACGCGACCGCAAGGAATTTGAAAGGTTCGACAACGTGAGAACCATCGTATTATCACAGTGCTACAGGTGCCCAACAATTGGGCATTTCCAGGTTCCCACCCATGGCACTCCCTATATAAGCTACTCGAGTCATTCAATTAGGTAGCTTAGACTGGGGTTACCAGCTACGACTGCACCATAGCCGGAAGGATTGTGGCAGAGTACCTAGGTAGCGCAGCACAGCACGGGAGGATCACAATTGTCAGGATTCGTCTCCTGTACGATTTCCACCCGTAGATACAGGGATTCTCCGCCATCAGCGGGTGTGGCGTGATAGGCATACCCATACAACCGTGAGGAAGCCCAATGACGAAGTACTCTGTAAGCGCTAAGAAACTACCTTTACCGGATGTCGATTCCATAAATGACAGAATGTATGCTGACTGAGGGCCAGTGGGGACTCAAAGGATTCGGGAGCCTCAAAGGCCTTTATCTAGACGTATCGAAACGTCGCGGGTGATGATTGAAAAGCTATTCATCCAGCCCGACCCTCGCTCACGGTCGAGGGTGAAGTGCCTTCGCCAAATACCAAAGAACACGATGTACGAAACACGAGAAATTACAGTGGCTAAGCGTCAGAGAGAATCATAAATATAGTAAGTTTAAAATGGGTTCTGGTAGAAGATTAAATGATTAAGTCGTTACATCTCATAAAACCTGCAAGTCGCCTTGAAAATTACCACGCCATGAGGCTCGCGAGCAGGACTCCAATCACGATCGCCGCCTTCGAGTTGCCTCCAAGCCTCGGAGCAGCATTATCGTCCGAGTTGGGCGTGCCGGCGGTGTCGCTTTCCTTCGCCGCCGACGGAACTGGCGTGTAGTCCGCCGCGATACCTTCGATCGGGTGCGCGTAGGCCTGCGCAGGCGTCGTAGTAGCCACCCATGCGATTGTCGTCGAGAGTTCGACGGGGTTGTACACGGTGACGGTGGCGGTTTGGCTGAGGTCGAAGTTGCTGTAGCATGTACCGCCGTAGGCAGGACGGTCGCGATCGGCGGTCTTGGTGGGTGCAGCGAAAGTGAAGCCTCTGAGTATCTGAGTATTAGTCCTGGGATTTCCCTCATCACGTCGCAAGCGGAGATGGTCAAGACATACGACGCGCAACACGCAATGTAACCGTTGGACCAAGTACTGCTCTCCGTGTTCCAGCCACTGGGACACACGAGCGGGCTCATGACGGGTGCCATGGAGCTGGATTTGAACATGACCGAAGAGTATCCATTGACCCATTCCGTGGGATAGCATGATGTAATGGTTGAATTTGGGAGCGGCACAGGCTCATTGATCCAGATCTTCTCCAGGGCGCCAACCAGCATCGTCAGGTGGTTCTCGGTGCATTCTGCGGGCGGTGTAAAAGTCGTCGTGAGTGCTACTGTGGTCGCGACCTGCTTGTCGCGAAGCTCGAGCCCGGCTGCTGTCGCAATGGGTGTAATGGTCATGGGCGACGCCGGGACGACGGGAGTTGCGAGTACAGCGGCCATTTTGACAAACGTAGATGGTGAATTAACGTAGAACGAGCGTGGTAAGAATGGACGTAGTAAGAATGAGCGTAGGTTAAACGACGGGATGATTTTCAGGCTGATCGTCGCCGGTGTAAAGTTAAAAGAGTGGAAGATAGTTGGTTAAAGGAACGACTTGCGGTGATGCAGAAGGCCAAGGCGACGGGAAGGAAGAGTCAAGAAATGGAAGACATGGATGCAGGGTAAACACAAGAGTTTTGTCGAAAATCTTGCTTGGGATGCCATCCGCTTAGGATGCGACTCCGTTTCATTTAGATCGCCACATAAGTGGCTCGGAGCACCGGTACCCTCTCGGAAACCTCCCGCGAAGTTGGAATTCATGATATGCCCGTCGGGAGTTGCATGGAAACCTGCGGGGATGCTCCACTTCACAGCCATCATGGCAGCCATCATTGCTTCCAACATTCATGGGTTGATACTATGTATTGTCTTTGAAACAAAGAAACATCCAAGTGTGAGTAGTTGTTTGTTCAACCGCCAAGAACGAGATACAAACATGTCAAGCACAGGCTCGATTTTCTCGCCTTTCATTAACACACTCGCCATAACTTTCAATGTCCGAACAATCTTGTGCATTAGCGTCAGGAGTTAGACCGACTACTAGTGTTGGTAGTTACGCAATACCACGTGGAGACCTCCGAGTATTCCACAAATGACGATTGGTCCTTGGAATACCCCCTGGCGGACGCAACGGCAATTCAACGTTGCAATAGCGGTAAAAAGGGGCGAACACTGGGGATTTTGTGGGTGTCAACACATTTCAAGTATTGTCCGATCACCCGCTGCCAAAGGCCGCACGATCTAAGACGTAGTGAGGAGAAGTCCGTTGTATGAGTAGCGTGAGCCAACATAGCCTCTTCTCTGAGGACAGACTCATGAATGGGATTGTTTTACTGTAGACTATGCTGCTCCGTTCCCTGTGATACGCACATTTGTTTGTTTTCGGTAAAGAAGTAGTCCAATCTCGGTAGTCTTTGACTTTGCCAATTGAGCTTCTACTCATGCGCACTGTTGCTGAGCTGTTTTGTGGAGTTGTCATTTTTACTCTTGTTGTTCGTTTTTTTTTATAAAAAAAACCTAAAATAAAAAAGACTGACATTAAAATTACCTAGAAGTCGATAGCATGAGCCGTGTAATTTTCAGCCTATAAACATTCGCCGGTGTTCTCCCATCCCATGTCAAGGCACACTTGGACACTTCAGTTTGAGAGGCTATTGTCATCTCTTCACTGGCCGCCGCCGTGTGGTACGTGACGGAGTTATTCCCATTCCCAGCCCCAGATCAATCATCCACTTTTCCAACTGCCATTTGCGGAGGCAGATACTCCAACGGGAACTCGACTTGGCCATAGGCGAGCCAGCCTTTAGAGGTGATCTAAGTCGACCCACTGCTCGCTGGATACTTGAATGCCCATCCACCAATGGCAAAATTACCTTGGGGCATAATCAACTGGGACATTGGATCGTCATGTCAAGGAGTAAATCTTGGATAGAATGGAGAGGGCGCAGTCCTAAGATTAGAGCTATTTGAAATGGAGCGCTCGAGATTCTCCAGCCCAGTTTTCATATTCCAAAGTGCCCATAATTTTAGTGCAACAAACAACAAGAAAAACGAGAAGAAAAAGTTGATCTCACTAGACGTTAACGCTTACATCTTGATTTTGTTTTCATTTTTAACAGAGGTGCACATTTACACGTTCAGTACAATACCCGTGCCTCAAGACAATTGTCAAGCATAGTCAACAAGACTGAAAAAACATGGAAACAATTGTCACTCAGATCAAGCTACGGATGAACTCATGTTTGTCCTGCGATAGAGCATTACAGACGAACTCGTATTAATCATTTTCCTACTCTCACTTCATCCTTTCTTCCTCTCTTTTTTTTTTTTTTTTTTTTTTTTTTTTTCCATGGCAAGCTCATTTGATCTGCTGAAGCACTTTCAGATGAATTCAAAAACGAACTATCTGAGTCCGAAGACAAATGGTTCCTCAAATGCCATGTTTTAGACATTGACAAGGTGTTTTCATTCCTTTTTCAACTGTATCCCAAGTCTCATCTACAAAAACAATTGATTGTTAAGTACCCTGAAACACTGCAATGTCAAAACCGTGAAATGTAACGCGGTGCTACGATACATTTCAAGAAAAACAAGTCCCGAAATGAATGACTTGAATTTTTAAACTACCAAGACTTGCCTATATCAATCGTTGATACCCCCGCGCACTAAATCTTGTGCCGGGGTTGAGACACCAGAATCAATGGATTTTATTTGCTTTCTAGCCAGATACTTGAGAAATTCCGAAACACTTTGAATGTCGTTTCCTTAGATCACCAACATCCTCAAGCTTATGAACGCTTTAAATCATCCAGGTTGCTTAAGAGACACGTCCAAAAGAGCTGCAGTACTCTATACATCCCTCTCAGGCCATGGCGGTTGTCCAGAGTCAGAATCAAAATAAAAAGAAGGCGCTCATATGTATATTCCAGGTCACTTGGAAAGAGTTGTATTACTGCTACACTCCAGTCTCTGTTCTCCAGGCTCTCTCCGCTTCTTCATAAGCGTCGTAGTCAAATAGCTTGCGCTGAGAAACGGGACAGAAGAACCTGATGGGAAAGGGAGCTTCTATTTTCTCTCCCAACAGCCCGACCATCATTTCATCTCTTTTTTCCTGCTCTGCGCCGTCGGAAAGATGAAATACGTCCCGTTGTTTGAACGTCTCGGCTTGAATCCAACTACCTCTTTCCATCCGCAAGCGCTGGTACACTTTGGCGACTTTTGGAAGCATGCTAGTCTTGTTCCCATCGGACACATTACCCAGCAAGTGGCCTAGTAGAGCGCCATCTTCAAGACTTGAATTCGCCCCTTGTGCCAAGTAGGGCAGCATGGGATGACAACAATCACCGGCCATGAAGAAAGTGCCTGAGGTGCTAGCCCATTGAGGCAAAGGTTCCGTCCACATCAGCTTCCACTTCGTCACTTGCTTGCTTGCCTGGAGGAGCTTCACCAGCAAAGGGTCCCACGACAATGCGGAGCTGATTTCCAGCAGAGATCCATTGGTCTGAGATACTCCTTCGGGCAGAGTATCAGGCATAAGAAAGACCAAGTTGAGAATCTTGCCTCCGCGAAGCGAGTATCCCACGACGTGAGATGACGGGCCCAGCCAAATATTCAACGCAGGCTGGCTAATAAACTCTTGAAGTTCGTTTCGGTAAGGACCATCAATTTCATCCGCATGAATTGATAGTCTATAGGCCATGTCGCCTGTAGCAAGTGGTGCATGCTCCCGTCCGGCAAATTCATCACGGATTGTGGACCACAAGCCGTCTGCGAGTAAAACCACATCTCCATGGACAGTTGAACCATCATTCATAGTTACCAAAGCTTCATTAAAGTCGACTGCGTCCACTCGGCGCCCAAGTTTAGTTACGACGCCTAAACACGTGCATTTGGCGATCATAGCCCTCTGTAGATCGGCGCGATGAATATGGAGGATTGGCGAGCTACAGCGGTCTCGCATCAATTGCTGAAGGTTGGGCTCATGAGCCAACAGTTTTGTCCCATCGTAGCGTCGCACACTCATCGTTCTGGGCACTGTCGTTGTTAGGCCATCTAGAATCCCCCATCGTTCTAGGAGTCGAGCCCCATTAGGAGTCACTTGCAAGCCTGCCTAAAAGAACAAGTATGTTAGAAAATGAGACTGTGATGAGCTATTGAGAAATGACCTACACCGATCTCTTTCAACTCATCCACAGCCTCGCATATTGTAACGCGATGCGATGGATTAGCAAGCTTGGTGGATAACGCCGCTGACAGGCCAGCGAGCCCTGCACCAACAATGACGAGGTGAATTCCGTTTTCATGTGTTGACGCTGGCATTGTGAATGTGTGTGTACCCATATATCCGTGCAACTATATTTGTGCTGTTCGTTTGAGTGCAAGCGTCTATCTCTTCCCATGAGATAGATGCATGGGAAAGGGCTGAGGAAAGCCGTATGGAATCGGCGTGGGGAAATGGATGATGACGAATGAACCTTGCCGACATGTGATACTTTGCGGACATGTGATACTTTGCGGGATAATTTGCGCCAAGATAATACCTTTCCTGAGATGAGACGTTCTAGAAGCAGATCTATAAACCATTGCCTTCGTTGGCGAAACCGAGTCCCTGGGTTGCAAAGTTTAAAGTCTGGTCCCCTCAAAGCTATCTCATCTTCTTGCCTTGTTTTCCGTCAACCGAAAAAAACAGTCAAAGTCCCCGAATAACGCGGTCTTTGTTTCCTTTCCGTTCACGTAAAGTTTTGGTGTTCTTCTCGCACGGAAGAAGTTTTACTCGTTGTGCCTGAGCGATTCCATCCACTAGATGCCAAGTTCCAGATTGTTTACTCTTGATACTAGAGCAAAGATCAAGATTCGTCATTAACTAGAGTTTCCTACCATTCTGTTTCACCACAACTCTGGTTTCACTCAAGAAGCACAGGCATGTCCCAATCGTTCAATATCCGACTTTGACAACCGAGGCTATACCCCACTGTCGCCAGAGCACATGCAACGCTCAGACACCGCTGTCAACTTTCGACGCCAAGAAAATATCTCAAGGGGGATTATTAAGTTGTCGTTGGACCCTATATCCTTTTTTTGGAAATCTGATCGTTGCGAGGATCGCCGCCGTAGGTCTTGTCCCGACTCGCAAACGGTTTTTCCGATAGTCCCTCATCCATGGACCCGTCACCACTGCTAAAATTATGCAGTCTTGGAGACACAGCTGGCCTCAACCTGCCATCTATCTACGGGCCGAAATGTGTCAGCCCCATCATGTGCATCCCCGCTTGTAACCTGACTGTCACGGAAACCCACCGACGAGCTGCGCAGCCTTAAACTTAAAATGACGCCCACCAAGCCATTTGTGCAACATGTAACATGATCGGCTTCGTGTTGCTGGACCGTCTTGTAGAAGCGAGTCACATGCCGCAACGTATAACCTCCGAGATACGCTCTCGATAGACTTTCTGGTCATTCCCCTACCGTGGTTCCGGTATAGACGTGCTGGCTGGTCCACTTCTTTTTTCCCAATGGATACAAACTCGGTGCTTTGTGTCCTGGCGTGATGACAAAATTGCTCTATATTTTACTTTCTCTGTTGAGGCACACCTTCCGCTGGTTGACATGGAGTCGGGGTTCTTTGACGGAACCATTTATGCCTCAGTTCAACCTGCGGTGTCAGCTTGTCTCCGGTTGTTACAAAGAAGCCAAGCATTATTGCTGACACTTGGGTGAATAATGTTATTTACCTTGAGGAAGTCATATCTGTTTTGAATATGAATAACATAATCGGTTGGACTCTAAAAAGTCTTCGTCCAAATTTACGAGTCGGCCAAAGTCATGAAGGCTATAGACAGAGAACAGTTTTGCTACCAGATGCACCACTACGTTCGAACAGGCTGACCAGCCTGCGTGGAACGTGCCATAAAGTCATCATAGAATGAAGGCTACCGGAAAGTCAGATATGAATTGTTAGCATATAGTCACATTGTCCTTCAATAAGGTACACCTCGATCAGGCCTTTCTGACACAGAGCAAAGCCCTAGCAGGGGCCTTGTAACCTGCTTCCTGGGTTGACCGTTGTAGTTTGGTGGCTTGATAGAATTTGTACAACACTGATGTATTTTTTATTCACTATGAATGAACCTTTGTGCTAATGCTGCAATGTTTACAAGGTCTAGCTTCTATTGGGGTCGCTGTTGATCCCCTCGGATTATAGAACCACCTCAACAATGCCCACCAGGCTCCTCACTGGCCATATTTTATTGACTCGTAGACCAGCCTTGGTGACCAGATCCTTGATTTGTGACGCAGTTCTCTCAATACCGTTATTCTCAGCCATCATGATCAGCCCGAGCACATGGTTGTATTGACACCAATACCCATAGTTGGCGGGCAAGGGTGCAGGGGCAGAAGGAATATCGGCAGACCCGCAAGTGGTGTTCAGCACACAATCCGCGATGAGGATCCTGGAATTGGGCCGCATAGCTGATTTCAGTGCCCTGAGGATCTCAAGACAAGGTTCGTCCGACCAATCATGACTAGGGTCGTCAGCTCGAACCCTTTCGGAAACAATCAGAAGGAGGCTTTTGACTTACAAAATGCGACGCAGCCAATAAACATCCGCACCGACAGTGGGGTTAGCTTTGAAGAAATCATGTTCCACAAAGCTGACCTGGTTGTTTTCCAGAGCCCATGGTGCGAGCTGGGGGAAAATCTCATTTCTCCCCTGGCTAATGACCTCTGGGCGATCTTGGACGACGAAACGGAGACGAGGGTGTACTTTGAGGAGTTGAAGTGCAAATCCACCTTTCCAGCGTTAGTCGAAAAAGGACTTGTAATGATCAAAGCGCAGATCCCACTTACCAACTCCACCACCGACATCAACAACGGTGGCGCCCTCTCCAAGCTCACCCCAAGGATAGTCAAAGGTATGAGGATGGCTGTTGACGGACCCACTACCGATCATGGCTTTACCAAAGTTACTTAGCTCCGGCCGATCGACCATCCCGAACTCATCTGGTTTCTTAAGGTTGTCTTCATGGAAACGTGAGAAGAAGCCAGGGTAGCCTACACCAAGGCCAGCCTCCCGTTTGAGTTCTTCGACTGTGGTTTTCTCAGCGAACCAGTCGAACTGTGTCTTGTTCGTGCCATAAGCGATTTGAAAGGCGGTTTCATCTTTTTCGTATGAGCCTCCTGTGGGACCCAGGAGATATTTGCCGAGATATTCAGAGGTAAAAGAGTGCATACTCCTGCAAATCATATTAGTCTAATTGGTTTTTTCCATAGCCATCTTCTGATGTATACTTACGCCAGCTGCACAAGAGCCTGCAGTGGCTCATTGTTAGCGAGGACCTGTGAGATCCGGTTGTTTGTAAAGTATCCGTCTCGCGGCTCTTGGAAAATATGAATAGTGCACAAAGTCCGCATCAGGCGAGCTGAAGATGAAGTGAGCATAAGTTCACAATCTTTGAAGTGAAGGCGTCTGGTGGTGTTTGGACGAGCATACCTAACTTTCGAGATTCAATGCCAGTCTGGTGGGACAGTTCATCGATGTGTAACCCCTGTTCGCCGGCGATTGCCAGCTTGTCCGGGATCTTCATCTCAGAGGCTAGTATCATAGCTCTAGCCTGAACTGCCAGCGTCATGACCTGCTGGATTCTGTGTGCAGGTTCCGCGACAAGGGCTATTAGTGCGCCAGCGGCCGCTTCAATTGTTCTCTGGGCATCAAAGAGGGAATGACTTGGCACAGTACGTCTTTCATCAGCCTCAGCTTTAGAAACGTTGCGTTCTTTGTCCCATTCCTGTGTAACAGTGATAACAGAGTCGCGAAGAAGATCAACCAGCTGCAACAGCTGCTGAGACTCTGATTCTGTGCGCAGTAAACGAGCCATGATGAGGTGTATTACTTGAGTGATTGGGGCGTATTATTGACTTTAAAATTCACTCAGGTGGCAATTGAGTGATGCAGAAACGTGTTGAAGATGTCTGGTACTGAGCTGGATAAGGGAGCGATGAATTGAGATTTCAGGATCTTTGATGGAGGGAGACAATCTCACCAACAGAACGCACATGCGAGTGAGGCTTTTGTAGGCAGGATGACCGCGAAGAACAAAAACTGACTAGCCTCAAGTGTCTATTTCCCACAGAGACAGACTCGAAACTTTTTAAGCTCAAAGTTCTTAGAAAATAACATTAAGGGCGTTTAGATGTTACATCCAAATCAATGCAGCTCTGGTCCCCGAAGATTGACATGTTGTCCCAGAGGCAAACAAACTAGCCGACCGAAACATACAGAGTTTCAATGTATATGGAACAAGATTTTGGCACCATTCTGTATCCACAATCAAGTTTCAAAGAATTTGATAGCAAGATATTCCTTGATAGGGAAATATATCGTGCACTTGGCAAATTGCCGTTCAACAATAACACAGCCAATCCTTTAATAGACATAATCTCTTCAATATCTCGACATTCATGATTGTTTTTTCATTCTCTCACGTTGCACTTCGTTTCCAGTCCTCTTAAGCATTCAACATATTGATCTTAAATTTCAACATGTCTCTAAAAGCCGTCATTTTTGGGCCCCAGGCTTCTGAGGGTCTTGGCAACCCAGCTTTGGGTGAGATCAGATCAGCGATGCGAGAACTTAGTCATCTTCAGCCGCTCATGGAAGCCGTCCGGAATCTACCAACTTTATTCAAATCTTTGGTCAACCATAATCCGTCCCTTGAGCAGACCCCTGGTGGGTGGAGTGCCATCCAAATGGTTCGTTGGATGAACCAGGAGTTCGACGACATCAGTGCCCACACCAAGTGCTCCTGGAATTCTATCGCAGCCCCAATATCAGTTCTTGTCAACATCGTCCAGTATAGTCAATATCTACATAACAGCGGCACTGCTCATGGACAGGTTCTTGATCAGATCAAAGAGGGCGGGTGTCAAGGGTTCTGTCTTGGGCTGCTATCAGCTGCCGCAACAGCAATATCCACGGACGAAAAGGCTCTTGCATTGAATGGCGCTGCCGCCATCCAGCTTGCTTTTTGTATGGGAGTGTACGCAGATTTCGATCAGATCTCGCTTAAGTCCGGAAGTACAACAGCTTTTGTTCTCCGACGACAAGGCGGGTCGGAGCTCGACATGAGCCGTGTAAGATCGATGCTGTCTGAAATCGACGTAAGTATACATTGGTGGCTTGAGTGGTTTAATTGCTAACATTAGAAATCCAGAGCGAAGCATATGCTGCATCTCCCACTGACCGAAAGAGTGATGCGACTGAATCACATGTAAGTTTACCTCATATTATCCGACTTGTCCTGCAAAGTGTTAATCTTCGCAAACAGACCAAGCCGTATATTGCGACTAGAATTGATCGCGAAAGCTGCACTGTTGTTATGCCAAATGCTTCGGCAGCACAAATCCAGAGATACATCCCACCAGATATGTATACTTTGCGACCTTTGAACCTCCAAGCTCGATATCATTCGCAAGCCATGAGCCAAAGACGCGATTGCCTTCTGCGCTTCTATAATAAAGAACAAGCCCTAAGATTTCCTGGGTCAACGCAATTACTGGCTCCTGTGTATTCCAACTCCGACGGCTCGGTTCTCGGAGATCAGCCAATACACGAGCTTATACTGGGGTGCATCATGACGAAGATGGCTGACTGGCACTTGGTTGTTTCTAAAATGGCGAAGAAACTAAGTGTCTTACCAGAACCAAGCAAAGTGCTCGAACTAGGCATTGTACGATCTCTGGCGAGCTCTCGACTGCCGGGCCTCACTGCAATCAGGCCATCTTTTGGTCTTTCGACACATTCTGGCTCTACATCAAGTCAGCCAACTACAAGAACATTTCCAGACATCGCGGTTGCTATCGTTGGTATGGGATGTAGATTCCCCGGCGCGGAGTCTTTGGAAGATCTCTGGGGCATCATCAACTCTGGGCAGTCATTATGCCAAGAAATTCCAATGGAGAGATTCGATACAAATGATCTTAGAAGAACGCCGAAGGTCAAACGGTTTTTCGCAAATCTCATCGATGATGTCGAGAGTTTTGATCATCGCATGTTCCAAAAAACAAGTCGTGAGGCGGCTTCGATGGATCCTCAACAACGACTCCTTCTCCAAGTCGCTTACCATACTCTCGAGTCTGCAAACTACTTTAACGGCCCCATGCCGCTCAATAAAGATATTGGGTGTTATATCGGAGTCTGCGCCAACGACTACGCCGATAACGTAGCGTCTCATCCTCCTAACGCTTTCTCAACCCTTGGGACACTCAGAGCTTTCCTTGCTGGGAGAATTAGTCACTACTTTGGTTGGACTGGAGAGTCCTCAACCATCGACACCGCTTGTTCATCATCAGCTGTTGCGATCAACAAAGCGTGCACCGACATCATCGCTGGGAAATGCAAAGCTGCATTGGCCGGGGGTGCGAACATCTTTACAAGCCCTAACTATTTCCAAAACCTTCATGCCGGAAAGTTTCTCAGTCCCACTGGGCAATGCAAATCATTCGATGCAAGCGCTGATGGCTATTGTCGAGGAGAAGGCGTGGGTTTGGTCATGCTAAAGAAGTTGTCAGAGGCACAAGCGGCTGGAGACGAGATTCTGGCCGTGATTCCAGGCTCCGCTGTGAGGCAAAATAGCAACGAGACGTACATCACCGTACCACACGGACCCTCCCAGTCGGATCTCTACGAGGAGGTACTGAAATATTCAAAGATGGCACCCGAAGACGTCACCTACGTCGAGGCTCATGGGACCGGTACACCTGTTGGTGATCCAATTGAGTTTGAGAGCATTCGTCGTGTATTTGGAGGTCAACAACTTCAGCGGAACCGCCAGAACCTCCTCCATGTCGGCTCCATCAAAGCCAATATCGGTCATACTGAAAGTGCATCTGGTGTTGCCGCTGTTATCAAGGCTGTGTTGATGATACACCACAAGCGCATTCCACCTCAAGCCAATTTCGTTTCGTTAAATCCTCAGATCAAGCTCTCAGAGTCTGACGGAATGGCAATCACCAAGACTGGCATGGAATGGAAGTCGTCAGGTCCTCTCACTGTATGTGTCAACAACTATGGAGCTTCGGGAAGCAATGCAGCTCTCATCGTTACGGAGCCGCCCCCTCGGTCTACAAGAATAGTCCATTCGAGTGGTGAAGCTGTTTCACAAGCAGTTTCTTTCCCATTCAGAATGACGGCTTTCAGCCAGGACTCTTTAGCAGCTAATATTTCCGCCCTCCGGAAGTACATAGATGAAAAATCGGCTGTGGAGAAGGGAATGACAGATCATGCCCTCCTCGCAGACATCGCATACAATCTGGCGTCGAAACAAAACCTATCACTGCCCTTTGCAACTCTCTTCACGGCAACGAGTGTACAGCAGCTCAGAGAAACTCTTCACACACATGACTCGTCAAATGTGTTACGTTTACCGCTTCCAGAAAAGGCCAGACCCATAATCATGGCATTTGGTGGTCAGACGTCAAAGTCTGTCGCTCTCGATGAAAGTCTCTACCGCTCTTGTGGCCTTCTTCGATTCCATCTCGACCAGTGCCAAAGAGAACTAAAACAACTCGGCTTCCCGGGTATCTTTCCTCAAATCTTCCAGGCTGAGCCGATTGAAGACCCCGTGATTCTGCATTCGGCCCTTTTCAGTCTTCAATACTCATTCGCAAAGTCCTGGATTGACTCAGGAATCACCATCGCTAGGGTGGTTGGTCATAGTTTTGGCGAGCTAACCGCCATGTGTGTGTCTGGGATTTTGTCACTATCTGATGGTTTGAATCTTGCAGCAGGAAGAGCCCGTTTGATGAGCGAGAAATGGGGCCCAGAGACGGGATCTATGCTCATGGTTGAGGCTGATACGGAGATCTTATCCGAGGTCTTTTCTGCGCTGAATGTCGAAGTGGCCTGTCGCAACGCTCCGCAACTGACGGTCATTTCAGGCTCGTTATCCGAGATTGAACAAGCACAAAACCTGATCAAGCAAAACCCAAAGTTGAGCCATTGCAAGACTCGGATACTCAACGTGCCATATGCTTTTCATTCGAGGTTTACGGAGCCAATTCTGGATGATCTCGAATCCCTGGCTGCTAGTCTGACTTTCCGTGAGCCGACTATCCCCTTTGAGACATGCCTTGACGAGGCGACACAGGATCTCCCCTGGGCCCAACGTATCAGAGAACATACACGTCGACCGGTCTTTTTTACCCAGGCTGTTCAAAGACTGCACGGTAAACTCAACGGCTGCTTTTGGCTGGAGGCTGGCGCAAACTCTGGCATTACTACAATGGCTAGGCGAGCACTAGGCGAGAAAGCATCGGAACACAGCTTTAGCGGCCTTAGCTCACGCGAAGGGGCAGCGCTAAGAGATTCCCTCGCTCAAGCTACTCTTGACCTGTGGGCAGATTCACACTCAGTTACATTCTGGGAGTTTCATCCTAGCCAGAAGGGGAGCTACTCATGCCTTCCACTGCTACCACCGTATCAATTTGAACGATCTCGTCACTGGCTTGAGTGGACCGACTCGGGAGTCGGCCAGGAAACGCAGTCTTCTAACTTGGATACGTCAAGCAGTGAAAACTCTCGTCGTCTATTGACTCTGAAGACACAAACCGAAAAGTCTCTCGAGTTCATTGTTGACCCCGAGCATGAGACGTGGAAGCGTCTAGTCCAGGGTCACGCAGTGGTTGGACAGCCTTTGTGCCCGGCTCCAATGTTCATGGAACTGGCATCTGAAGCAGCTCTCAAAGCCCTGGGGTACGACGTAAAGCCCGAGACGCTCTCAGTTACCTGGAGAAATCTTCAAATGGACGAAGCACTTGGAGCAAGTACCGATTGCCTGATCCATCTCTTCTTGCAACAGATTGAGAGTTCACGGTCATGGAGCTTCAGTTTTGTGTCTTGGCCTCGCAAGGATCCAGGCGCAAAGCCGGTAAAGCATGCGTCTGGCGAGGTTAGGCTTCTGGCTGCTGAGGATGCTAAGGAGACCCCTCGATTCGCTCACTACGAAACAGCGCTCCGACATACAATTCCACAGATCCAGACAGCGGACGCTTCTGAGACTGTAGGACTCAGAGGACCACTCGTATACTCAGTCTTCTCACGCGTTGTCACGTATGACAATGATTACAAAGGTATCTGGGATGTCGTCGCAAAGGGTAGTGAAGCAATCGGTCGCGTTCGACTCTCATCAGACTCCCAGGTTCAAGGCTTCGAGAATATGATCACCAACCCTCTAGCTATGGACAATTTTGTCCAGGTGTCTGGCATTCATGTCAACTCTCTCAGCGGCATGTGTTCCGACAACGAGGTGTTTGTGTGCACAAGAATTGGAAAGGTTGAGATTGGCCCCGAGTTTTCTACCGCTTCAAACAGGCGGTGGACCGTCCTTTCTATGTATCGTGATTGCGACGGGAAGAATATTGATAACGATATATATGTCTATGATGATGCCACCGAAAGAATCGTTGTTACTATCCACGGAGCTCGATTCTCTCGGGTGCTTATCAAGTCTCTTAATCGAGCATTAGCTTCGAGAAACGGAGAAGTTCGGAGCAACACCAACCAAAAGCCACCTACTCCTGAGCCAGCAAGCCCAAGGATCAAGCCGCAACATCAGTCTTTCAGTGCTGCAAAACCCCCTCAAGCGCCCAATGTTGACTCTGTCCGCGAAGATGAGGTCTTTGCTTTACTCGCTAGAGTGGCAGAAATAGATCTGAGTGCCTTGAGCAACGACGCATCGCTGGCAGACTTGGGAATTGACTCTCTCTTGTCAACTGAAGTGCTTACTGAAGTGAACGAAAAGTTCTCGATCGAGTTGTCTGACACCGAGTACCAAAATATGGTGTTTGTCCGCGACTTGGTGCAAGGAATACGTCGCCATCGACCATCAAAGGACATCAGCGGAACGCTGCCTAGCCCGCCATTGAGTGACTCCGGTTCATGCAGCGAGCCCGATGACCAGAAAAGCACGAGTGCATCGACGCCGACGAGTGTTTCGGGTGACGCAGCCGCCGGGCTCTGCATAACGAGCAATCCTCACGCTCATCACGGAAAGACTGCGATTCAACTGCATGACGCATACGAGACGTTCCAACATGTTAAGGCTGCCTCGGACGAATACACAAACTCGTATGGCGCTCCCGGATTCTGGGGTGAGGTGTACCCCTATCAGGCTGCGCTGGTCGTTCAATATGTTGTGGAAGCTTTTCCACAGCTTGGTTGCGATTTGTCAACTTTCAAAGAAGGCGATGAGCTTCCCCCGATTGAGTACTCTCAAAAGAATGCCTTGCTTGCATTGCAGCTCTTTGAAATCCTGGCAGACGCGTCACTGATCCGTCGCCGTGGAAAAACATGGGTTCGAACCAATAAGCCACTTCCGTCGAAGCCTTCATCAGAGCAGCTGCAGCAGATTCTCAAGCTGTTTCCCCGTCACGCATCTGAACATAAGCTGCTCGATGTTACTGCAAAGCCGTTGGCTGATTGCATGACTGGAGCGGCAGACCCCTTGACCCTAGTTTTCCGGAACAAGGAGAATGCCACTCTGCTTGAGGATGTGTATACAAATGCGCCGTTTTACCTAGCAGCTGGCAAGCAACTCTGTTCTTTTGTAGAAGGTACTTTGTCAAAAACGGCGGCCAAGGCCAGCGGGGAACCGATTCAGATCCTTGAAATTGGTGGCGGAACTGCTTCGACTACCAAGCATGTACTCCGAACGCTGTGCGATGCAGGAATCCCATTCGTCTACACCTTTACGGACGTGGCTGCGGCCCTCGTTGGGAGGGCTAAGCAAAAACTACCTGGGTTCTTGAGCTCGGCTTCAGGAAAGCTAGAATTCCGAACCTTGAATGTCACCAAAGAGCCAGCGCCTGAACTATTGAACAAATTCCATCTCGTTATTTCCACGAATTGCGTTCATGCCACCGCTGATCTTACAACATCACTTACAAACATTAAAAAGATGCTCGTGGCTGACGGAATGGTGTCGCTTGTTGAATTTACAAAGAACTTATTTTGGTTCGATCTCGTGTTTGGACGTAAGATATTGACAATACCTAGAGCAAGCTGATCGCATCGCTAACTTTGTTTTAGTCATGGATGGGTGGTGGTCAATGACAGACGGTAGGGAACACGTCCTTGCGGATGAGTATTTCTGGCAAAAGAGCTTCCAAAATGCCGGCTTTGAGCATGTTGATTGGACTGGAGGTGATCAGGCAGAGTCTAATATGCTCCGCATCATCACCGGATTTAAGACTTGTTCTAAGCCCAAGCCTGTTGTCTCGGGGAAGAGATTTGAGGTGGAAACCATCATGTTTAAGCAGACAGGCGAGAACCGGCTGTTCGCAGATGTCTATCTCCCGCCAGCAAATCACTCAACATCGAAGGTTTGGTCCGTCGGTAAGTGATCAACAAGTCTTTGGCATTTCGACTGTATGGAGGAAAGTTGAGCTAACTGAAGCATATTGAAGCTCTTTTATTCCATGGAGGGGGTTATATCACCTTATCACGACGTGACATCAACCTGAAGTATATCCAGCAACTGCACGATGACGGCATATTGCCCATCTCAGTCGATTACAGACTTTGCCCTGAGTCGAACATCCTTGAAGGTGCAATGGCTGACGCCTGTTCTGCTTTGGAATGGGCTCGACAAGAACTGCCATCCATCAAACTTGGACGGCCTGACCTCAAAATTGGACCAAAAGTGTTTGCAATTGGCTGGTCCAGCGGTGGCCATCTGGCAATGACACTCGCCTGGACTGCTCTTGAGCAAAGGCTGTTTCCACCGCAGGCAATTCTTGCATTTTATTGCCCGTCCTTCCTTGAAAGTGAATGTAAGCAAACCAGCACTTCCTACTTACTGTTGGCGAAGCATTACTAACATCGACTTATCAGCATGGACCAAGCCGAACTTCCCCTCTGATACTCATGGCCTTGCGAACGAACCATATGATCTGTTCGAGGGTGTGCAAAATTACCCAATAACAGAATATCGGGCTAAGAAGAGTAATCAACCCGTCATGCCCGGGAAATGGCTGGCCCCAAATGACCCTCGTTCGAGGATTATATTACACGGAAACTGGAAAGGACAACTACTTCCCTTGTGGCTTAACGGGGTGCCAAGTGAATGGCAACTTCTACATTCCGAGTCTCAAGGGATTTCACAATCGAAGAAAGACTACGAGGCAATGGAAATCCCATCGCCAGAACGGGTTGCATCCATCAGCCCACATGCTCAAGTTCTAAAGGGAACGTATCGAACGCCCACATTCATGATACATGGTACAGAAGACGACTTGATTCCCTTCCAGCAGACCCAAGCGATGAGTGAATTGTTGGTTCGCAATGGGATTGAATCAGAGCTCGCACTTGTTGAAAACGGCCAGCACTTGTTAGATCTCCAGGATGACCCGGAGAAAAAGATTGAAAAAGAAATTGGAAAGGGTTTTGCCTTCTTGAGAAGGTTTCTTTAGACATAGAATGGAGATAGACTTGGAAACATAAAACTATAATTGAGGACAACTCTGAAACAGTGCTGCTAAAGTCGTACCACATTCGTAGGGTGAAGGCCTGCAGCGATTTTGGTGCAAACTCAGTTAAAAAGCTAGGAGGTAGGTATGTAAAGTATAATCTAGCCTTATGGTAAGATCTTATCCGTTCTTAATGCACAATCTTGCAAGACAATTCTCTACGATCCCGAGTAAAGATGAACAGTTTAATGAGATATCTCCTGCTTCTTAATGGTAAGAAAGCTTGAAGCACGATACCTTGGCTCTCGGGACAGGACTGCCGGTCTCGCACTAATGCAAGTAGACCAAGCTCTTCAATGTCTTATCCTTGTAAAAGACGCGAAGAAGAGGAGTATATTCTTGCCGAGGCGTCCAAAGTGCATGTGCATTACACATAAACTTCACTCGCAGGTAATTGCATATGATCAACAATGCATGAAAACATGCAGGTTACTAAAGGTTCCAGGGAAAGCATTTGAATAACCAAAAAAAGAAAGAAATGTTCAATTTCAATGCAAAGTCGCCTAATCATAACATGCAATGCTATCCTATAACGTCCCACACCCACTTCTGGGCACCCCCCACATTTGGGCACCCCATTTACACCAAAAACGCCGTTTTTCGAAATTCTATATTAAACTAAATACTTTACTTATTAAAGAGAATAAATATATGTTAAATAGATTAAGACTTAATTATAATACTTAAGTAGCTATATACTAGTATTATTAATAATAAGTATTATAAATTCAAGGTTTAATATTTATAATACTAATTTACCTAGCCTATATCTTAATATATAAAATAGGTAGAGATATTTAACTAATATGATTAGAATTTTTAAGTAAGATATAGTAGATTTATATATTCTTATACTTAGTAAAAAATTCTTTAAGCTTAGAATAATATTTTAAAATTTCCCTTAAGAAAAGTTTCTATTATAGAATTTTAACCCTTAATTATACTATATTTACTAAAGTAATACTTTTAAATCTCTTTTAGATATAATTATATACTTTTAATAAGTATAAATATTAATTTCCTAGATTTTTTAAATAAGTATAACGTACATGATAAGCGAGTGAGACAGACAAGCGAGTGAGACAGTAAACCAGACCTTCGCGACAATAATATCGAAATCTATAACAAGAAATCTTAGATTGATTAATACTACTCGGATTCCTGTTCTTCGGATGTTTCCTCAATAAATTGACATGTTCTCGCGTTGTGGCCTGTATTCCCGCATACGCCACACCGACGATGAGTCGTCTCAGACCTCACTTTGCGACCACTACTCCGTCGCGTTTCCTCTTGTAGTTGCGTGTCTGCCTCTCTTTGCGACTGTATATCCTCTCCAGTAGATATAGTAAGACTTCCTCCTTTCTGTAGACGTGTTTTCTTAGCCCTTCGACGCCGACTTAATATTGCATTCTCCTCTCGAAGGATTTGAACCTCTGACTCTAGTAATGCTACCCGATGCCCTAGTCCTTCTGTCCCTCTGGCTAGCTTACTCACAGCACTATAAATTGATGCTGGAGAGCTGCTTCGGTGGCGTGAGATTCGACTCTTAATAAAAGTAGACTGTGATCTTGCTTCGCTTGGGTTGCTCGGCGTCCTAGAGATCCAAGGGTCTGGTGTCTGAGGGACCCCCTCCTCAGGCGTTGGCGTTCGGAACTTTACATCCAGCTTTGAGAGAACACTTTCTGCATTCAAAGGGACAAGTCCAGCTCCTCGGAAACCTCCCTGGATATTTTTCCTCGTAAAAGACTGCTTAAAAGCTTCGTGAAATGCTGCAAAGAAATCTTCCTTCGAGATATGGGTTATGCCTCGCCGCATCTTATTCTCAATTTGCCGACCGTAGGCATTCTTTAACGGCTGAAAACAACCAACATCTAAGGGTTGAAGTAGATGAGACGAGTGAGCCGGCATGCACAGTGTAATAATGTTGTTTTCTTGACAAAAGAGCTCGAAGGCTGCGGAGTGGTGACTTTCATGACCATCAACAACGAGGAGGCGATATTTCCCAGACGTACGTGGTTTTGTATAAATGTCGAAGTGTCTGATCCAGTCAATACCTCTCTCGTTTGTTGTCCATCCATTTTCAGACGTTGCAATAGCCCAATCGCCCGGAAGAGAGGTTTCTGTATACCAGCTTGAGAGGTGATACTGGCCTGCAACGATGATGTATGGCGGGATGCTCTCCCCTTGGGAATTAATAGCCTGGATAACTGTAACCCATTCCCTATTGCCAGGCTGTGTCATCTTCGTATTTGAACGCCTTTCAGCACTTGTAATAACCATTCCAGAAGCAATAACGCCCATCATAAAGCCGGTCTCATCAAAGTTGTAGATATCAGCATCAGCAATACCATACTTCGCAATTGTATTCTTCACAAGCGAAAACCAGCCACGAATCACCTCTGGATCTTCGCATTGAGCTCTCTTATAGTCATACTTGCGAAAGAAACGCGTCCTAAGCTGTGGTTGTCGCTTGACGAAATTAGAAGCCCAGCGCTTCCCAACTGGAGGCGCGTCGCGCTCTGCGAGAAGTCGATTGGCCATTTCTTCCACACCACTCAGCCGGGGAGGAAATGATCGCGCATCTAGGTCGAGAATATACTCAACTATTGTCTTCTCTTCTAAATCTGATAAATTCCGTGAATTAGGCATGCTGTCGCGTCGTGAGACTATTCCCTTTAGTCGCCGGCTTAATGTTGCGTGACTGACTGTATAGAGTGCACCTGCGGCCCGAGCACTAAGTTTTGGGTCATTTCTCATTGCTTGAAGGGCAATTTGTAACCTTCTTTCAATACTAGCTGATTCCATGATTTATTGTAGAGGAAAAGGTGCCGGTCGCGTCAAGGTGCGACGGTCGCGGTTTACTGTCTCACTCGCTTGTCTGTCTCACTCGCTTATCATGTACGTTATATGAGCGAAAATATATTTTTCTAATGTTAAGGAATACTAGTAAGTTACTAGTATCTACTAACATTTTAAAGCTTTTAGTTTTAAACTTCTATATTATAACTATTATTATATTTAAACCTTTATAAAAAATTAGATGGCTATAATTATACTTAACATAGTTTATATATATTTTCCTTTCTTAGTAAGTATAGTAGTTAGTTTAATATAGAATTTCGAAAAACGGCGTTTTTGGTGTAAATGGGGTGCCCAAATGTGGGGGGTGCCCAGAAGTGGGTGTGGGACGTTACCCAAAAAGTCCGATCATCATCTAAGTTTTAGCCAGTCTCCAGGGCCATTCCCATATTAAAAAGCAATTGCTTCGTCCAAGCACAACGGTTTCTTATCCTCCACTTGGTTCTTGTTCCTGCAGCAGTCGACAGCCGAGCAGAAGGCCTCGTCATCTTGACTTGCCTTGGCGGTCTTGGGAACTTGTTGCTGGGCGGGCCAGATCTGTGTGCCGAGCTCCTGCTCCTTTTTGAAGTGTTCAGTGACGTTCTCGCGCACTCTTTGTTGGAAGAAGAGGGGACCCTTCTCCATCTCGGGGTGCATCTCGCCGTTGACGAAGACGCCGGCGTTGAGGTTCTTTTGGGCGTTGTCGCAGAGGTACTTGTCTTCGGACATGATGCGCTTGTACATGTCGCTGATGACGGTAAAGTCCTCGTCGCTGGAGTTCTTGTTGCGGAAGACCTCGTATCTCATTACTGATTTCTTGGGGCCGCTGGGGACAAAGCGCTGAATGAAGAAGAAATGAGGGCTGTCAAGGTGTTAGATACTGTGTGTGGCTTCTATGGCTGGGAACCAAATACTTACGAGACGTTCATGGAAGCGTTAGGCCAGAAGTATGTGGCGGCAACGCGGAAGCCCTTGGAAATCTGTTCGGCAGTGGGCTGTCCAAAATGTTGGATGTAGGCGTCCTTGGTGTTGACGTAGTAGGAGTTGAGATCGGCAATGGAAGGAATGTCAGGGTGGGCAACCTTGCAGTGGTAGCACTCGTTGTAGTTGTCGGCAAGGATCTTCCAGTTGTACTCGCCCTCCATTTCCCAGCTGTGGTCGAACTGGTAATCCTCGAAGTTGTAGAACTGGAATCTCTCCTGCTCGTCGATACCGGAGAAGTCGTCTGTCCAGGCGACCTCAGGCTTGGGGTTGGCGTCCATGTTGATCCAGACGAATCCGTTGCGGTCGACGTGAACATGGATGGGGAAAAGACCGTTCTTGGACTTGTCGAAACCCTCAAGGTCCTGGTAGCCAGGGGCCTTTGCAAGGTTGCCGCTCAGACCATAGGACCAGCCGTGGTACTTGCAAGAGAACATGAAGCTGTTTCCGCCATCACCAGTGACGACGGGGAAGGCTCTGTGTCTGCAAATGTTGTGGAAGGCGTTGATGCTTCCCTTGCGGTCCTGGACGATGATGAACTGGTAGCCAGCGACATCATACTTAATCCAGTCACCAGGTTTGGGCACTCTGGCCTTGTGGGTAATGAGGAGCCATTTCCTGGAGAAGATGGCGCGGCGCTCGAGCTCGTACATCTCCTGAGATGTATACCATGAAGCGGGAAGGGCTCTAACCGCGTTCTTCTCATCCTGAGGTGGTACAGCAGCCCCACCAAGTCCGATGTAGTTCTTTAGGAAGGACATTGTATAATGTGGATAAAGATCTGATCAGGTGACCCTGTGATAAAAAAAAGGTGTATGATAAGAGGAGTTATAGGAAAAACCGATGGCAAACTTCAGATGAAGTTGTCTGGTATTCTTGGAAGCTTGGGCTTGCTTGTGTGTGAATTGCTTATTGATTATTATCCTCTCATTCTCGGAGACGACTGTCCTTCTATATACTCATGATGAATACGGTTGATCAAAGCCAATCTGTATCTGTCTCACACACCCTTATCGAATCTCCCATGACTCTTGCACCGCTGTCTCCATACCGGGAGACCGATCACTTGGCTTGGGCGCGGCATTGAGTTTCACTACACCGGCCGGACAAGCTGGCTATCACGATCTGGAGGCTGAAAGCTAGCAAGTGGCTGATTACACGGGTTGATCAACCCGATCACATGACCGGCATTTTCGAATCTCTTGGCCGCTTTTTTGTTATCAGACGCCCATGGTGCGCATGGTGCGGAGACAACGGAACTTGGGGGGGTTGAACGGGTGCGGAGAAAGCAGTCCGACCCCCCTCCGGTGCTGGGAGAGCTCTTTTTGATGGCGCCTTTACCCCGGAAATCCACCCCCATAATCACTTGATGTGATCATTCGTGTCTGGGAGCCCATCCATTTCGTGTGGCACACCCACTTTAAGGTTAAGCAGCGTCAAATATTACCTAATTAGTGGAGGATTCACGACCCGTTCTGCTCATCGCTGCATGCACCCTCTGGTGGCGTGGCACACACACACCAAACACCCAGATACCCTTTTCTGAAATCATCGTGACATTATCATGCCCACTTGCCTCCTCACAATGTTACAGTTACTGCACCGTCGGAGCAGAAAAGCCCAGACCGCTTCCTGTACCGGTCAGGCCTTCACGCATATGTACCTGCGTTCATCGACGATGACAGTCTGGCAGGATTGAGCAGGCCAGTTTTGGAAGACTGAGATTACACACCGGCAGTTACAAATTTGCAGACGGTAGTATTTTGGGCCGCTTTATCGTTGTCAGGCATGGGTATCGTCGTCGTCCTTCGTGCTTGTGTTACAGTTCGTGATTGTGGATGATGATGGTGGTGGTGTTGTTGTTGTAGTTGTGGGTAGTTTGTATTGTCAGTCCTTGATTGTTCGCAACCACCCCCATCTAGCTTGAATCTTCGCTTCAACTCTTATCGAAGAACCCCTACTTCTACGTGCTTTGACAGGGTGTATAAAGTTTCCTAGCAGATGCATACGAAGTAAACATGTTCTGATTATTTTCTATTATTGGACTGGATAAGATAAGCGGGTAACCCCCATTGGGGCTACAGACGACGTTGCATACCGTTGTCGATTCATGTTGTTTACCGTCCTCTTATCAATACTTCTGGTGATTACGGTCGCCGTGATTCGTCAATTGACGCCGCCAACGTTGTGCTTGGTGAAAGGGGCCTGACGCATCATGGTTGCATCCATGTGTCAGTGAAAAAACAACAGCACGGCACACGGCACACGGGTCACAATAGGGGTCCTCGGGGTTCTAGAACGCGGGACATGGGCCTTATCCCGTCCCTACTGCATGATGGAACAGAGGTTAATGGGATTCAGCATCGGTACTCCGTCCAGGGAGGCAGACAGCGGATGAAGGTGAGGGGGCCTAGACTATCTTGCTATCTGACACTTTGACATGGGTCTGTGGTTGTTACGATTCAGCTCATGCGGGGTTGGCCCCTCGCTGATGTGGGTGTCAAGCTCCACGACGAAACATATCAGCCTTTTGCCTGGTATCGGTGATAAAGCCGACCACTTCTTCTTTAAACGTCCGCCCCCGGACTAGATCGTTCGATAGCTAGAATCCTCTCCTGCGAGGTAAACCACTTAGATAGGAGCTAAACACAAATCACGTGATCGGCGGCGCCGGGTCGTCTGCCGACATCGGGTCCAGTTCCGAGGGCAGTCCCCTACTTTTACGCGGGGAACTGCCCACGATTCCGCTTCGTGACCAGGAATCACTAGATCACCAGTGCATCATTGAGAACATATCTTCTGCCGTCTTCCTATACCGTTTTACTGGCCAGTTGCCGAGACCGTTCTTGTTCAGTTGCGAAGAAAGGAAAAAAAAGGCGCTCCTCCAACGCCTTTCTCCTCTCCCCCCCAACAACCCTTCCACCAATCACTCCCCCCCCTCCACACCATGTCATCAGGAAAACCATCATATCTCATTGTTGGGGCGGGTGTGTTTGGCGTGTCAACCGCCTACCACCTTATCCAGAAGTATCCGGATGCATCGGTTACCCTGGTTGACAGGGATGCGTTTGACGCCGAAGAGCGTGTGGCAGCCTCTTGGGACTGGAATAAGGTAGTCCGCGCCGACTACGACGACTTTGTTTATTGCAAGCTAGCTCTTGAAGCGCAAGACATTTTCAAGAACGACCCCCTCTGGAAGCCCTATTTCCACCAGACGGGTGTCTACTGGATCTGCCGTAGCGACTACGCCCAGAATGTCATCAGCCATCACCACAAGCTTGGTCGCAAGGACGACATCATTGCACTCCCTATTGAAGAAGCCAAAAAGCTTTATAACGGATTGTTCGCGGATGCTGATTACACCGGTGCCAAAGAGGTGCTTGTGAACCGAGCCAGCGGCTGGGCCGCGGCTGGAGACTCTCTGAGGGCCGTCACTCGCAAGTCCATAGAGTTGGGCGTCAAATATGTGGTTGCTGAGACTGCATCACTCAACTTTGACGGCAAGGGAACTTGTACTGGACTTACTACAGCAACTGGACAGTCACTGACCGCCTCGCACGTAATTCTCTGCACGGGCGCGTATACGTCGAAACTGTTGGAATTCAGCGCTGAAAAGAGCGGTATCGCCAATCTCTCGGCAGGGGACAGGATTCTCGCAGCAGGCATCACTACCGGAATGGCACAACTAGACGAAGAGGAGTACAAGAAATACGCTAATATGCCTGTCGGTTTTCAAGGGTACACTGCGGTACATGGTAAGCCAAATCCCTCCCCCTTGCAAAAAGGAAAAAAAAAAAAAAAAAAACCCTACCGGATCGGCCGCTTAATAATTGCTACAGGCAAGCCGTTTATCGGCAGTATCCCACCCACAAAAGATAGGGAGCTCAAGTGGTGGGGAGCCAAGATCTTCTCCAACACACGAGAAGTGCTTCCTGGCCGCAAGGTGTCGGCGCCGCCGCCTGTGAAAGACTATGCTCAATGGAAGGTTTCCAAGCAACTCAAGCAAGATATTATTGACCAACGTAATCTGTGGTATGGAAAGAAGAGCGAGAACTGGAATATGACGAAGCACCGCATCTGCTGGTAAGTTATCTATCTTATCGCAACTGACCAGGGGTGGGTGGGAGCTGACTTGAAGATAGGGATGCCTTCACAACCAGCTCAGACTTTATCATCTCTCCCCACTCAGGCGCAAAGGGTCTGTATCTTGCAACCTGCGGCTCATTCCACGGTTTCAAGTTCTTCCCTGTCCTTGGCAAGTATGTAGTCCAGATGCTGGAGGGAGAGCTATCTCCTGAGCTGGAAGGACGGTGGGCGTGGGATCGGGAACGTCCGGACTCTTCAGACAACTGCGAGTATCCTAACTCTGAATTGAACGATCTCGTGGATACAGTCTCGAGATTGTAAGGTAATTTTTTTTTATAAAACAAAAAGAGAGAAAAAAAAAAACCAACAACCAAATAATGAGTGTTTCTCAGCGGCATTCGGTAAGGTAGAGGGTGCATCTAGATAGAGAGCCATATTATCGACAGACTAGAAACACTTTTACTCACATTGTCCTAGTGAATTATTACGTAACATACACGTGACTCGGATCAATCCTATCTTTGGACCATGTTTAGTGTGGCATTTGCCGTTTCTTATCGCATGGCCAGCCTTGCATCGGGACATGTATAGGGAAAGGTGTATGTGAAGGGGTGTGTGTGTGTGAGTGTGTGAGGGGTAGGGGGCCATTCCTCCTCCACTCGTTGGAGCGCCATGCATGCGGGGTTTGTGGCAAGTGATTAACTATTTAGTTGGAAGCACATACCTCCCAGTGGTTGTTCAATGACTTCACGTCGTCTTTTCTGGGTGAGAGATCCCTCCCAGTGCCGACATGCCACCGCCAGAGGAGGGTGTTAGTTCTATCAGTTCTCGGGGTAGACGGCGCTCGCATCATGCTTGCCTCACATGCAGGTCTGTTTAATCTCCATTATCTCATTCTGCCCCCGTCTTATCTCACCACGAGGGAGAGAGGGGGGCTGGGCCGAACGGGAACGGGAACGGGCGCTGACATATGAGAATCACAATAGGCGAAAAAAGACAAGATGTCCCGGGGAGAAGCCGGCTTGTTCGAGCTGCGTGCGGCTCCAGCAGTCATGTTCTTATCCGGCCATGAGGCCGTCCCAGAGTGGACGATCGGTAAGTCTCGGGAAAACCTCCCACTCACCACACACGTTCGGGATTTCGCGCCCTAAACCGTTATTAGGATGAGAGGCTTCAACACTTGGAAGAAAAACTGGATCTCCTCCTCAGTGGAGGCGGCTTGTAATACGACACCGCGTGCGAAATGCTACGTTTAGACGATCTGACCCGGTTCTTAGGATGAACCATCCCCCGCGGCAACGACAGCAGTCTCTCGAGGCCGTTACCGACACTTCAGAGAAGTCATATTCGGTAACTCCGCCGGCGCGGAAGCAGAGTTATCCCTCTGATAACTCTTCAACCGCCGTCGTGTTCGATCCCGACGACATGGAAACCGGCCTTGACTTGTACTTCAAGTATTGTCACAGGCAACCGATTTGGTGCTTCGAGCGAGACGAGATCGGCGACTACAGGACACTTCCAGAAGACCTTGCCAGCAGCATCTTGGCTCTCACTTCTCGGTTCTCCGATAGGCGTGATCATCTCCAGCTTTTCAGTAACAATGCAAAGACTCTCATCATGCTTCGAATCGCGAATGGCACAGTAGACATCACGACTATTGAGAGCCTGTGTCTCCTTTCATATTCTTCATTTATAGGTATGCGGTGCATGACTTACGTGAGATCAAACATGCCCCTAACTGACTGGTCCAGACGGAAACGTCCATCTTGGCCAGTTCCACCTAGGCCTTTCTCTTCAGCTCTGCCGGTCGGCGATGCTTGATAACGAATCTGTATATCTCGCCGATGATCCCACGACAGACCGGAAGAAGCGCCTTTTCTGGAGCCTCCAACTGCTTGAGCAATCTTACGGCCGGCAAGATGGTCTTTTGAGTGTGCCGACTGACATATGGCGGCCAGAGTACTCTACGGGCGGCGGAAGCCAGATGGAGCAGGAATCCAGGGCGCCGCCTCTACCTGTGGATAATCTCGGAACATCAACACCCAGTGAGCCGGGAATCTGGAACACGAGTGTCCGCTTGGGATGGGTTTGGAGCCAAGTGAGAAAATATGTCTCCGACTGCTCCCACAACATCCTGAAGGAACCTTGGCGACATGACTCGATGTATGCCAAAGTCCTCTCTGACTTCATGGAGACGGAAAACCGGATCCCGATGTGTCACCGATACGATTCCGTCAAGTTTTACGAGCGCAAGATCGATGAGTTGAAGATGAACCGTGATTACTGGGCCTGTTGGCTAAAGGAGCAGTTTACGTACCATGCAATTCCGACCGTCCTGAACCACCCATTTCTCTATATTGTCGGAGCACAGCACAATCCCAATCTGGGAATCCCAAACACTTTTTGGAGGAGGTCGTCAGAACAGGCCCTGCTTCACGCCACGTGGATCGTTCGAATGATAGAAATGGTTGTCGACAAACAAGTGCCTCTGGTAGACCCGTTCTTTGGACATGTTGCCGCGATAGCAGCCACGGTGCACCTATACTACTGCTGTGCTGCGGCTCCGAGGTTGAAGCACAAGTCCAACACGGACTTTGCCAAGTGTAGAAGGTTTTTGAAAAGTTTCATACCTTGTTCTGCCGCCTGTAATGCTCTTGTAAGTCACCCAACAAAAGCTCGTCGGGCGAATAAGCAACGAACAAAGTACCAACTGAGAATCTCTCCAGGACCGCAATCTTGATAAAATGACACGCATCGCTGCCGGCTCCGAGACGATGGACGTCGAAGACTGGATGCCGTCAAAAATCTATCTCAGCGTACCCCTTATGTGGGAAATTCTACAGTTCAACTCGACGACTGACTCGCAGGAGATCCCCAGTGCGGGTCTCCTCGATGCGTCTCTGACCCCAGCAGTTCCCCCCATTGACACCAGCGAGAGTTCGACTCTTGAGATCATCGTTGCGACATCGCCCGAAATTACGATCAACACTGCAGACGGAGGACAGGAAGCGCCCACGTTATCCTACAAACCATCCCACAAGCAAACCGTCTCCTCTTCTTCTACTTCTTCTTCGACAGCACCTACATCTTCACGGCAGAACGTCTTTGACACTCCCAACGTGGAGCAGATTGACAGTCTGACCTTCAACACCACGCCCTGGCTGTACGCGGACTCTTCGCAACTTATTAATATTGCAGAATTACCCGATCTCCAGTCGGAGCCAGGTAACGCGTGGTGGGAAGGAGACAATTTCAACAACATCATGTTTAATCAATTTTAGCGTTGCATTTTTTTGTTTGTTTTGTTTGTTTGTTTCTTCATGATGGCGTTTAGTGTACACAAAGATGTCATTATAGAGGGAAAGAACATGGACTGGGCATTGACGCCATGATGGCCTGTTTGCATGTTTTGTTAGTATTGACTGGGGGGTTTTCATGACGGCCGACAAGATGACGATCCTCAAAATTCAACTATAATTATCTGCTCCTCACTTTGAAAGTCCCAACATTGTGCGCTTTCATACCTGTTAACTATGTCCGATATAGGCTGACGAGTTCAGAGCTCCATTTCCAAACTTTCTGGGTCCTGAACTGCAACATAGCCTGGCTAGATCGTCGACCCGGAGTATTCATTAGGCAATACAATATTGGCTTCCTCCTCAGAAGGAAACCCAGCCCCATGCACAGAAAGCTCATTACGGAACGGCGCGCCTCTTGAGCCCAGGCTTCATGGGTGGATCCTGCGGAGTGAACAGGGGTTATCCTTCAGCGCCTGGCGTCTGCAACTGAGGAGTCATGGGAGGGGGACTACGGAGTCTAGCCGGGGTCGGAGGTGGCTGAGAAATGGCCGTTGAATGATAGGAGCAACGGTGAGGCAATGCGAGATGTATAGGGAGGAGTTCTAAAGACCATTACAACTTAGCGAGAACGGGTGTTCGTCTCGTCCCACGTTGCTAGCCATTCGTCTGCAGTTTAAAAAACGTCACTTAGCAGCAAATCATTTCTTGGTTAGCGTTGTTCCCCGGATATTTAGTCTCCTTTTTTTTGCCACATTCAGGGTCTACAGCAGCATGCTCCAAGCGCCATGGCATCCTGTCTGTACGTGGCTGGTCTCATATTCGTCTTTTGGTGACAAGGTTTTTTCTATTTGTGTGATGGACTCACGGACGGAGCGGATGGTGGGGTGGATGACAGGTGGCTTTCCCGCCTTGGTTTTACAGTAATCATGCTCGTTTGGTTGGATCCCGCATATTCGAGTTTCGCCCTCTTTTTTTTCCAACAGAGGAGGGGCGGGTATCTGATAATTTCCGACAACGGAGGTTGATACGATCACGATGGGTGGTGGGTTGGAAGCGTCAGCCGAGAGGGGGAGGCTTCGTCCCACGTTTTACGGCACCCTGCTGTGACGCACGGAATCCATCCATCCATCCAACAATGCCTGATAAGCCTTACTTACATTCGACTCGTGTGTCGGCAGAAAAGGTGGCCTAGGCCCTGGTCTACAACGCATCGACTACCTTTTCCGACGGCCAAAGAATGCTGGCCGCACCCGGGGGGAGGGGCTTCACAGAAGACAGGGTTCGGGAGCTACCCGGGTTATCAGCTCCTACAGGGGGAAATGACCGTATTAACGACCGAATTAGGTGTAAGTGATTGCTTAGTGGCGATGAGAACGTGGCATTGGGAAGCATGCGTAAAGGCCTTGGCCACGCGCGTCGAGATACGGTCGGCATCGGTTTCCTTATGCCGATCACATGACCGCTCGGCACCGACTTACCGGGGGTCAGCGTGTGGTTACTATCAATAGCCGACTGAGTTTCTAAGGGACCTTATCATAACATGATGCAACTAGTTGAATGCGGGGTTTGGAGACAAGAGTTGCGACGAGAGCTACATCGTCGATATAAGTCATCGTACAAGATGTAGAGAATTACATAGTTTGAGGTTGTTTTTCATCATCCTTTACTCCATCATTCATCGACATCGTGATATCATTCTATAGGTCCGCTGACCATGGCTTCTTCACAGCGTGTCGTCATTATTGGAGCTGGTATCGTCGGCACGAATATTGCTGATGAGCTGGTCTCTCGCGGATGGACCGATATCACCGTCGTCGAGCAAGGGCCTTTGGATATGCCAGGGGGCTCGACATCACACGCCCCAGGCCTCGTATTCCAGACCAACGGCTCAAAAACCTTGAGCTATTTCGCCAAATACACCGTGCAGAAGCTTCTGTCACTAGAATGCTTCAACCAAGTCGGTGGCCTAGAGGTGGCGGAGACCCCTGAGAGACTCGAAGACCTTAAACGGAAGCACGGATACGCCTCATCATGGGGTATCGAGGCACACCTAATTAGTGCCGATGAGTGTCGGAGGCTGTACCCCCTTTTGAACAAAGACATAATTCTTGGCGGCCTGCACATCCCCACCGACGGCCTGGCGTTGGCTGCCCGCGCGGTTCAGCTGCTTATTGAGCGCACACGGAAAGCCGGGGTTAGATACCTTGACCGAACCCCAGTGACCGGCATTGCCCAGAAAGACGGACATGTCACCGGTGTGATCACGAAAAACGGCACGATCGCCGCTGACATTGTGCTATCTTGTGCCGGCTTCTGGGGAGTCGAGGTGGGAGCAATGATTGGCCTTCCCATCCCCCTCCTCCCAGTTGGCCACCAATATGCAAAGACAACTCCTGTGCCCGTACAAAAAGGGAAGAATTCAGAGCCCAACGGCGTAGGTCTGCCTATCCTTCGCCACCAGGACCGCGATCTTTACTATCGTGAACACGGCGATGCATACGGCATTGGTTTCTATGGCCACCGTCCCTTGCCGGTCGTTGCCGCTTCTCTGGGGGAGACTCCCAGGCATGTCGACGAGCACAATATGCCGTCGCGCCTGGATTTCACCCCCAAGGACTTTGAGCCTGCATGGGAGTTGACTCAGAAGCTGCTCCCTGCGTTGAAAGAATCCAAGATCGCTTATGGATTCAACGGCATTATGTCGTTCACTCCCGACGGAGGACCACTCGTCGGAAGGGCACCGAACCTTGAGGGTTTCTGGGTGGCGGAAGCAGTCTGGGTGACACACTCTGCTGGAGTAGCTCGCGCCGTCGCCGAGCTCCTTACAACGGGCAGAGCCGAGATTGATCTCTCCGAATGCGACATCTCCCGGTTTGAGCAGGTTCAACTCACACCCTCCTATGTCAGCGAAACCTGCCAGCAAAACTTTGTCGAAGTTTACGATGTTTTGCATCCCCTCCAGCCCCGAGAGTCACCGCGCAACCTGCGCATCAGTCCGTTCCATGCCCGCCAGAGAGAACTCGGGGCTTACTTCCTGGAGGCTGGCGGATGGGAGCGTCCACAGTGGTATGAGGCGAACGCGAATCTGGTGAAGCAGTTGCCAGACAAGTGGAAGCCTAGAGATCGTGATGCTTGGTCTGCAAGATATTACTCTCCGATTGCTGCTGCCGAGGCTTGGAAGACTCGGACGGCGGCTGCCATGTACGACTTGACACCCATTCGTCGCTTGGAGGTGTCTGGACCGGGAGCGTTAGAGTTGCTTCAGAGAGCAACAACTAGCGATGTCTCGAAGAAGCCTGGCAGCGTTACTTTCACTCTGCTCCTTGATGGACGCGGAGGCATCAAGAGCGACATTTTCGTGGCGAGACTTCTGGACGATTTGTTCCAGCTTGCCGTCAACGGGCCAATAGATCAAGCTTACCTAGCTAGAGAAGCTCGCTTGCAAGCGAAGAAGAACCCATCCAACTGGGCTCAGGTACGGGATGTTACGGGAGGCACTTGCGGTATTGGCCTATGGGGCCCTCGATCCGCTGATATCGTGGCAGCCATCAGCTCAGACGACTTTACCAGCCAGGGACTTCCTGACTCTAGCGTGAAAGCAGCCGTCATCTCTGGTATTCCGGTTCTGGCAATCAGGCTATCGTTTGTTGGTGAACAGGGCTGGGAGATTTACACCAGTGCTGAGAACGGTCAAAGACTCTGGGATGTCATCTTCAAGGCCGGCCAACCTCACGGAGTCGTCGCAGCCGGCCGCAGTGCATTCAACGCCTTGCGGCTGGAGGCAGGATTCCGGAGTTACGGTTCCGATGTCACTTCCGAGAACAACCCGTTTGAAGCTGGTCTCGACTTTGCAATCGACTCCGGCAAGCAAGGCTACGTTGGTCATGATGCCATCAAGGAACTTTCCCGATCATCTCCCTCTCGGAGATTAAGATGCCTCACAGTCGACGACGGCAAGTCAGTTGTCCTCGGCAAGGAGCCGGTATTTTCCAATGGCAAAGCTGTGGGCTATGTCACCAATGCCGCATTCGGGTATACCGTTGGTAAGCCGATTGCTTATAGCTATCTGCCGAGCTCTCTTAAAGAAGGAGATAGCGTGGAGATTGAGTACTTTGGACGACGGATCAAAGCAACTGTCACCGCAGAGCCTCTCCACAAGTCTGGCTCCGGTGTGAGTGAAGCATCGAGGGTACCAATTAGGTCCCGTTTGTAATTATGATAGCATTTTTGAGCCTGTTTTAAGCATGAATCATGACACACGTTTACCTTTCGAGAGGGTCCCGTTGCTTATTGAAACACTGTTAGTTGTAGAAGTAGTATATATCATGATAACAACGTATGGAGCTTAGAGGTCTGGCAAGCCTTCGCACCAACTAACATGACAATGGTATGGGTCTACAGTAAAATTGCCACTAGCATTTGACAAACAATCGCAACCCGGTCCCCCATACTCTAGCTGCCGCAATCATAAGAGCGCAAAGGACCATGACCGTTCCGCCCCATATTTGAGCAAAGACATACCGGCCACCTGATCGATCAATGATTGCGCCGGCTGTAGGAGGTCCTGCCATTGTGGCAAAGGCTAAAATCGTGCATACCATGCCGAACCGAGTTCCCATCTTGCTGGGATCCTTGGTCAAACTTGCGAGGGCACTGACAAACATTCCCTGAGATGAGCTGACTGCCACGCCATATACGGCTGAAAAGGCATACATTGCTGCGCGATCGCGGACCCCAATCCAGCCATATAGCAAACATCCTACAGAGCTGACCAAAAGGAAGAACATGTTGACAGGTCCGATAAAGGTATCAGCCAGCCAGCCAAATATAGGGCGAGCGGGTATTCCGACGGCATTCGTGATAAGCAGAAGGCTTACGGATGATGTAGATGAAAACCCGATGATATCTCTAGCATAGCTGTTGATCTATAAAGGAATTTAGCAAACTCGAGGTTCCTTGACGATTTCGTGTCCAGTATTCTTACATAGAAGAACCCGAAGTAGAGGGCCCAAAAGTAGAAGAAGCAGCCGCATGAAAAAAGAACGTATGTGGGCTCTTTGAAGGCGCTCCACTCAATGAGAGGCCCTGATTTCCTTGGTGCCAGTCTCGGCTTGAGTAGAAGATTCATGACAATTACCAGAAACAAAGCCACAAACCCAGCGCACCGAACTGCCCACGGGAACCCAATCTTCGGCGTCAAGTACTGAACGGTAGCGGGAAAGACAGTACTCCCAGTTCCCGTCCCGGCTGCGGAGATGGTCAAGGCGATGGCTCTCCTCCTCTTGAAGTAGGAACTGATTACTGAAATAGTAGGCATGAACATCAGGCCCAGCCCTATGCCGGTGCATATACCCTGAGCCAAAAGAATCTCCCAGTACTTCTCCGTCAGGCTCGTCATAAACGTACCAAATATCGCAAGCAGCGAACCTGCGAGAACGGCCTGCCTCGGGTATCCTGCATCTGCAAGCCGACCGGAAATGGCGCATAGGGAGAAGGCGATGAAGATTTGGATGGACCCGATCCAGGAGACTTGGGCCTTTGGCAAGCCGAGGGTTTCGGTGTAGTAAAGCTGATACACGCCGTATGTCGAAGGGTATCCCCATGTCATCGCGCTAGGTTCGAATGGCATTAGATCTGTTCACTCTCATACGGCACTATGAGAAACCAACTTGACGCAATGGCCCGATATGACCTGGGACCATGCAGTCCAGCCGCCGTCCGGGTACTCGAATTCATCTTCTGCAAGCTGTACTGGGGCTTGAGCGGCTTCTTGGTCCCTGGTTTCGGGCTTGTCTGCCACAGACTGTTGCATGGTCGGGTAATAAATTCCTCTAATGGGGTCCCTCGCTCCGATGGAAGATTGAGAGGGCAGACATGAGAAACAGCATTATAATAAACCTATTCCAGGCGCGGACGACCTGATAATGTATTTTGAGCATTGCTGGCAGTTTATTACACATTTTCAGTCTAATTACCACTCAATGATGCAACCCGATATTGATGCAAGGATATCTGTCAGCATAAAGGAAGAGTATTAGGAGCCGCCGAGCCTTCGTTGGATGCTCAAAACAGTGGGTCTGTCGTACCATGAGCGCGCCCTTGGGTTGACAATGGCAACCGGGCAATTCCAACCGATCGCAGATCTCTCGACATTTACCAGTGAGCTTGGATATGAGATCAATGATTTGAGTCGCCGCATATGGCTTCTGCTACTTTACTCTTGGATGATAGGCCATGTTAGGCTTCGGGTAAGGCCACAAAAACGAGTCTGCAAAGGCTGTCATCCTTGAATCTTGCAGAATCCATCTGGATCAACTCGGCCTGGAAAGATAGTAGATTTCAACAATTGTAGTCAAATCTTCGGCAAACCCTGGATTATAGTGCAATTTGAACGATTAAACGTATGGTATTGGCACACAGAGTAGTAGGTGAGACGCTCCGCTGTTTTCAAGTGCTTGGTGGCATCCTTTTTCTTTCACTAGACAGCTGGTCTCCGTGGTGCCTTGGCTCATCTACGAAAACACGCTTGGCAGGATGAGATTCGGATATTAATATTACGTCATGAATCAGAACATTATCTGATAGAAAATTGAAGGATCAATTAAAATGATTGTGAGGTGAAAAACCGCACAAATGGAGAAGAGTTCAGACACTCAGAACAGACATCTCATCTCTTCATGAGCCACTAGTAAAATCATCACAATCTTAACACAACGCCGAGAGAGAAACCTATTAACATCAAGATCGGCGAAAGGTGTGCCATCATGTACGCGAACAATCCTGTATGAGTGATAGGTCTTGAGCGCCAGTCTTCTTGATGCACAGCTGTGGGAGACTGCTTCATGAAATAGAATACCGTAAGAATTCCTCGTTATTATCGCGGATTCTGGATAATCATTGGCTTCCCTTGCAGTTAAACGAAATAAATCGAGGCAACTTTTGAGTTACGGGTGTGGTTAAAAGAACGAACTAGTAAATTGAGCACCGTAGCCTCGGGGTATTTGAAAGCTTCCATTTGCTTCGGATCATTAACGGGTACCACGATCGCAAAACAGAGAAAAAAAAAAAAGATCCAAGCCTCGTGCGCAAATGAAATAGCCATGCAATACATTACTCCTTGAGAAAGTTGTTTGAAATCATCCGTTCGGCCACAACTGGGTTGATATTTATCCTGTACCGCCACTCAAAGTTGAAATGGGATCATCCAAGGCTGCTGCTCCGTGAGAAAGACATTCTATGGAACTAATGTTTTCTGAAGCAAACAATGCAGGAAATTTGCGTTTTAAAAGACAACTAATATCCCACGGTAGACTTTCACTCAATAAGCCGGACGAGTACCGGCCGTAATACTCCGGGCGGAGCATCGTGGAAACCAGGATGCTGACGTAGTCCCATTCCCAAGACACATGTTCGGATCGGGCAGTGGATCACGCGAGGTGCTTGGCTCGGCATTTCCATCAACCAAGCCTTATAGCCAATGCTTCTTTGCTGGAGCGCTTCCAATGGCATTCAAATACCATCAATGGCTAGGTATTCGTCTTTATGATGTCACCTCGATCATGGTCTATGTATAGCTACCGATAGATAACTAACCAGTTATTCTCAGGTCACTTATCAAGGTGCAAAGCCAATATTGACCCAAGAATTGGCCCTAACTCACTACGTACACTGGTAGAGCAACCGTGACAAACGCAGCGAACTGGCGGGAATACCAAGATAAGATAGGCACTCATCTTTCCGAGTCTTCGTAACGCAGAAGCTCGGCGTGCAAACTTTCATGGTCCAAGTGGTGTGATATCCTGGACAGCTATAGCCAGTAAGACAACGCGATTACAGCACATGCTCAACCAGCCAAGAGCTTCGAATGCCCCGGAATCTACTCCAGTTCTTCCGCAGTGAGACCCCTCCCTGAAGAAACCCCGGTTGCGCCTCTACTTACGGCCTCGCCACCTGATGTTTCGTCAATGCTGGCGAGACCGATACTGGCCGTCTACGGCGGGGGATCGGCCTAACCGCTCTCGGCAGGCGTTGTCAGTGGCTTTTCCTAGTGGTGTGCAGCCTTTGCCGGCGGTCCTGTCATACCTGTGTGATGCCATCAGCGTCGCACGCGCATCCAAGTTAGCACAGGCTGTTTTTACACAGCAGAAACATCATCCCGCTTGCGCTTTATTAGCGTCCGCTGGTTTTTCCATTCCACTTGAGCGGACTTGGCGGGACTTGGCGACTGACATCATACATATCAAGGCCTTTTTGGCAGCTGTTTCTTCTCGCGGCATTGCATTCATAATTGATGATAAAATCTAGGTGAAATTCCCGCCAAGGTGAGCCAAGAAGGCCAAGATGATCCTAACGCTTGATGTATGGATCCTTTCCCTCTGGCGCAGCCAGTTAAACATCTTACTTGGGCACATCTATGCCGCAACCCCTTCAGCTCGCAGGCAAAAGATATGCGGCATGAAGCAACGACGCAAGTGTGCTCCCATCGGTTGTAGTCTCGGTGCTTGACCGTTCGCTTGAGGGCTATCTGCGCATGGTAAGGACAATATGATGATCAACTCCCCTCATAAGCAGCCTGGCTCCCGGGACAAGGACGGTGTCTGCTTTCCACGTTTTATCTTCACTCCAATGATTGCTTAGTTTGCTACTAACCATTGTGTTGACATGCTAACCAGCCCTTGTTGACTTGCCTTCAACTTTGGTCTGTGGGCAATAGTCTGTCCCATTAACGGACAATTCTTCACAGCTCTTGTCTGTTTTTCGGGTTAACCCGGAAATATCATCATCATCTCAATCCTCTCATCACCTCCGCCGACTGGCTTGAAACCAATTCACTCTATCCATTTTAAAACGGATCTAGACGACATTCTAGAGTGCGGTGCCTGCCATGGGGAAATCCAAGGCAGCCAAGCCTGATGAAGACCACGTCTCTGGTCAATCAAATAAACCACTCTCTCAGCCAGCACACGCTCTGTCCTATCAGCAAGTCGCCGAAGAACTCCGCGCCAACGCCCTAGATGGCCTTTCCGCCGCTGACGCCGAGGCCCGTCTGGCGGAATACGGCAACAATGATCTCGGCGAATCTGAGGGCGTACAGCCTTTGAAAATCGTAATCGCTCAGATAGCGAACGCCATGACCATGGTGAGTCTCGCATAACAAGGGCAAGCCTTTCGTGGTCTAATGAGGCTCAGGTCTTGATTCTTGCCATGGCCGTTAGTTTCGGCATCGGGTCATTGATTGAAGGTGGTGTCGTCACATTTGTCATTCTTTTGAATGTCATTGTGGGCTTTTTCCAAGAATATTCTGCCGAGAAGACCATGGATTCCCTTCGTTCCCTAAGCTCTCCGACTGCCAACATCATCCGCGACGGTGAGTCACGGGTTGTGCCATCTGGGGAAATCGTACCTGGTGATCTTGTTGAGATCAAGACCGGCGATACTATTCCGGCTGATGTAAGGTGAGATGTTCCATCTTCCTTCACTTCCTGGAAGCAACTAAGAATGCCACTAGACTTATTGAGGCTGTCAACTTCGAAACCGACGAGGCTCTGTTAACGGGTGAATCTCTCCCGGTACGCAAGAACGAATCTGCTACTTTTCCCGATAACACGGGCCCGGGAGACCGTCTCAACGTTGCATACAGCTCCTCCAACGTCACGAAAGGGCGGGCCAAGGGAATAGTGTTCGCGACAGGCGTCTATACCGAAATCGGTGCCATCGCCTCCGCCTTGCGCAAGAAAGACTCCAAAGTCCGTGAGGTCAAGCGCAAGCCTAACGGCCATGCGAGTCCTCATAGATACCTCGAGGCGTACACACTGACTTTTACTGACGCCATCGGCCGGTTCTTGGGCGTCAACGTGGGCACCCCGCTGCAGAAGAAGCTTTCTAAGCTGGCCATACTCTTGTTCGGCATTGCTATTATCTGCGCTATTATTGTGTTAGCCGCCAACAAGTTTAATGCTAACCAGGAGGTCATCATCTATGCTGTTGCCACCGGCTTGTCCATGATCCCCGCGAGCTTGGTCGTCGTACTTACCATCACCATGGCAGCCGGCACCAAACGTATGGTTAAGCGTCATGTTATTGTACGCAACCTCAAGTCCTTGGAAGCCCTCGGCGCCGTGACAGATATTTGCTCCGATAAGACGGGTACCCTTACCCAAGGCAAGATGTTGGCCCGTGGCGCCTGGCTCCCAGGAATGGGAACCTATACCGTCGAGAACTCCTCGACGCCTTTCGATCCCACGATAGGTGACATTCGGTTCGATGAAAGATCACCGAGGCATCTGGACTTCAAGAAGGGTGGTTCCGCCTGTGGAAACATTGTCGAACCTGAGAAACTTCTGGAAAACAGCCAAACCGGACTCTCAGCCTTCCTTCACGTCGCCTCGCTCGCCAACCTTGCCACAATCACCAAGAAGGATGATCAGTGGGTGGCACGCGGCGACCCTACCGAGATTGCCATACAAGTGTTCGCCTCTCGTTTCGACTGGAACCGCCTGCGACTGACCACCGGCGACAATGCCGAGTGGAGTGAGATTGCCGAGCTGCCCTTTGACTCCGACGTCAAGCGCATGTCCGTCATAATGAAGCACAACTTTACGAACGAATACTTTGCTTACACCAAGGGCGCCGTCGAACGAGTGATTCAAACCTGTAGCAAATACACACCACAAGACTCCGGCGAGCTCGCTGACATGACGTCAGAATTCCGCGAGGAGATTCTTCGCAACATGGAAGCTCTCGCCGGTCTTGGCCTCCGTGTGCTTGCTCTCGCTAGCAAGCCGTACAACGGCAAACCTAACAAAGGCGACGAGGTTAATCGTGAATCTGTTGAAAGCGACTTGGTCTTCCGCGGTCTCATTGGCCTCTACGATCCGCCTCGTCCAGAGTCCGCACCGGCAGTTCGACAATGTCATGAAGCTGGCATCTCGGTCCATATGCTAACTGGTGACCACCCTGAAACAGCAAAGGCTATCGCTGTTGAAGTTGGCATTTTGCCGTCCCGTATGGAGCGTGTGGCAAGGAACGTCGCGGACGCGATGGTTATGACGGCCTCGCAGTTTGATGCGTTGAGCGACGACGACGTTGATAGGCTTCCGGTGCTCCCGCTTGTTATTGCACGATGTGCGCCCAGCACCAAAGTTAGGATGATCGAGGCTCTTCATCGTAGGAAGAAGTTCTGCGCCATGGTAAGTTCGTACTCGGATGTTTTCAGTTGCGGCAGATGGCTAATGGCTCTTAGACTGGAGACGGCGTCAACGACTCCCCTTCTCTTCGTCGTGCCGACGTTGGCATCGCTATGGGTCAATCCGGATCCGATGTGGCCAAAGACGCTTCGGATATCGTGCTGACAGATGACAACTTTGCCTCTATTGTTGCCGCTATCGAAGAGGGCCGCCGCATCTTTGACAACATTCAGAAGTTCGTGCTTCATGTCCTTGCCGAAAACATTGCTCAGGCCGGCACCCTTCTTGTCGGTCTTGCGTTCAAAGATGCCAGAGGACTCTCAGTCTTTCCACTTGCACCTGTTGAAATCGTCTGGATCATCATGGCGACATCAGGCATGCCTGACATGGGTCTTGGGTTCGAACGCGCCGTTCCTGACATTATGCGCCGGCCACCGCAGTCTCTCAAGACAGGCATTTTCACAAAGGAGTTTCTGGTCGACATGGTCGTTTACGGCTTATGGATTGCCGCTCTGTGCCTGTCAAGTTTTACCCTCGTGGTACACGGTTTCGGCAACGGACAGCTGGGAGAAAACTGCAACGAGACATACGGCGAGACGTGCGATGTCGTATTCCGGGCCCGAGCCACAACCTTTGCTTGCCTGACATGGTTTGCGCTCTTTTTGGCCTGGGAGATGATTGACATGCGCCGTTCATTCTTCCGCATGCAACCGGGGTCCAAGAAATACTTTACTCAATGGATGATTGATGTCTGGAGGAACCAGTTTCTATTCTGGGCCATCATCCTGGGATTCGTCACTCTTTTTCCATTGCTCTACATTCCGGTGATCAACACAGTAGTTTTTAAGCATAAGGGGATCTCCTGGGAATGGGCGATTGTTTTCGTGGCCGCAGCGATGTTTTTCGCCGGTGTCGAGTCGTGGAAATGGGCCAAGAGGATTTACTTTAGAAGGCAAAGCCGAAAGGCGCACGGCATCGCCTGGAAAGACATGGATATTGAGCAACGGGTATTTGGCGAATACCTCGGTGGTCCTTCAGACGATGAACATAGGACAGAAGTTGGGGATGATGATCACTACACTGAGAAGGAAGGTCTAGAAAAGTAAAGGATCAGAGGCCTGGTAACACCAGAGTCTGTGACATCAGCTTTAGGCAGCCGTAAATGCAAGCGAGAGTACATGTTAGCTTAGCAGGAATCCCTGCTCGAGAAGCAAATTAATTTCCTGCGTAGGGCACTTGGAACACGAGGAACATCTTCCAATATGGTTGGGCAGACTGACCTAATCCTACCCGTTTACTGGCAAAGGCTATGTACCTCAAGCGAAGGCGCCAATTACTAATTGAAGGGATTGTAGTAGCCTAATAGAGGAAATACAGGTCATTATCTTGCCAAGCTACCTATTTTGTAAGGGTGGAATCCTTCATGTATGCGTGAATGGCTTTTTTAAGTGGCGCAGGGCGGCCCGTAGGATCTACTTCTACTCCACTGCGGGTGTCTAAGTTGCCCAGTTACAATCTGTTTCAATAAACCAACGTTACATTGGCCCTAGATGGTTAAGGCATTTAGAGACCACGATGCCCGGCGGTATTCGTGAACCTAAAGAACTTCTTTTCACTCCGTAGGTGAACGGATATCACTCCCCAATAGCCGTGATAATGCGTTTACCATCGTTGCCCACCCTGCTCTCGGGCATCCTCTTCGCCCTCGAAGCGACAACTGCCCAGGCCGCACCAGCAACCAGACAGGCATCCGGCTCGCTCGCCTTTCTTCCACAACAACCCCTGTTGACATTCAAGTATTCAACCTCGAGTGCAAATGCAAAGAACTGGGTAGGCGTCTATCATGCGTCTGGCGGCGGCCCTGATAAGGAGGAATTCGTGGAACAGTCCCTGGCATGGGCCTACGCACCGCAGGGCGAGGGAACAGTGAAGATTTCGGCGACAGATCTGCTCCCGGGCGATTACAAGGCTTTCTTCCTAGCCAACGACGGGTACAAGTGGCTTTCGGAACCGGTCATCTTCCAAGTGCCCTTTGCCAACCGTCCGGTAGCCTTCATTGTTAACGAGATCACTTTGCCCAATGCACGCCAAGGCGACAAGTACGAGGCCAAGATTAGTGGACTGAGAATTGACGGCGGGAGCTCTACAGTCAAGTACAGCAAAGTCCAGGGCGACGACTGGGTAAAGGTTTCCGCTGATGGCACCATCTCCGGCACACCGAATGTCTCCAAAACTTCGAAAGCAACCGTCGAGATTACCGCGTCCGACGGATCCTCCGCTCGTCTGCAAGCAACCGTTCCAGTTCGCGCATCCGGCACTTCCCTGGTTGGTAACCTTGCCGTCATGACCTATAACCTCTGGCACGGAGGTACGCAGGTAAACGGCTATCACGCCAAGCAGGTACGATTCCTCGCCTCGAGCGGTGCGGATGTCGTAGGCGTCCAAGAAAGCACGGGTGGGCATGCCCAGCGCCTCGGTGATGCTCTGGGATGGTACTCCTGGCAGGGGAGCGATGTTGGTATCATCAGCAAGTATCCCATTACCACGACGCATGTTCACGATTCGTGGGGCGGGTATGTCGAGATCGCCCTTGGTGAGGATAAGGTGGTATTGTGGAACGTGCATTTGGGATACACCCCTTACGGGCCGTACGACTTCTGCTTCGACAAGATGTCAGTTGACAAGGTCCTGAAGAGAGAGGAGGAGTCGAAGCGCACACCACAGATCAAGTCTGTCGTCAAGGCTATGCAGACTCAGCTCGCGAACGCGGACAAAGTCCCGGTGTTGTTGGTCGGGGACTTCAACGCGCCCTCGCACATGGACTGGACGGATGCCTTGAAGGATAAGCACTGCGGCCAAGGATACGTTCCTTGGCCGACATCGATAGAGCCTACGAATGCCGGGCTGGTTGACTCGTTCCGTGTTGCTCACCCAGACCCTAAGAAAGAGTTGGGTATTACGTGGTCGCCTATTTTCTTGACGAATGAGGGGCGACCGGAGCCGATGGATCGAATTGATTTTGTGTATCACAAGGGGAAGAAATTGGCAGTGGCCGACTCGAAGCATTTGGTTGTGGGTAGCCCCAAGCCTGAACCAAACCATGCGGACAATGAGTGGACTTCAGATCATGCTGCTGTATTGACGAACTATTTGTTTTCGAAATGAGGTTGGGGGGTTAGCGATGCTGTTTGATGGGACCAAGATGAGCATGTTGAATAAAAGGAATTGGCAATATTGAGTCAAGGTGCAAAAAATTTAGGTGCCTCACTATCGTCAGTTTCTTACAATAATTTGTTTAGGCCTTGATGAACATTTTGAGTTTTATGAGTATATTTGGATTCCTGCCAAAACAGGAACGGCTTGTTTGATGCTCATCTCATTCCATCGTCGATCTCTTTCTACACTTATGGATCATCAGCATGAAATTAAGTGATAACCCTAAGTTGAGTAGGATATTTGAAAAGCGTCGACCAAATATGAACTCAGTCACATCGGAAAGAATGAGAAATTGGCTGTATGAGATGATACATATATAGTAATGTTTTGCTGCTGTTCAACTCGGAGCTGCGAAACTTCATGCTGCCAGTAACAACAAACCTATCTCTCACTCATCAGTTCATCAATTCAATTGACCGTTTCTGATCTTTGAGTTCTCTTCAAATTGAATGAATATGACGCTATCTAGGTAGCTCACCGAAGACTCATCGAAGAGACGTTCAACAACAGTATCGTCAACATAGACCATAAAAGCCTTCATTTAGGTCACACCAGTATTTAGATTGCTTCACGTCTTGGGGAAACCTTACTCGTATTGCTTAATGTTTTACTGTCAAAGCCATCTAGGTAGACAGACAGTAGCATGTGATCACAGTCTGCCATCCAATGAGATTGTGCATCAATGTTGGCTGATATGACGTATGCAGAATTTGTGGGGCAATGATGTAAACCTGAAGCCATCAAGTATTTGTACAACCTCATCTTCCAACACTCCCCATACGCAAATCAGCTGTATTACCACACAACAAGTCGAACCAGACCATCTCATTATCACAACCCCAAAGTAAAAAGAAAACCCATCATGCCTGTCTGGAGCTCTTCGTCGGTATCTTTCTCTTCCTCCGTTTCTTGGAACGGCAAGACGGAGAGCCAGCGCTACGCCAAGCAGACACAACGCACACCTGAAGGCACAACCATAAAGAGCGCCTCACAAAGATCTGGAGAGCCGGTGTACACTGAAACCCTCGAGTACGATTCTCACGGCCGTCCCATCGTTGAGGGCCGTGTTCTCCGTGGTGGACCACAGCAGGCCGGCCGTATCGAAGATGTTTCTGACCGAAAGTAACGGCGCCTCATACCCAAACTACTAAATGGAACTGAGGGATGAAGGGATGTTAGGTGGGAGGTTGTATGATACCAACAGGCGATGCGATTGCAACGCATAGTTGGGGCGGTCGGCGAAGTCATAACTACAATGCACATTACATATTTTACAATGGCGATAGTTCAATATCATTTTTCAATTCCAATCCTGTCTTGTGCTCAGATTAACGAATTAGTGCGTTTTCTAACATGATATAGAGTATGTAATGATAATCGTAACTGCATTAATATTTCATACGCTCATCCCTAGGACGAAACGGCTAATTAACATATCCTAAATCTTGACAACAACCTTGCCAAAGTGCTTCTGGTCCCACTGGTACTGGTACGCATCCTTGACCTCCTCGAAACCAAAGATCTTCTCGTCAACGACAGGATGAATCTTGTTGGCGTCAATGGCCTGGTTCATCTCCTCGAACTGCTGCTTCGAGCCGACGAAGATTCCGCGGACGGTGCAGATGTTGGACAGCGCATCCAGCAGCGTAGGCTGGTCCTTGGTGTCCTGGCCGTGCGACAGGAAACCAATAATGGAAATCACACCCTCCAACTTGACGGCCTTGAGGGACTGCGCGACGGTGCCGGGGCCACCGACCTCGATGATGTGGTCAACGCCGGCGTTGTTGGGCGTCAGAGACTTGGCCACCTCGCCCCAGTTGGGCGTCTCCTTGTAGTTGATGACGTGGTGAGCGCCGAGCTTCTTCAGCTTCTCGCCCTTCTCCTTGGACGAGGTAGTCGCAATGACTTGTGCGCCGGCAGCAAGGGCGAACTGGATAGCGGACAGACTGACACCGCCAGTGCCCTGCGTGAGAACAAAGTCACCAGGCTTGAGGGCCTTGGACTGAAGACCGTACAGCGCGTTCCAAGCGGTCAATGGCGCGCAGGGGAGGGTGCTTGCCTCGACGGAGTTGAGGGTCTTGGGGGCCTTGACAAGGCCGTACTCGGGGAAGACGGCATACTGGCGGAGGGTACCGTCGAGGGCACCACCGAGACCGCTGCTCACGGCGAGGGGCGTGATGGGGTTAGACTGGTGGTGCTGGTTGAAGAGAGTGCAGATGTCGTCGCCCTCGGAGAATTGAGTGACCTTGGGGCCGACTGCGAGGACACGGCCGGCGCCATCAGAAGCCGGGACACGGGGGAAGTTGACGGGGAAGGGGTAAAGGCCCTGGATACGGTTAGGAATGAGGCTGATATGGGGAAGTAGCTGAACGCACCTTGGGAATGGCGAGGTCACGGAAGTTAAGGGAGACGGCCTCGATCTGGACGAGGACGTCGTAGTCACCGATCTTGGGAAGGGGGACGTCCTTCTTGAGCTCGAGGGTTTCCCAGTTATCCTTGCCGATGCCGGTGAGGGACCAGGCGTTGGTGCTTGTGGGAGCCATTATGAATGTCGAGATTTTGGTCAGGTTGCTTCACACAGGTTGAATCCCAAGGTATCTTGAGTATGGTTGTTTCAAAAACGAACAAGTTGAAAGATGAGACGATGTCCTTTCTTTTGAATACATAGCCGTGGGTTCGAGCACCGAGCTCCCAGCACAGCAAACATGACGCAATGACAACTCATGCTGTCATTATGGGGTCGCGATGCGACACTGCTTGACTGTATTTTTACTGACTCGGCCGCTATGCCACCCCCTGTCGCGGCCCCATTCCGCCCTTTTGGCTTCTACGTAGTAGCTTTCGTTCGGACCATTCGGGATTTTATTCTGGGGGTGGTGGTTCGCTTTAGGTGAGCCGTTCGCCGATGTGATCAATCCGGAAACTGATCGCACGTGAAATGATCTGTCAACGCTTGTCTAGTGGCGTGCAGTACCGACAAGGTGTCGATGATCAGCTCATGGGGTGCGGAGAAGATTTCTTTATTTTCTTGTGAATGATTTGTAAACTTCTTCGGCCTTGAACTTGATTCCAGAAGCGTCCAAGTGCCGAGGCCAAAGGTTCCACCTGGGCAACAGAAAATGGCCGTCTGTCCAAGTCCACAGTAAAGTCGGCCATTTGTTCTGTTGCCCGCGTGGGGGTGTCTGCAGGTACATGCGTCTTAAGCTTGCGTCCCGCCAAGTTGGAAGCGGAGTACGACAAACGGGGGTAACGTGAAGATCTCGGCTGCCAAATGGCTCGCGGGTTTGCGAATAGCTTCATTCGAGCAGCCAAACAAAGGGAGCTTGCCGTGACATTGAACCATCACTTTAAAGAAACATTGAACTATTTCTTCCACAAAAACAGCATTGCACCCAACAGGCCGGTTGATCCCACCGTTGTCCTGTCCCACAGTTCTGGGTGGACTTCTGCACTAATGCAGTCTAGACTCTCCAATTCGTCCATGAACCGCGGGTCTTGAATCTCGCATCATAATCTGCCAAAAGTCAAAGTGGATCTTGTAATTTCTTCAAGAATGTTCTAGGGTATGGAGTCATAGGCTCAATCCATTGTTTCTTATCTAAGCTGAGTGGGTTGGATGACTTGAAAGGTCTGCCCAGGAAATTCTGCAGCCAATAGCTTGTGACTTTAACATTCCGGTTGAGAAGTTTGAATGGTCACATCTTCGATCAGACGTTGGCCTCCGCCAAAGTCTTTGGTTATTCTCAAATAGTACACAAGCTTAAACTCATTACCAAGGTATCGAAGTGTGCAATAGCGCCGTGTCTCCGATGCCATTGTGTGGGCTTTGAAGGGCAGGTCTGGTTTAACTCTGTCCCACGCTTGTGTGCAAATTGACTAAACTAGCCAATCAATAAATCTAAAGTACACAGATCCCGAGAGAATTCTACACTAAAGACTTATAGTCAGTTTCCACCTATCAGTCCCTAGACGGTTTTATACGATTATAAAGTTATCATGGAATAGGTAACATGGTGGCAATGTGGGGGCCAATACGCCGGAATAAACACTGAGGAGCATGAAAGGGATGAGAAGGATGGCTATCCTTGCGCAGATGAGCAGAGCCGAGATCCAGACATGGGCGGGATCGTTTTCCCATGCAACCTCAATATCGAGAAGATGGAGTTTGTGTGATCCCCAGTTGAAACTCAATCAAATTGCAGTGCGCTAGAATCCGAAGTACAGGACTGAAATTGCATGCGTACGATAACAAGGGTAACATCTGTCAACATGAAGCCGTCGGGAAGCTCTATAAGATGATTAAGCTGGGGTTTTCGCTCATTAGCTTGCCGCTTTTCCGTGGTGATTGGATCGGACCAGGTTTCAGATTGACGAGCAAATATGACCCGGTGTTTACAACGACTACGCGGTCTGCTTGTTCGATTACCCTGTTTCTCCACGGAAGTAATAAGACGTTCTCGGCAGTAGGGGATGAATCTGTCTAAAAGATAAAAAACCAGCAAAGGCTGGCCTGCAAAGGTCACCTGGCTGAACACTCATGTTGTAGTCGCTCGATATCAACGATCACATTTACAGTCTTTACCTCCAGCAAACGCAATGCATGTCGCTCGCTTCTTGATGCCGGCCGTGTTGGCCTCTGTGGCCGCGGCCGAGACAAAGTTCTGCGGCGCTCCCAACGACTTCGAGGTCCTTATGGGCACGCCGTGGATCGTTTACTCGATGAACTACAACTACAAATCCATCAGCGGATCGTGCTGCACTGGATACTACGGAACGTCAGGCGAGGGCGACGCACAGCGGATTAAATGGAGTAGCATCTGGGACATTAACCCGACCGTGAACAAGGACGTCGTCAAGGGATACTCCTTCATCGGACTCACCCAAAGCCTGGAGACGAGGCTGAGTGACATTAAGAGCATCCCTAGTACCTATGACTGGACTGTCTCCAACACTTCTGCCTATAAAGGTGAGCGCTTCGGCATACGGGCTCTCAAATTCAGTGCTGACTAGTGCTCAGGTAACGTCGTCTACGACTTCATGACTTCCGACACAAAGGGCGACAGCACGTCTAGCAATGCGCAGGAGCTCATGCTCTGGCTTCGTTACGAAGGAGGACAGGTCCCCATCGGCTGGGCCGAAGGACCGACTGCGACAATCGACGGGCTCTTCGGTAAGGACGGCTGGAAGCTTTACCAGGGCAAGAATACCGACACGGGCATCACGGTGTCGTCGCTGCTCGTGCCGCAGGACAGCCAGTTTGGAGATCTGCAGGGTGGCTCATTCGAAGGTGACATCAAGGACTGGCTCGTTGCGCTGGCAAAGCAGGGCGTCTTCTCCGAAAGCACCTACGTCAATGTTGGAAATGCCGGCATGGAGCCGTACTGGGGCACCGTCACGTTCAACAACACCCTCGGTTTGAGGATCAACCTTTAAAAGGTCGGAGAGTGTACACGCGTCTGTTATTTTCAACTTATAAGATTCCTATCACAATTTGCTTCCGTAAATAGCCTATTCTCTCACAGTAATGAGACCGCTCATGACCTTGGTCGCCTTTCCTCCAAGATGCAGGGTCTGCAGCTTGCGTGAGCCGTCCGATCCTTGGCTTACCACGGCGTCGACATAGATGTTGCTCTTGCGACCCATCTCGACGCCCTGGGTAATCTCAAAGCTGATGGACTCGCCCGATAGCTCGTGCAAGCTCAGGTAGCTGGACAACGCACACGCGGCGCTGCCCGTCGCGGGGTCCTCCATACCAGGTTCAATCAGGCGGGTTCTGATCTTCTGTACGACGCGCCCATCAACAGTCTCAGTGCCAAGGCGTACGAAAAAGTACCGTGAGATGAAAGTTTTGCGCCAGCCTTCATCTACTAGTTCATTTTGATGAAAATCAACCGACCCAGGCTTGAGCGACCCAAGAAGCTCAAGCGAAGGGAGCTCGGTGAGGACAAAAGTCATGCCGTTGACAATACTGAAGACGGGCGCGTTGATCTCTGCAGCAGCAATCTCATTCTTTGAGTCACTAAAAGGGCCAGGGCCAAGATCCCTTAGGCGCTTCTGATGGAGGCGAACATTATGCGGGATCTCTGCCCTCACAGAATCATCACCGGTCTCTTCGATGGAGATCGGCCCAGCTTTAGCGTGAAGCTTATTGACGCCCTTTACCTTCAAAGAGACGGCGGTGCCGACGGTCGGGTGGCCGGCAAAGGGCAGCTCCTCAGTCGGCGTGAAGATGTCGAATCGCCGCTCCTTGGATGAGGTGTCATCGACCTCGTGCACAAAGGTCGTCTCTGAGTAGTTGAATTCTCTGGCAACAGCTTGCTTCTGCTCTTGCGTCAAAGTGACACCGGGCGGGATGGTAACAATGGCCAGGGGGTTCCCCTCAAAGGGTTTGTCCGTGAAAACGTCGACAGTGGTGTAGGGTAGCTCCATGACTGTTAGCGTTGCAGTGGGTGTTTTGTACCGTAAATAGGGCTCAAATGACAGCTTTGACGGGGCGTACTCCGCAGAATAGGGGCTTGGGCGAGCGTCCTAGAGAGGCTACTGTTGGGGTCTTTAAGGGGTGTGTAACGAATGATTCAAGCAAGCTTCTCCAAATCGTAGGGCCTCTGCTGCTATTTGTACGTCGGTCACGCCTTATGCGCCTTTCGACGTCAACTCCACTCACGCTGTCGTGGTGACTCACTAGGGGTCTTGCATTAGTAAACGTCTACTATGGAGTGAAATGAGATACTGACATAGATTGTAAAAGAGATGCGGGGTATTTCAGCCCCGGGTTATTCTTCATGTCACGGCAGGGCGGAAATATGACGGTTTTCATCATGGGGGAAACTGTCCAAAACGCCTTTTCTTATGATAGTATTATCGTTAGCATCTGTGGCCGTGGCTATGATGTTTTTTGACCTTGAATGATATACATTGTTCATAAATACCGCATCACGCCATCCACATATGGAGATGCCGTTGGATTGACTCATTCATCGCGTCTAGCAACTCATATCAATCATCATGGCTACCGGACGGAGAAACGTTTACATCAATGACAGCACAGGACCAATTCGCCCTGTCGCCGACACTTCTCTGGTGCAAGCATTCCATCAACAGCTCCCCTCATTCGCACGGACACCGCTCGTCTCGCTCGACGATGTGGCCAAAGAACTCGGTGTAAAGGCCGTGTTCCTCAAAGATGAAAGCAACAGGCTTGGTCTTCCCGCTTTCAAGATCTTGGGCGCTTCATGGGGAACATACCGAGCGATCACAACTGAGCTGGGTCTGCCTGCCGATACGCCTCTGGCCGAAGTCGCGAAAGCTGCCCAGGAACACTCCATCTCGCTTTATGCAGCGACTGAGGGCAACCATGGCAGAGCCATTGCCGCAATGGCCAAGATCCTTGGGATTCCTGCGCACATTTATGTTCCCAGCAGCGTCAACGGCGAGGCCGTCACGCTTATTGCATCCGAAGGTGCGAATGTGATTTCGAGCGATTCCCATTATGACGACGCCGTCTTGGAGGCGTGGGAAGCATCGAAAGCTGTCAAGGGTGGACTCCTCGTTCAGGACAATGCATTCGAAGGATACGAACAGATCCCTGCTTGGATTGTTGAAGGATACTCTACCCTCGTTGTCGAGGCCGAGCAGCAGGTTGCCGAGAAGGGCCTGAAGCCAACACTGATGGTAAGCCCAGTCGGTGTTGGATCTCTGGCACACGCCGTTGTTTCTCACTGCAAATCCAATGGTCGGAACAATGCTGTTCTGACTGTGGAGCCTGATACTGCGCCGTGTCTATGGAAGAGTCTGAAGGCCGGCAAGCCGGTGTCGGTTCACACGTCGAGAACCATTATGGATGGACTCAACTGCGGCACTGTTTCCCTTACGGCTTTCGATGACCTGAAAGCGGGCGTTGACGCCAGTGCAACCGTCTCTGACTTTGAGGCACAACTAGCGGTTGAGTATCTCGAGACGAAGGGTGTAAAGAGCGGTCCTTGTGGTGGCGCCACTGTTGCCGCACTCCGGCGTCTTGCTCAGGTTAGCCCGCGACCAAACTGCCTCTCTGAGGATTCTGTTGTTGTTCTCCTCAACACTGAGGGCCAGCGAAAGTACAAGAAGCCGCTTGACGTATCGGTTGATGACCCAATCAAGCTGACCCAGATCCTTACCACCATTGACTCATCCAACCCCGATCTGTCCAAGGCATCAGGTGCCGGCGAGGCAGAGATTGCCAGTTACATCTCGGCTTGGCTACAGCACCGCGATATTGAGGCTCATTGGCTGGAAACAACGAAGCCGGGACGTCCTTCTGTAGTTGGTGTGCTCCGTGGCAAAGGCGGAGGCAAGTCGATCATGCTCAACGGACACATCGACACTGTCAGCCTAGGCAGCTACTCACCTGATCTCGACCCTTTGAGTGGCCAACTCAAACCGGAAGATGGTGGAAAGATCTTTGGTCGTGGATGTCTTGATATGAAGTCAGGTGTTGCCGCAGCCATGTCAGCCATGGCGCAGTTCAAGTCCACGGAAGGTTCATCGCTCCGAGGCGACGTTATCCTGGCTGCAGTCGCAGACGAGGAAAACTTCTCATTCGGCACTGAAGAAGTTATCGCCGCTGGTTGGAGGGCGGATGGTGCCATCATCCCGGAGCCCACTAACCAAGATATCATCTACGCCCACAAGGGCTTCATCTGGGTCGAGATTGACGTGCTAGGCGTTGCTGCGCATGGATCCATGCCGGAAACCGGCGTAGACGCCATTTTACTCGCCGGGGCGGTACAGACTGCTCTCCTTGAATACTCTCAGACGCTGCCTTCGGACCCTCGGCTGGGCAAGGCGTCGTTGCATGGTGGACTCATCCAGGGCGGCGAGGAGCCGTCGAGTTATCCTGACAAGTGCACGCTCACGGTTGAATTCCGGACCATCCCGTCACAAACGAAGCAGGCTATCCTCCGTGATGTTCAAGATATCCTGGAGCGCATTGCGGCGAACACACCGCAGTTCAAGTATGCGCCGCCGCGAGTGACTTTCGAGCGACCGTCTTTTGCGCTTGAGAAGAATGACGAATTTCTCAAGACGTTCGTTGACCACGTATCGGGCACACTAGGCAAGGCACCTGAGCCGATTGGATTGTCGTTTTGGTGTGACGCCGCCCTTCTCTACCAAGCTGGCATCCCTTCTGTAGTTTACGGGCCCAAGGGGGCTGGGCTTCATGGCAAGGAAGAATGGGTGGGTGTAGAAAGCCTTCGCGAAGTTACTGCTGTTCTGAGCAGCGTCATCAAAGACTTCTGCGCATAATGACAGTAGAGATGACCGAACAATCATGAGGGCGAGAAAGGAGAGAAAAGACTTAAGAAATAAATATGCTAGGGATAAATTATACAACTGGCGCTATTACTATGGAGTGAAAAAACAGTCAAATAGTATCTTTTCTCGCTTCGTAATTCATCATCGGCTTATCTCATAGGCTCTCTGGCGCGTTTCATCGTGTCGATTAACGAACATGGTCTCATAGGTTGTGGTAGTTGTGGTATATTCCGACCAGTTTTGTCCTCAGTCTTTCTTCCTTCCTCCAAAGTAACCATGCCGATACTGGTGGGCAAAGTGCTTTGAGAACTCGACTTGAGGTACTCTCCGCCTTCTCTCCACACTGACGTGGCGTATATCTCTCGAAAAAGGACGCGTAACACCGGAATAGAGGAGGCAATAATGGTAACGTTGGGCTCTGCTTGGCCCCAAATGAACAAAAGAGACAGACGATCTGAGAGGTCGGGTCAGCGTGAGCCACTCTTACTAGGGCATCACACTTACAAGGAATGTCGACTCCGTCAGCGACGGTTGCGATCTTGACCACCTTGATAGCTCCTACCACGCCGGCGGTGATGCCCAAGCTCATAGCGACGGCCACACCAACCTTTTCGTGGCGATTCAGCTGCAACTGCCATATGGTCCTCCATGGGAGCAGTGACAAGCTGAAATCAACCAATACGGAGTATCCTGTTCAAACTTTTATCAGTAGGAGTCGCGAGTGTAAAGTTGAACTCGTCATAGGATAACGTACCGTTCGAAACCATAGCCATGATCACTGAATCGAAAACGTTCCAGCAAGATCCCGGCAGTACAGCTTCATACGAGTCCATTGGTCGGTCGCACGCTGCCTTCCAGGTGGTAATTGCACTTGTCGCCAGGATGATGTTCATGGATATGACGAGGAACCATATAAATGATTTCTGCCAGCCGTATGAAACTCGCAGCATGGTTGCTGCAAATGATGTCTTGCTGAGCGCGAGTGATATCTTGTTGATTACATCGTTGAGGACGGTAAGAGTGTGCATATGTGGCACAAACACTATGCTCGTGCCGAAACCGAGCTTCATAAGCTCTGTAATAAGGCCGTTGGATATGAGGAGAAATACCTGCCAGGAAGTCGTCAGATAAGAGGTTGCAAACAATAAATCAGTCATACCCATGATAATACGAGTAGATAGTCATCAACCCACATCCCTCGTGACCTTATCTTCTTGCAATATACCCGGAGAAACAGAAACACAGTTGAGATTGCGATCATGGACCATATAGAAGAAACCACTTTTGATGCTGGGTCCTTGGATACATCCATCATAGATTGGACTGTGGCCGCCTCATTTCGTGTTGAAATAGGTATCAACATGCTCGATCCGATGGCAAGAGGTGACATAGTAGTACTATGCTTTGCTCTAGAGTCCGACAGATATCGAATTTGGTAAATCAAGCTCGAGATCGGCCATGGACTGCTTTGTGGTTCCAAAGACAACCGACGTGCCAGGTGAACAAGGCTTGGAGCGAGTTGAGAGTTAAGATGGATGAGTTATTGAGAACCCAGACCAATGGGCCAGGGACGGGAGTTTCAAGGTTAATAGTTGGCCGCATTCCTGCAAAAACACAAAATTTCCCGGTCCGGCACGAAAAAAAGCAAGAAAAACTTTCTGTCTCAACGTACTCGGTCTCCCACGGGTCGAGAATCGACGTGGTTGGTCGCCCATCAGGGAGGCTATTTGCCATCGTATGCATCTGCAGTGGAAATTCGCAACTCCAAGACCAGCTTTCCTCCCCTCAAATGAGACAGACCCCCATTTTGAAGGTAAGGGATGGATTTAGAAGGTCTCGAGGAAAATCTCTCAAGTTCAAAGCATTGCCCCCTCTCTGTCGCACCGTCAAACACATGGCTAGTGTCTGACTCTTCCACCGGAAGGTCAGATCAGAAGCCGAGGCATTCGAGAAACGACTTCACGCGTTTTCAACACGTTTTCGGGTATGTCTGGGTGACACAATGTCTTGGAAGGTTACGTCCCTCAAGGAAAAACTTTTCAAAAATTACTTGTGGACAGGTAAGAGCATAATGCTAACATTCAGTCAGAAATACTTCGTCACATAGGCATATGGTGGCTGGCTCATATTCGCGTCGTAGAAAGCATCAAACGGTTTTCTGTTTCGACATATCTTTGCATTTACAGATTTTGGTGAGATATGATAGCACGGTTGCAACCCGGCAGCAGCCCTTGCAAGCAGTTGTGTTCTGGTGTCATGATTGGTGTTGTTAGGAAATTCTTTCTTTGAAATAACCCGGCTGCTGGATCTGCGGCGATCTGCTTGGGGGCCAATAGCCGTGCCATGCTTCAATGCATCAGTGACGGGCGCCATAACAGTTTCTTGTTCATTACTTTGGGCTGATCATGAGCTATTCATGTGGTTTGGCCACTGAGACTGCTTTCCGCCGTAGTTTGACCTCAAAATCTGGTAATTGGGGGCGCAGCAGGCTATTTTAGCTGCATCCTGGTGTCAGTTGCGGGCATATTAAGCTGTTTTAGACTTGCAGTTGATCACCTACCAACCATTAGTCTGCTGCTGAGGGGTCATGCAGGACTGAGGAAAAGCTGAAAATCAGCATGGCACCCTGGCTAATAAACCCCTGCTAGTTCGAGTTGAAGATGGGCACACCAATTCAAGGACCGCACACCAGAAGGGAAAGGTTGAGAGTCGTGCCTCGAGGTTAAGGTTCCATTATAAGAATCAAAGAAGTTTCTCACTTGTTTTTCGGCTTGCATAATGAATGAGATGTGACAGTTTTAAAGTTGACGACCCGGGAATATCGCTTATGCAACACACAGTCAATGGGGGCTAAATAGCAATATAGTGCCAAAAGCCTTGACGTCCAGGAGCTTCCATAAGGATTGACACTGCCAGATGCTGTGCTGTGACAATAATCTTGATAATTTGCCCTTGGTTCCCGGTCACTTTGAGGTAGCTTGTTCTTGAAGCTCCAAAACTAGGTCCTTCAGCATGTCACCAGTTATTCGGCTTTGTCCTTTCCCGCGCACTGAGTTGTATATACAGCGTGACTATCATTTCTCGGGCTCTTCCTAAACATTTCGCTGCTTTCCCCAAAGAACCATTTATGGAATTGATTAATTCTTGTTAGGCCATTTTCGCCTCAATGTGGTTATCCATTACTCCAATTCATCTCTCATTCATTCTTCATACTTTGTAAAACAATGATTATTCTCTCACTTCATTTCTTATTGTTCTGCAGGACACCATCCATACAACTGACATACCGTAATCCTAGTATCAATCACTTTCCCACTACTTCAACCGTGAGGGGTACGACACCAGGCATCCTCTATTAGACAGCTTTCGCTCCGACACTTTATATTACGCTTGACGCTTCTCTGGGTACCATAGTGTTTTGGCCATCCTATGAAAATCCATAATCAAGTGTACTGTACTTTACACATGTGAATTGCGGCAGCCTATTGCCGTGTGACATGTTTCTTGGTATCTTCATTTGCCACAGCTTTCCATCCGTTCCATATGGCGACTCTAACCACCTAAACCCCAGCTAATCTGTCTTCAGATCTTGCTAGTAAAGCTAGGTGCCTAAAATTCAGCTTCTTGAGTTCAAGTCATGTCACCTTTTTTGAGTCATAACACGTAGGCTGCTTCGCATTGAGGAAAGCCAGATTAATTCTATGCGAACTTGCTGTGCCGGAAATGAATCTATCAAAGGTAATAAGTATTAAGGAACGGAGGCCTTCTGACTCATGATATGGATCTTCCTTACGCGAGGCTCAACTCCAACGTAAACAAAAACAGGCCTAGGTTCGCTTAAAGTTGTCATGTTCCCTTGCTTTAACGTCCAGGGCCCGAGCCGCCCGCATCACACCTTGCATTCTGCCACACACGGCTGGTTTTCACCCCTTTGGGCGCCCAATCATGCACTAGGGTCTTAGTGGATGACTCTGGGTGGTTCCCGAATGGTGATTCTCTCGCCCTGCGTAGGCAAACTTTGCCAAATAGGATTTTGACCATTGCAAGCTTCCTGCATAACAGATCTAGATGGTTCCTATTTCCCGGCCACCAATGATAACAGCTAATACTCATGGGCAGCTGCTAAATGTGTTGATCAATGCGTCCGGGCATATCCACCCGCGTCAGCATGCAGCACAACTTTCAGGTTCCGTCCAAAAGCTGTGATGGAACATGTGTAACCTCACCTATTTGGGAGATGTAGTTAGCTCCAGTGTCTCCTTTGCAGACCCTTCTCTCAGTACACTACGAGCCCTTGCCTATTCCGTTCAATGCTCTAGACGCCTCTTGTCTCGCCCTGAGACCTCCGCGTAAGATGAGGTGTCGCCCATACCCAAAATGGCCTTTACACTGCCTGACATCGTTTCCAACACCGCCATGACCAAAAACCCGCCACTGTCTCTCTGATGACGGATGTTGGTCCCGGTGCGTCCGCGTCGGAAAAGATAAGCCCGCCGTCGGAAAGCGGTCTGGACCATTTCACTGGTTGACACATCTGCCACGGTCCGAGTCACGACGAGAGAGTTGGCACGTTGTTGAGCAAAGTCTAGAACAACTCCATAACCAGTATGATCCCCGGAGAATGACCAGATCATTCTGTTGAGGAGTGTTTGGCAATTGCAGGCTTTGAGCTGCGCCGCCGGATGATAGGCTGCTTTACGAAACTCATATTCTCACGTTGAGTGGCACCTTTTACCATGGGCATTTGTAGCACATACGATCAGTGGCTCTTCGGCATCTGACATCATGGTGGCGTTGAACTTCGCGAAAAGAACACTAGCTTTGCGATGGAGCGTTTTTCATGGTTTGTAGAGACGCTTAATGGGACATAACTGCCTGTTTGTACGTGTGGCTAGCCAATGGATTATGAACTAGAAAGACTAGCAGTTCAGCCCCAGAAGGGCAACGATCTTAAATCACTGTCAGCGAACTAGTGTCCTCTCATACAAACTGTGACAGATCTGGAGGCGATCCTTAGGTTCACCTTAAACCCACTCAGATGGCCCCGTTCCGAATTCTGCCTACAAGACAACGAGACAAATCAAGATAATGTAGCAGAGATTTATGATCTCAACGTGACTTCGCAACGGTGCCCAGCCGGGCTGATCAGAAAGAAGTTCTGCATTTCCATCAACTCGTCCATCATGTCATCGGCAAGTCTCACACCTTGGCAATTTCTGAAGAAAACCGCAGTGGCGAGTCGAAGTTCCATACGAGCCAGATGCAGCCCAATACAGACACGTGTGCCAGCTCCAAAAGGAGAGAATAGTTGTTTCTGTTGCTTTGACAAAGAACCCTGGTCCAAGTAGCGAGTCTCATCAAATCTTGGTATTCCAGTCAGTAGTGTCCAGATTCACCTCCGCTCAGATGGCTCACCTCAATGGATTTGGGAATATGTCAGGATGGCGGTGCAGGGTGTAAGCCTGTGTCTCGACAACCGTTCCGCCAGGGACGAAAAACCCTTCGATTGTTGCACCGCTGGGAGGAACGGTCCTAGGTAGGTTCCCTGGAGCAGCTCCGTAAAGCCGGAGAGTCTCATCGATGACGGCATTGAGCAGTGGCAGCTTCTCGAGACTAGCATCATCGAACCCTGCGCCCACTTCTGCAAGCTCTGCTTCAAGTCTAGCTTGAAGATCCGGTCGCTTCAGAACAGCCCATATGAGATATGTGAGGGTGACCGAAGTAGTATCAGATCCGGCAACAATCAAGTTGCCTGCTTCCGCTTGTACTTTTTCTGGAGTCAGGTCGGATTTCTCGCCTGCTTCACATTCTGCGAGCATATTGCCAAAGAGATTTGCAGAATGCCCATTTTGACGGAGGTTGGCAGCCGCTCTCACAGCATGGGCATCTACAACTGTTTGGGCTTGCAAAACTGATTGAATCGATTTGACCGGAAGGAGCCGAGCCAAATGGTAAATCAGTGGCAACTCGGCGCGGAGTGTGCTCATGATAAAAACGGATTCCAGTGCTTTGATGTATTGGTTTTTCTGACACGTTAACATTATTCTCTTGTTTGAAGTTTGGGAAGATTACCTTGCCAAATTCCAACATATCAAACGACTCCCCAAACGAGAGGTGGGCGATCACATCGGTAGTCATCATTGTCCACCACTTGAACACATCAGCTTTTCCGTTGAGAGCATCGGTTTTTATCCGCTCTACGGCCCTCTCTACCTTCTGTCTCACGACAGATTCCCAGTTTTGACGCAGAGACGTGCTCGTAAAGGCTCGAGCAAAGAGTTTTCGACGAGCGGCATGTTGCTTTGGGTCTACCATTGCAAAAATACCCGGCTCGACGCCTGGTGCAATAGTCGAATACCATGGACCTTTCAGAAAGCCGGAACCAATCTTGTGAATTGTATTAAACCCATCCGGGTCTGCAACTGCAACATCAGTGGGCGATATGCGGACAATTGGCCCATAGCGGTGGTGGAGGGAATGGACGTAATGCATGCGCCGACCGGTGAGGTTGTAAAACTTGAGGACATGGTCAAAGAAGCACGTATACCAAGGCCCTGGTAGGTGACGGATGGGACACGTGAGGCCGAGAAATAAAATCTACAAACCTGTCAGGATTAAGGCTCCCGGTGACATATTATTGACTCCTCTGAAACAAAAAAAACGCTACTGACCCGGGCAAAGAAAACGACGATAATGGCGGCAAGGCCGTAACCAACGGTTGCAAAGTTTAACAAGAGCATTTTAGAGATCTTTAGAATTGAACCACCATGGCAGGATTAGAGCTAAGGATGGTGGTTATGATTAAGTACCTTAGCTACAGAGCTGCATAACGGTGTCTAGTACTAGCCAAGAGAGGGGCCGGATTCTACCCTCGGAACAGGTGGGGGATCGTCCACGTCAACCATGACTGCCGGCATCGAATAGAGCTCTGCTGGTTATTTGTGATTCCCCGCGTTTTGATGGATTCAATAAGTGAACGGGTGCTCCCTAGCCGGACGCGGGGTGTCTACTGAATCCGATGTAGCATACCTAGTTCCACTATGGACCTCAGTATTGTAACGGCCCGCGCCTTATTGTCCGAACACCGAGAAAATGTATTGAGGGTTCCGATCCCCACGAAATACAACGGCTTCCCACTTCCTCTCATCACACTGACTCTTACTGCATTGCGTTCTTCGGGTTCCTGGCATACATTCAGAGTTGACAGAAGCCCTGGTGAGTATCAGCAATTTTAAAGTTATCTCATTTCCCATAAGGTAGCAGACTATTTGCAGTAAAGCTGACCTACTGTCGCGGAATCCATGCGAGCGTACCGCCGTTGAAAGGTTTCACGCTTTTCGAGTACGAGTTGGACGACACCTTGGCATAATCCGTGCAGCAAACGCTGGAGCCCCAGCGGGAAGAAGTTATCTACTTTTAAAAAAAAAAAAAAAAAACTTGACACCTGCGTTGCCTTTCTTTCAGGCTTTACATCGCCACTTCTTGCTCTCATGAGTATTCAAGATAGGCAGATATTTTAGCGCTGATGAGTTCACTGTCATGTGTTCCATCTTATATGATGTCCTATTGCGGTTAGTGTATGCCTTTCGGTGACAAAGGTCATTCACAGGGCGTAATGCGAAGTATTAATAAGCCGAGATAACTCGAGTTTTCGTTGAGTCACATCTACAAACATAAATCTAGAACTGACAATTCCACAACAAGTGTAAAGCACAAGAAAGTTACGATCTCAATCATTTCTACTCCAGAATTCAACAGGTTCCAAAAAGCCCAAGTAGACATTATGCGTTCGGCTTCAAAAACACACACTGCTCTCCTGTTGATTGACATTCAAGAAGGCTTCAAACATCCAACGCACTGGGGCTCTTCTCGCAGTACACCATTGTTCGAACAAAATGTCAGTCAACTCCTTCATGCAGCCCGCGAGCACAACAGCAACATCGCCTCTTCAAAATCCACTGGGAATCCGGTATCCATAATTCATGTTCATCACCACTCCACTCATCCTGCGTCCGCATTACACCCGTCGCACTTCCTCGAAGGCTCGTCCGTACCCTCCGTAACGCCACTACCGTTCGCCGCACCTCTGGACTCCGAACCGGTTCTAGTCAAACACTTCAACAGCGGCTTCATAGGCACGAATCTAGAGTCGATGCTCAGGTCTGCCGGGATTCGTCAGCTTGTAGTTGTAGGATTGACTACCGATCACTGCGTGAGCACCACTGTCCGCATGGCGGCGAACTTGCAGGTTCTCGGTGACGAAGGCGGGCCTGATGGGAATGGGCATGATGTGCATGGGGTCGTTCTCGTTCGGGATGCTGTTGCTACTTATGAAAAGGGCGGCTTTGACGCAGAGACTGTGCATGCAGTCAGTTTAGCCAGCTTGCATGAGGAGTTTGCGCAGGTGGTGGGCACTCGAGATGTGCTAGATAAAGTGTTGGGAGGGGACGTCCAAGACTAACCAGGGAGATAATAAGCCAAGCATCAGCAATCGGAGACTTGAGGCATTGACGGACATTCTTTCGCGATACTCTGAATGCTTTTTTGTGATGTAAACCCAAAAAGGTTGACAATATTTCTCCAACATGTCCTTACCTTAGGGAACATATCAGTAAAGAACTTCAAGAATGGAGTTTAAGGAGCCAGAGCCACCCTTTGTCGTCGACACATGATGCTTACTAAATAACATTCACGCTGGGTCTTATGCGAATTATGAATGAGTCCAGGGCACGAGCATGCTTACCTTCCCAATCAAACCTCCAAAGGAAGCCTTACCACACAAAAGTACCAGAGTCTAGAAGATAATTTAGCGCTGTGTTTTTTGATTTGGAAAAAAAGCAACGCAGGGGAGAGAATAGATATCAATAATCAGGATCAAATTAAAAATTTCTTAAATACTGATTGATAAGTATATATTGGTTGAGTAAGGCCGACTGTCGTTTGGCTTGCTGAGTGGAGAACAAAGTCAGAAAGAATAGCATAAGATTCAAATACCGAGAATTTGAAGTGGTAACGGGAAAAGTAATCTGGTTGGTAAAAACCCCTGTTTAGTAACCTAGCTTAACGCATATTGTAAGGCCTTCTCAGACCTCATGGGATGAAAAAACCCAACCTATCAATACCCAACCCAACCTTGCCTTAGATATCCTTCTAGCTGACCTGTGCAGTCCGGCATCAGCCATCTATGCAGGAAGCAAGCATCTGATGCCTCTTGCTCGTCCACATTAAAATCCATTTGGTTTCCCAATTCTCAAAATGCTACTGACACCGTAGGCACCAGCAGTAACTACGGCTTTGAAGCACCCGTTTCCGAGATAGGAGAAGGCCATCCTAGAGTACCCAGGGCCTCCTGAGCTCGATCCAGCATTGCTCCAAGTAGCACCACTGTCCTTTGTGACCAAGAAGCTATAGCTCACAGGGCTTTTAGCCCCCCAAGTCTCAATCAAAGCATGGAAGCTTTTCTGTTCTCCGTTACAGTATGCCGCCGACTTTGTATCGTAGTTTGCTCGGACAGTAATTGTTTCTTTAGCGTCCTGGTGAATGCATCGAACATGGGTGCCGGTCTTTCGGTCGGTACTGGCACTACCATAAGAGTCCGAGTTCTCGCAGAAATAGTCGGCCGGGCAGGCAATAGCTGGCGTGTTTTCGTTGCGGCCTTGAAAGTTTTTGCAGTTCACGACGTAAGAAGCTGAAGAAGTGCAGTAAGAGAAGTAGGCCTGAGCATCATGACCGGCGTAAACATGATCTTTACAGTCCTCAAGTGTGTTTGGAGTGATGACGCTGTACCCAGCAGCCCGGCTTTCTAGTTCAGCGAAATTGGACGCGAGCGTGGTGTTGAGCGTTGTTTCTTCGACAATGGGGGCCGCATATGCAACGCTCGCATAGCATGTGACCGCAAGATCTGCTAGAATGTTAGCCTAATCAACAATGTGATGCCAGGAGCCATACAGAGGAGCTTCATCATGATGAGTTTAGGCTGGTAGTAGAATGCAGGTCAAGTGAAGGGGGAAGACTTAAGGTGATGCAGTTGAGAAAATACCCTATTGTGACTCTTTGAGAACAATTGAGGTTTATATATATATATAAAAATCAAGTAAGTTGAACTTCTCATACTCAAGGAGCAATCAAACCAGATACGAGATCCTAAAGCTTAGCAAATTGCTTTTGTTGGTCTTGAAAACCTTGTAGGCTTTATCACAGTGCACCTTCATCTGTTTACAAAAGTACTTACTTTTTGACTAGATGGAGCAATTTTCTCCATCTTGCAGTGCAAAGGGCCCTTCAGCAGATTTGTATGTCACTTGCATAGAAGAAGGTATTTGAGGGCGTTATTATATGAACTTTTAAGCTTTATAAATAAAGTAACTAGAAGGTAGTTCGCGATTTAATAAAGGGAATTGATAGGGACGCATCACGAATTGATAGGGACGCATCATCCTTAGGGACGCATTACATTCTAAGGTTGTGATTGGCTAGAAATTTTGGTGACCCATAGGTACAAGTCGGCGAAGGCGGTAAGGCCAGCGTTGCTAACGCCCCACCTTTTCACAGCTATAAGAGGCCTGCCTCCGTTTTATAGACATAAAGCCGGCCTGCCTTACTAGCCTACGTTTCTTAGCTATTCCTCCTATTTAAGATTTGCAAAACTATCTAAACAACCGCTTTTATAAATCTTAAATAGTAGGTCTTTTTCTTCCTTTCTAAGGAGGAATTAGGTTTTATTAAACTAAACTAAAACGGCTTTTATAAATCTTAATTAATTTCTACTTCTATTTCCTCTTATATAATAATAAAGAATACCCCCCCTACCTTTAACGTTTAAGACTTTTATTACTATTACTAAGTAGTTCCTATTAACTCCTCGTCCTACGGATGCTTGCCTATAATCTTCTTCTATTCGAACGAAGGCTAGTTGATCGGCTAGTACTAAGAATAGTTACTTAGCTTCGTGTCTGCTACTAGGAAGAGGTTAGCGCCTAGCTACTAGCTATCTCTTATATAAGCCTTGCTAAGGTAATCTTATTACGGCTTCCTAGTAGTCTGCTATGCTTACGCCTTGCTGCTAATTAGCTAGGTTATTAACTTTATAGTTAGCTATATGATTATCTAGCTAGCTAGCTGCTTGATTAGTGCTATCCCTTAATGATAGGGATAATAAGACTAGCTATATTAAGTTCTTAGGTCTGCTACGGAGGTTTCTTACAATCTTCGGATTAAGGATCCGTCGATATAGATCCTAGGAAGAAGACTCCTACAGCCGCTATTGTAGGTAAACCTTATCCTTTATAAACTATACCCTATCTATAAGTTTAGAATAGATCTTATAATAGTATAAGATACTATACTTTATAGAGATAGTATAGTCCTCTATATAGTCTCTAAGAGGCGTTAGAAATAGATTTCTACCTATTAGTAGAGCCTTCTTTGCTAGACGGTATTGCTTCGTAATCAAACCAAGACACTGCGATGAGAGTATTGTTCGAAGCTCCCCAAGGTACTCAGATCTATTCCCTATAAACTTACGGCTTGTAAGGATCTTATCCTATATACAAGCTTGCTTAAAGCAAACCTCTTAATCCTTAAGCATATCCTATATTATATTAACTAAGTAATATAGGTAGCTAAGTCTATTAAGAAGATAGCCTTTAATATTGTTATTACTTGATTCCGTCCCTAAGGTTATACGGATGCCGAAGTTTCGGTACTAGCGAATAGAATAACGTGCCTACTACTCCCTTAGTAGTAGATATATTCTATATAGGTAGTTTAGAATAAGCCGTTAGTCTTTAAACTCTTTGCAAAGGTTTGCCTATGCTTTCCTAAAGGCATCCTCTGTCTTAGCAAATAGAACTAACTTCTATATTATAAAAACCCCCCGGTAGCTATATAGCGTAGCCCTATCTACTAAAGTATGGATATAGGCATAGTCCTTATTACTAAGTTTAGTAACTAGTTATAAAGCTAGATCGTCTTCTTCAGACCTACTACTACTAGAATAGCTTTAAAGCTACTTCTACTTAGCTTTAAGCATAACGTTTAAGTTAATATAGTAATATAAAGCTGTTATTATATATTTGGAAAGTATTTATTAAAAGCTACCTTTATCTATCTATCGTAGTCGGTAATAATAATATCTAGTTAGCAAATAGAGTTCTAATTAATAAGTTATAAGATACTTTGCGATAAGAACTAAAACCCTTCTAGTCTCTTATTATTAATAAGACTAAATATTATATTAATGTTACGGCCAGCTAACTGACAGTGGGTTTGTGTTAACAGTAAGCCAGGGATTGAGAGTAGTAACAGTCGTTCCGTGGTCCTGGTCGAATAGATCGTAGATCTTCAAAGGTCTTGGTGATCAGTCAAGGCCTCAACAAGAGTCGTAGAGTAGTCGTCACTTAGGTATAGCTGAAAGTACCGGTTAGGGTAATCACAAAGTTGATTGCTGAAGAGCTATGGAAGTCTGTCCTCGAGCCCGGCTCGAGTCCATCCTATATACAAGTCCTGAACGGTCCTCCTTATCTTGGCTATGTTGGATATTTGACATATCCAACATATCCGGGATCGGTTGGATATTTGACATATCCAACATATCCGGGGATCGGTTGGATATCTGACATATCCAACATATCCAGCCCGGGTTGTCCCTACCCCGCGTTATCCCCGAGGCCACGTGACTTGTCCATAGTTCTTCCGTTCCGAGGATCCCTGGTTACACCTGTCGGCTGGGTTACATATGCCCTGCGTTAGCCGCCGGGATCCAGGCGGGGTCGTGTTGGCGACCATGTCCAACGGGTCGTAACAATTAAATACCGATCTAAGACATGTTTGCCTTATAGCTTAGAAGAGTAGAAGCTTAAAGCGATTAGTATTATAAGTATTATCAAAGCTAATAACCTCGGGGAACCGCTTCTATATCCGGAGAGAGTATAGAAACGTCTAGACAAGCCTAATAAGCCGATTCAGCTTATTA